CCGTTCATTTAATTTTGATCAAATTTTTATCATTTAGTTACTCAGTATACGTTCGATCCTGTCGATCCTGTCCTTGTAAATTTATACTTTTATACTTTAAGGGAGCTTAATACCTATATTGATTTTTTCTTCGTTTAGTGTCGTCCAAAAGACCCAGTTTTTGGCATTTTTTAAAAAAGCAAGAAAAAGAAACGACAAGGTTTATTTTTTTTGGACTTAGATTAATTTTTTAAATCTAAAAAATAAGCATTATAACAGCATTTCGAGTCATAAAACGTTCGGTGGTGTATCCTCTTTGCTTTTTACCCTTTTTGGGCCTTTTTTATGAAATTGACCATCACATTTTCCGCCATATTGAGTTTGTGTCGATTTGGTGACCATGTCTTGCTGTTTTCAGTCTCCACGGCAATGATGCTGGTGTTTCAGGCCTCCTGTTCTCAGATTTCTTGTGATTTTTTTTTTTCACCCCACCGACCGACCCACCCAAAACCAGGAAACCTATTCGACGCTAAACGAACGAAAAGGGGATGACCTAAGCCTTATGTTTTCTTTTGGTCTTCCTCACCACATTGCTTCTGCGTGTTTCTGTATACTTGTCTTTTGCTTTGTTTTGTTCTTTTTTGTCGGTAAAATAAACTGAAATTGTACAAAGACCCTCAATATTCCCTTTGGAGGTTCTCGAACGCGCATAAAAAAAATGAAAAACGCGATGATTTATTGACCACAAGGGCAATGGGGTGGGGTTAGGACTCGTTACTGCGCTCCGGTTCACTCGTACGCTGTCAAATGGTCCCGAAATACAAAATGAAAAATGACTGTGGACAGACTATTCACGTCTAGACATCAAGCATCTTTTAAGATGGGACTTATCGCCTCTCCCTGTTCATGGAGTTGATTCAAGGTGTTGACGTTAATTTCGTGATGCCCTGCATGTTGCCAGGACATGTTTCAAAAGGACCTTTCCACAGGTACGGAGTCCGCCGTCACCTTGTCAACCGTGCGAGAAATGATGTACTTCACAAAAACAACGAGAAGTTTTTTTCGATTTGCCCCGCCCCGTACCCCCGAAAGTCCCCGACAGGACCGCTTCAAAGTACTCCCCACCCCCGGGCCCAAATGGCTGGACTTGTTCCTGTGGTTGCGCGGGGGATAGTAACAGGTCTACCTAATTGCACCGTGCATCAATGACAGTTTAGCTCAATCAGAAGCCCCTTTTCCCTGGCTAGTTCAAGGTGTGTACACCTCATTTAAGCTGTTGTTTTCGGTTCTTAGTGAAATTTTTGATCTTGAGGAAATTCACAACGACAGGAGCAGGTTGTGGGCTTTTTTCCTAGCCCTAATCCTACTTTACAGGAAATCCCCCACCCCACCTCGTGAATTGGGTATTTTTAGCTTATTTAGAGGAAATACTTTTTCTTCAAATCCGGGATGGGCTTTTAAACACATTTTTTAAGCCAAATGGTTTTTGCGAGAATCTGCTCACCCGAACTTTTCGCATAAAAAACGACAAATACCCGAAAAAAGCTCATATTGTTGGTGGTGGCATATTTCCGATAAATTCAGCTTAATGTCTCGTGAAGAAGAGTTCAGATCCGTGCCGCGCGCCTCTCGAGGCAAGCGTTCCGTCGAAATGCGAGCCCAAAAACAGGTGGTAAGCGGTCAATCTGTGAAAAGTAACGCAACCTCCGTGGTTTGAGAGCAGCCGAAGATGCTCTTGCTGATGCTGTCCTTGATGTTTTTTATTTCGAGTATCTAGGAAACCCATGCTAAGGTATGAAACATACACTCGTAGGTATTGTTCTGTCCGCTAAAGCCTAATTCCTGGACGCAGAAACGTTGTGCTTTTTGAAGTTTATTATTGTGCTTTGCCCTTTGACAACCTTACGTGACTCGTGCGTTTGGTAGCAGAAGATGGCTAAACTCTGCTTTTCTTGTTGGAAAACGGCTTTAAATTTTATCAGATCGCTCGATAAACACGTGTTGGTTTCTGATAGCTGATAACGTTAAATCACTGTTGCTCAAACTGATTTCTTGTTGCATTTTTCTGAGTTTTTAGCATCGACCCGCTGAGTCTGGAAAGCTCAAATTTCAGAAAAGTACTACTAGTATTTTTTAGCCTCAAAAATTTTCTTTTAAGTTGCCCATAGTTTTGAAAACAGAGTTTGAAAGAAGAGATAACGCTCTTTAACGTGGTATAAGACTTGTTACTGAAATCGAGGTACCAGTCGACGATTTTGGGCTTTGAAATTTGCCATTTTTTCATTAAACGAAAACGTTCAAAATATTGAAAATAATGAAAAATTTCCAAAATATTACACTTTCGTTCAAACTGAGTAAATCACCACTTAGAATGTGTGCAATTAAGTACTCTTCTGAATAAGTTATTTTTTTTCCGCATTACAATGGATTTGAATTTTAAAACGATTTTTTTGTGACACATGGTCTAGGGCCTGGAAAACCCAGTCCGAGAGCCGCGAAACCAATAACCCCCCCGTACGTGGAAAATAATTATCGGATCGAAGTAAAAATTACATTTATGTTAATAGCTTACCTAGTGCTACTTTGTGAATGTTTTTGAGAATTTTCGACTATTCACTTTTGTAGACCTCTGGTGGTTATTTATTGACATCCGCTCTTAAGTATCTTAAAATCAACTTGAGAGGTGCAAATGTGTTTGCAATACATTGTGCGTTTTTGGAGAAAAAATTAAAGGCAAAACAATTTGAAATTTTAATAGAATAGATGGGTTGCATTTGTGTCTCCTTTGACGTCAAATCTCGCCAGCATAGCAACCGACTCTCTCTCCGTGACGCAAAATGTTGCCAAAATAAGACTTAGAAATACATCAAAAACTAAAGAAAACGAAAAAGAAATTTTGAGCAGTTTCGGGAAAAGTATTTTCGTTAATGAGGACGCCACTACCTACTACGGGTAGTAGTCTCCTGCGTTTGCCATCTAAAACAAAGTGAGGCCTCGATTTACTTGAAAGAGAGCCGTTACTTTTCCGTTTAATTCTGGTCACGAAAAAAGTCATGACATCCATACTTGATCGTGACGTGAATTAGTTTTGAAAACGAAAAGAGGTAACACGTGACCTTGACGTTACGGTTTGGTTTTCTGTAGATCTCTAAAAAAATGCATGGTCAATACTACTAACGTTACGCATCACTGGAAAAGACCCTTTTTCAAATCATGCCTTGAGTCACGACATCCGGTAGAGCTACGATCTGATATCAAGAAATACAACCGAGTGAAGAGTTTGCTGAAAAGCCTCCGCGAATTCGTCTGAAATGAGGCACATTTGAAAAGATGAGGGTCTGGGCTCAAACGCTAACTCGTCAGATGTTCCGTTTGTCGTCAGTGTGGCAATAGGTCCTTCAATGAAATCATAAGAGGTTATCAAACTCTTTCGTGTTTTAGCTGTTCTCTGACCCAATCTAAACGAAGAAACAATTTCGCGCCACCTGTCTTCATGTTCGAATAAATTAAGTCTCCTAGAATTATCCAAAAGCCTGCTGTCGACTTGAAAAGCCAAAATGGCGGGCTTTGCTGTGGTGCTCTTTGCCCAGTCTAAAGCATCACCTAAATTTCTTGTCAAATAAAAGCCTGAGCCACAGCTGAAATCACGCTTCTGTCTTCCTGCACACAAATCTATTCCCCGGACTAATATGTCGGCCGCGCTGAGATGGTCTGTGCCATGAAAAAGCGCCACGTTTTGTTCACCTTGTGACTGACTCTCGAACAATGTATGAGTGTCTCTGTACGCACGAGATTCCTTCGTCACGCAGTTCATTATATTGACGTGGCGAGGGCTTTCTTGACGTTTCCTATCCTCGTTTGTCATATTCGGGAAGTGAAACCATAAATTGGTTATGTTACTTTGAAAGGGAAAGTTCACAGACAGGGCACTCCATGTAGGATTGTACTTCAGCTCATCCCTGATAAAAATTTCTGCCCATTCGCACGCTTCAAGGTGGCGTTGCGAATTTCCTGCGAATGCGCGCGTCATTATTGTTTCAACGGCTTTACTGTGCGGGTCAAAACCGATTTCGTCAAGCAAATCTCTGGTGAGTGATGATTTGGTTTTCGAGCAAACTGACTCACACTTTGCTTTCAAGAAAGTAGTTATCCAGCCAGTGAGTGTATAACGATCACGCAATTCGGGCGGCATTTCGTCGAGGCGGTCAAGGAAGTCGAGTTTTAACCCGAGCAAGGCACATAATTGTGACCAATCTTGATTGTCCCACTGATCGGTACAGTCTCTTTCCAACATGATAAGCTTTGAGTTTCGTGGTTTACTTCATGTCCTATGAGGATTCTTATTTTTCCGAAGTTCTTCTGAATCTTAGTAGTCGAAATATATGGCCCTTGAACAGTTCCCTCATCCCTGGTCACACTTGTATTGGATTGATTCTCGCCAACGTGTACGGCACATTTCAAAAGACCAGTGCTACGTGAGTCTTCAGTCTTCTTTTACGAAACGGAGAGAGAATTAAATGCGAGAAAATAAATTTTCTAACCATCCATTTGAATATAAAAAACCCACAGAGCCACGTATTACTTATTTATTCTTGTCACTGGTTAGAGGGTATTTCGCCATGGAAACAGGGTCAATATCAGCCACGTCAGCCAATGAACGTCAAGTAAATGAACATGTTTGGGAAGGGAGAATTCGAAAATTTGTCTGAATTTTTGCTCTATGTGATTTTGAAATAATTCATTACTTCTTTCCGTTTCCCTGCTGGAATTAAGTCTCTTCGCGTTAAAGTTGTCGTGCAGCCAGTGCTACAAAGTTTGTAAAATTGTATCTTTTTGTCCAGGTTGTTCCATGTAGCTTTCATATAGCGCTCTATTAAATATACTCCAACTCATAAATCTCCCAAATGTTTTGTTTGAATTTCTCAGAATTAAGGGAGTTTCTGGGAATTTGTAGTGATCAGCATTATAAGAGCAATCAGTGCGAGTACCTCAGTGCTATTCGTATGCCGCAGACAATAGCAATGTTTGAAAGGATGATGATCTCAAGCTCGATGGCAAACATTCTGAGTTATACTTGGCTAAAAAGATTTGATGCAAGCGAAATTCATCGATTAGTTCAGACCTTGCAAGAAATGATCATGATTGGGTGGTTCAACAGGAAGACTATCGAGAATGTGGGGAATTTTCCACGAGCAACTCGACTATTCCTGCAAATTACGTCTCAATTCATAAATGTATTTGAACAGCTTGGAAATGTTTTCTTCACATGTAGCCGTTTTCCGTACAAGGATTCAGTCACTAATGAATGGTTCACTCTGCCAGATGATGAAATTGATAGGAAACAACCTGTAAAGGTAATAAATGTCGATAAAGACTGCAAGAAAAGTACATGCTACTTATCCCAAGATGGCGTCGATGATTTCATAGACTCACTTATAGATGAAGATCATGAAGTATTCGTTCATGGAACCGGACACCTATACGCTCAGGACATTATCGAAGGAGGCATCGACGTAAAAAGAGGGGCTTGTCGCCAGGATTTCAGCAATGGGGACGGTTTCTATCTTGGTGATGACTTTAAGGAAGCTTGTAGATGGCCAGCATCTCGTGGACACCTCAACACTGCTGTCCTTGTCTTTCGTGTCGAGAAGACGGAGCTGCGAGGTCCAGATAAAGGGTTGGATCTGAGGAGTGATAAGAAGAGATGGTTAGAGTTGGTCAAGGAATTTCGCTCAGGACGGCCAGCTAAAAAATTTGTCAAAAGTTTGAAGGAGTACGACTTTATCGAAGGGCCTATGGCTTCAATGTCTAGCAAGAACCCAAATGTCGATTATCCGAGACAAAAGGAGGGTACCTATCAACTCTGTGTTAAAACAGACTGTTGTGCTGAGATGTTTGATCGAAGCCTTCATTCAGTTATTTTCTTTAAACGTTAAAAATAATTGTTTCCTTTGTTTGCATGCATGGTAAAACCAATAGCATTCTTCTAATTATCATCAGTATTAAAACGTATCGTAAACGTATGACTTTGTTTATCATCATTTCTTTGAGAGCAACACCTGTTGGTCAAACTAAGTCAACTATGGTTCTCATTTTCTCTTGCTGCTACATCGTGCGTGTGTAGATCATAAAGCAATGTATTTGTGCTCTATCAAAACGCATTATCTCGAAACGGGAGAATCAGCGTAAGAGGAATCTACAAAATTTCTCGATTATTTTAAGAGTAGGTAATTTATCTGTGCTGTCACTGTTATAGAATCTACCCTTTTGCAAGCCGAGCATTAATGTTGCACTGTGTTGTAACTAGAACATCATCTCACTCTCAAAAAATGTCAGAATCGTGAAACGACCAGTAAATACTAAGGGGAGTCTAATGAAAAATGTGCGAGCAAAGAATTTCAGAATAGATAGGAAGAGATCAAGATAATGCTGATAGTTACTTTCTACTGTTGCTTCCTTTTAATGTCACTGACTTACTAGTACCTCAAGTGAGAAAATTACATTTTTATTAAAGATAAGTTTTTCACAGCTGACACTCCTCAACCTCTCTATGATTGTTTATGTGGATGTTCTATATTCAAATATCAACACCACTTCAATTCATGTCACTGCTGTTTAGTAAATTCCTCGTCTTCCAAAACTCTTGAGCTTATCCTACCCAGTGGGTTTTTAAAAAGATTCTATTGACATCATGTAAAAGGTATAAGGGATGCCGATTTTCAAGGTGTCACTCAAAGAAAGCAAACCTCCATGTTCTGTGATATCCACCCTTACCCCTACATAAGAAGGAGATCGATGGCATTCTAAACTGCTCGATTCTTGTTGGGGACTTGAATTTATTATCATTGAAATTACTGTTTTAAAATTGGTGTCCTTGAAATCAGAAATAATATCATGTGCAAAATGAAAGATGACCATAGATTTAGCCAGGCCTAAAAGCGGAGCTCGTCTTCCATTCTAAGCCAGTCACTAGGATCAATATACTTTAAAACAGTTTGGCTTAGTCAATCACTTTGCTTGTCACTCCCTCCACAGACAACAGTGGTATTTGTATCATTTATCATTAAAAGTAGCCTGAGGAAAATAGCTTGCTACACAGTTGTCGTTTTGGGTTAACTATCTCGCAAGAGAATTGCATGTTGAGCCAAAGAGATCAGGGGCACCCAACGAGAATATAGTTCAAAACCACTTAAACATAGCATTGTTAAACGTATGTTAGTATTTAAACGGTAGATATAGGCATATTTTTATCCCTTAAAAATTTTTCATCTGTTCGGATTTCCTAGCTGAAAGTCTAGTGATCCGAAAATTATAGGGATCAAAACTTACCTTTTCGAAAATTTCAGCCAGAAAAAAGGCTCCCGAAAATTCTAGGTGACCTTTTAAGGGTAAAAATCCGTTAAAAATAGTCAATTATACCATTTTTTTAGATGTTCAAAAATCCTAGGAGAGGTAGGCAAGTAAGAAATTTTACAACAAATGCTTCGAAAATTCTAGATCGCAAATCGTCTTCGGAACAGATATTCTTCCGAAAATTGTTGTTGGGTGTCCCTGAGGGATGTCTGCAAAGGAGATTCAGGTATGGGGCATTTAACCAAGACTAGGGTCATTAGCGTGTGGGGACACAAATGGTTGAAGTTGAACCTGTTAGAGATATCCACAGCAACTTTTTCAGTGATGTGAGATTTAATTCAATTCATTTACTACTGAACTTGTAATACATGAGCAAGCGAATTCTATTGCAAAAGACCGGCGGTAAAAGATTTGCTGGCCTTTCGATTTTGTCTCATGCCAGTGGAATTGCTAGTCTTTATAAGACGTTCCTGGTACTGACGAGTACCGAACATAATTAACTAAATCCTATCTCGTTTTGCACATTTTTACACTGGAAGTTTAAACTTTTAAAATCTTAGCATTTCCACTTTCATTTTTACACAAAATATTTTCGTAGAAAAAAACCTGCTATTGCATATTCCGCATTTAAAACTTGAAAAGAAGCATTTAGTTTCTAATGACAAGATTCAAATGTCACATGTTTTCATGGTGTGAATCTTTAACCCTTTAAGCCCTAATATCAAAACTAATTATTATGTGTCGCCCCTAAACATGGACGTGGTGGGGAGAAGTTTAAAGTATGCATTAAATTCATCATTTTGATAATGTTCTTCAATCTGATTTACAAAACCTTGATAAAACATTTGATGCTGACTACGCTTAGGGCTTAAAGGTTTAATAATCTTAAAGTTTTCAAAAACTTATGCAACCAAGTTCAGCCATTCAGTTTTGAAAACAAGCACTCTCTGTGAACAGCATGATAATTTTCCTTTTTTTAAGCCTTCAGTGAATTATGTTCCTAGGCACAGTTAAGAAAAGTAGTAGAATATTATAGAATGAAGAGTTTGGTGGAATGTTTCTCCAAATTCGTCTGATATCAGGCATATTTGATGGGACGAGGGTTTTGGCTCAAAGACAACCTCCTCAGATGATTCGCTGGATGCTAATGTAGCCACAGGACCTTCGATGAAGTCAAATGAATTCAAACTCTTCCGCGTTTTTGCCGTTCTTCGACCCGATCGAAAGGACGATACAATTTCACTCCATCTTTCCTCGTTGTTGATCAAATTTAGTGGTCTTGCGTCGTTTAAAATATCGCCATTTACTTTGAAAACCAGAATGGCTGGTTTGGCTGTGGTGCTTTTGGCCCAGTTTAATGCACTGTCTAAACTGTTGGTTAAGTAAAAGCCTGATCCGCAGCTAAAATCACGCTTCTGCCGCCCAGCGCTCAGATCTATCCCTCGGAGTAAGATGTCGGCTGCGCTGAAGTGATCTGTACCATGATAAAGCAGTTGCTCTTCTCTTGGCAAAAATTCATCAAGGATGGCCTGAGTGGTATTACTCGCTTTGGATTCCTCTGTCACGAGGTTCATGATGTTAACTTGGCATGGGTCTATTTCACATTCGCTTACTTCATCTGTTCTACTTGGCAGTTGAAACCACGAGTTAATTAAATTGGCTTGGAAAGGATAGGGACTTGGTAGCGAATACAGCAAAGGATGGTACTTAACTTCATCTCTAATAAAAATCTCTGCCCACTCGTATGCCTCGATGTGACGTTGCATGTTTCTTGAACGCGAAATGATAGATTCAACTGCAGTACTTAGGGGGTCAAAACCGATTGCTTCAAGCAATTCCTTCGTAACTACGTTGTTGTCTTTGGATGTGAACGTTTCTCGAATTATGTTGTTGCGTAAAAAGGTAACAATCCAGTCGCCAAGAGTTCGATGCTCACAATGTTCTGTTGGCACTTCCTTGAGACGGTCGAGGAAGTCTAGTTTAAGACCAAGCAAAGCGCTTAGTCGAGCATTAGGGCAATGAAACCGGTCAATATCCTCCATCGTCAATTTAAAACTTGCCTTTTCTTGCTCTTCTAAAACCTTATTTATTGATGCCTCCTGGCGGTCTGCAAAGAAAGGGCCCATTTCCTCTAGCTTCTTCATGTTGTAGAAGTTCATGATAATAAATTCTTTATATTCCTCAATAGCTTCTTGGACTTCATAAATGGCGTGCTCAAGATCCTGAAGGGAGATGTATTCGTCGTAATTCTCACATCTTGTAATATTTATTCTACGAAGCCAAAGTTTAAAGACAAATGAGCGATTTTCAAGCTTCGCCATTTCGGCTTTACTTTCAAAGAACCGTGGAAGTAGAATTACTGGAGTAACTAATTGGCCATCATTTTCTTCGGCGAAGCCCATGCCGTCTTCCGTCCAGTCTGTTGAGTTGTCGTCGACGTTTTCACCTCTTCTGACTTTTTCTGCCTTTCTTCGAAGGAAATTCCTGATGTAACACTGGCTTCTCTTTAGAGCTTCAAAGTGAGGCAGAAGTTCAAGAAATTTTTCATCCATCGCCGCGATGAGTTTGCAATCACTAAGAATGTAGTCGTTGTTCGACAGATTGCTTTCAGGCGAAGGAGCGGTATTCACAGGGAACTCAAGCGGTCGATGCTTAGATAAAATTTGGGGAAGCAAACTGCCAGATGGTGAACTGTGATTTGAAGTTGAACAAGAGGCCATAACGTCGGTTAAGAGAAAAACAAAACTAAATAAAAAAGAAAATAAAAAGGGCGGAAAACCAAATGCTAGGATGAGGAATTGAATCTTTGAGCGCTTTCTCGATTCAATCGATATTTGAGGGTGGGATTTCACTGTCGTCACCATGACAAGCAATGGAAGAGCCAATCATATCCTCGTGATCTGCCACTCAGTATCTAGAAATGACAGTGATTTGAAGGTTAAGAGAATTTGTATGTTTGTCGCCAGCTTTAGGGATATAAATAGAGAGATTCTCAAAAAAAGAACGACCGTATTAATCAGCCAATAGGATGCGAGCTTTTCTTTCCAGTTGTGTCATAATGAGTACATTCACGGATTATTTATCTCAAGCCAATATTTCTAGGAATTCAGGTCACAGGAAGAGGAAACTTCAACGGAATAAGGAAAATGACGCTGGGGATTGCGGGAAAGGTGGTTTTCTCAAGGCAATACTATATTATCGATTGTGAATTACTTTTCCCTTCTGATTCACTAATCGCTAGCGTGTAATATGCTCTGATTGACTGAAAAGGGGTCATAATCTATCACATTTAATATATCTAACAAAGATGCATTAATTATTCATATTAAGTAACGGTTGCAATTTAAGCAGCGATGATGTATAGTTTAAGTGGCCAAGGCAACTAGCATATCAGAACAAGGGCGGCCATGGTAATCTGATCTACAGGAGTATTGCTATATTTAACGAAGAGACACACCAAAACCGGCATGTCCGTAAACGTGCAAAACAATAAACAGCAATAAAATGGGGCCCTTTTTTGCTCAACAACTTTCTTTTCAGCCTTGAAGACACCTTAATCATTTTTTTTACAGGCAGCTATAAATTTTCAGCTTAACTATTGACTGTGAACTAGAGTTTCTACAAATTGTTCGCGAATGAATCAAGTCCAGCATAGTTTTAAAGCTATGTGGAGAGCACGTTTAACTAACACAACAGTAAAAATTACATGGGTATGTTTCCACTTTTTGCGGGAGAGTGACATGTGCGGGTTCGTTACGTTTACAATAAAAAAAGTGTATTATAAAATACAAAATAAAACTAAAATGTCGATTAAATCCTTTATATAATAAGATCATCCAGCCAACCTCCTTCTCAGACTAACAAAGCTTTTCCGATGAACGACGTTATTTGGTGCACCCCGATTTATTCTCTTAGGAATAGCAGGATGGCGGATACCCTGAAATCTATTTCGGGAAGAGTTTATTTTATCTACCTCTTTGATCAACAATATACCAGAAATTGTGTTTTGGCTGTCCTCTGGGCAGACACGGTTACGATATTTCATGTTGATTTTATACTAAAACGTGGACAATTATTTGTCCACTGTTCCTTCTCTCAACATTTGCTTTCAAAACATCCTGACCCATTTAATTGGCACTCAGCATAAGCACAATGAACGTTCTTCTTCTTTTTTTTTGCTACTCAAACGATTGCGTATTCTTCCATGATTTTTTTGACGGTGAGTTATTGTGGAAAAATCATAGGTTACTTAGATTATAGTCAAAAATCTAATCTTGAAAGAATGTAAATGTGCCCAGATTGTGCAACTCGTGTCATTCAAGAAGGAAACTCTCTTACGTTGTCTCTGTCGATGATTTTGTTGTTCAGTAATCAGTTGCTCTTGTCCTAGATTTCATTATTAAGCAAGTTCATCACGAATTTCAAGAACAGAAAGTATGATCGCTATGACGTTTTTGGCGACAAAGATGGATTCGTCTTTTCCATAACTGAATACTATCACCAAGCGAATAACTAAGAAGGGTCCATTTACCAGACCTATTTCAATAGCGTTGCGACTTATTGCTGAGATAGTTTTTTTCCTACTTTGCAGTTTAGTTTCTATCATTGGCCAGAGCGATAGTAAAAAACTTATGCAGGCAACAGTAATCATTGCTATGCCAAATCCTTGGGAGATTCCATAGTTGTGCTCTTTCTCGTCCAGAACGATGTCTATCATTTCGACTGCATCTAAGAGATCCACCGCCAACTGCACACACAACTTATAAACATCGTCCTTGTTCTCGTCGGACTCGTTTGCGTCGCTTGCAGTGTTCAGCAGCAATAGCAACAGAAGTGGTGTTACACAAAGTGTTGCCTTTAGAAGCGTTGGACCAAGTGTTTTGGCCCCGTCGTTGTTTCCGGTAAAGACTGGCGCTCTTAGAGGGTCACAGAGATCGTTAGCAGCTCTTAAAAGATCATCACACAGCGTTAAATTTGCTGTTTCGTTAGAAACTCATAGAAGAGCATCACAATGAGTGGCATTTGCAGTCGTGTTGAACGATTGGAGGTATCCTGCACCTCCAAAGACGATGACAATACTTGGAATCAATCCCGGGAAAATATACAAACCCCATACACCAAATGACCAACTTAGGTTTGCCTCCAGTCTAGATGGCTTGGGTAACACAAGACAGAGCCACAGGATCATCGATGGACAGTACAAAGTAAGCGCTATGCCATACCAATAATCATTTTCTGTGTATTTTGCTGGATAAGAGGCAAGCAGGAGACCTTGGGTGACTGTCAGAGCGAAAAATGTTCCACGCCCGATCATCTTAAACACAGAAGACAGATCTAGATTCATGTTTCCAGTCTTCTGAGAAGGCAGAACGGTGGCAAGTTTTAATGTCGCCTCAGCAAGATTGAAAGTGCCACAGCACCCGCTCACAGTCCATATAACTTAACTTCGGTCTTGCTGTAAATTACGAATTGCACTGAGGTATTCACCAAAGGTTCCTCGGCATATTCCCAACCTTTGATTTACCACTCAGTGCCTTTGCAGCAGACAGCCAAAGTTTCTAAAAACGTATTCGTAACAACATCAAGGCCAGTAGCTACGAAAACGCACAGAGAAAACAAAAAAGCGTCACTTAAACAAAACGAACAGTTGAAAGATGTTTGTATGGCTAAGGCGACAGCTTTTCCGAGAAACTGCGAAGGCCTTCCGCTGATTTTCCGAGAAGAGCTGTTAGGGGTATTCCCCGTGCAATTACTATTGGACGATACTTTTAAAAGTCAACGAAAATAGCAAAAGAAAATGATCCATAGACAGTGGAAGTTGGAGAGTGTAACTAAAAGGAATGAATTAAAGACGACGAAATTGATTTAAACCCATTTGCGTGACGTTTGAGCTATGGGACCGCGCTGACCTGGATACTACTTTTTCCGCTTTGAAAAGCGTTTACCTCAATCCGAAATCAAATGTACTCGTCGGGTACATTTAGAAATGCGCTTCAATCTTGCCTAGTGTTCTATTCGATCCTCGATCTATTACTAATTACGTCTTTTTGAGCAAACCTTTACTCATCCTATAACATTATTTTATCATTTTAGTGAGCATCGCACGTCCAATTCGTTTGGGGTCACACGTCTTCAATTAAGCGTAAACAAAACCCTTAAGTATGCAAATTTATCCGTGTCAAAGTGGTTATTCATTTACCCTCGAGGGAAGTAACAACCGGATCTCACAGGCTAGTCTTTCGCTGTAGTTTCAGCTTTCCGAAAAATTATTTTTATACCTTATACCGATTTCTTCCCTTCTAGAACAGGAAAATATTTCTTTATAACACTTTTCATTAAATGACCCCCCAGGTAACGCTTCCTTTTCTGAAAATGACCCCCCCCCCCCCAAAAAAAAAAAAAACAAAAACAAAAACAATCAAGATTTCAAACATGACCCCCCAGCAAAATGGCCGATTAACGTCATTCTCACAGACAGAATCAGGATGTCTCTGAATACTGCTACCAAAAAATAGAAGCCAATTGCCAGATAATTTTTTTTTGTAGTGGAATAATAAACCTCTTATTCGATGGTTTAGCATATAATACGAGCGGACATTTTGCTCATTGCTCGTATTTTTCCTCGCCCCTGCGGGGCTCGGAAAAATACAACGCAACTTGCAAAATATCCGCACGTATTATATGCTAAACCATCGAATAAGGTGTATTTATTCTTTAAATATAGTTACCCAACTTCAATAAGAAAGCTAGAAGCTCAAAAGCATCCTCTCAGGATATGTTGTGATATTTAGGTGATTTATAATTTGTTTTGACTTTTCTGTTCTTTGATAAAAGATTCAGATAGTCCACTCCAGATGTTCTTGTTCTTCTTTAATTAGTTTTTATTTATCTAAACCATCGAATAAGAGGTTTATTATTCCACTACAAAAAAAAATTATCTGGCAATTGGCTTCTATTTTTTGGTAGCAGTATTCAGAGACATCCTGATTCTGTCTGTGAGAATGACGTTAACAATTAGCAAAATGTTCGCGCGTTTTATATGCCAAACCATTGAATGAGAGGTTAATTATTTTACTGCAAAAGAAAAATGGTATTTTGGCTTCTATTTTCTAATGAGAGTATCCAAAACATAAAACGTATTTTATTTGTTCTCTTGACCTTATATGGCAAAATGACATAATAGTGGAATAATAATACGTAATACTTCTCGCGTCTTTTACTTCTTATAGCCAAGGCTATGTACTCTACTATGTGTCGAAAGCAGGATTTAGATGTAGTTTCAAGCATAATTCAGTGTAATATGCAATACCCAAACATTTCATAATATTTCAAAATTGATAGAAACGAGGAAAACATTACTGAAATAGACGTCCATAAATCTATGTCCTCTCACTAGTAGAAGTCACGTACAAGCTTCGTAAATATTTCTTGGTTTCTATAATATTGCGGTCGCCTAAGGCTGTGGTCTTGCGGGATCGCACTTCATACTCTTTCTCTATAAAGAAAACCTACAATGATGTCTGTCAGAGTGAGTCAGTACTGAGCAGGCTCAGACTCGAAGATCAAGTTTGTTATCAGCCTGATTTCGCCAGATGGAGTATATTTCCAGGGCGGAAAAATACATTACGAAAATCGAGCGCCCGTTATAGTATTAAGTGCTCTATCTCTATGATCTTACGGAAAAATAGATATAGGGGGACCTAACTATAGCAGGTTATGCAAACCGCCTGAAAAGTATCAAGTGAACAATGTCAAATTGATATTCTAGCATTAAGTGAAGCTGGCGTGATCGAAAAAGAGGGTCTTTGTAATGAAAATTCCGGGATCAGGAGTCCATGCTACAATTGGGTGTCTGTCTCCCTCAGGCCGGAGCCTACATGTCCCGGGACATCACGGAACACCCCCCTGACGGGACGGACACCCCGGAACACCCTTAATGACAAAAATTAGGCCAAAAAAATACAAAGTTAAAAAAAAACCCCTAAAAATCATCAATGAATCAATAAATATCTTTCATTTGTAACTGGAAAACGGAGATTGGGTCAGATCGACGAGTTCACGCTAGAGTGGGGGCGGACTTAACGACTTCTGAAGAAATCAAAATCAGTCGCACATGCATCAACAGCCGTGGGAAAAGAACAGTTAATTGCTATTGGTCCATGTTTTTCCTACTCTTTTCCCATATTGGACAATGCCCCTTATAAAATTATTCTCTTTTGTCATCGGCCAGGAAGAGAGATCATTTAAAAAGGGACGATACTGGGTATCTTGCATCTGAAAAAAAGTTTTATGTTTCAAATATTGCTTTTCTAAAACATGTGAACAAAGTTCTCTAGTAACGTGCGCCCATGAAGAGTTTCGTTTCCCAATGCAGAGGCGTGCCTGCCCGCACCATCTATAAAAAAGCAATAATGAAAATTTCAAAATAAAATAAACGGTGAAAAAAAAAAAATTCTGGGGAAAAAAGGCATTTTTTTGGTAACTCAAACTTAACTCAATCTTAACCCAAACTCAACTCAAACTCAACTCTAACTCAACTCAAGATTGTCACTCGATAAATAGCCGATCCCGCATGAAACAACAAGCGTGAAATAAATTAGTAATTCAAACGAAAGCTGTTATGCCCCGTGAAGGTAATCGGGGTTTCGAAATCCAGGAACGTGTTGCCCGTGGAATTCGGAATCTGGGAAAATTTTCCTTGTAGAATCCGGAATCCTGGGCTTTGGACTCCGGAAAACAAGCACTTTTTACTTAGTTTGGCTTCATTGTGAGAAAATGATGAAGGAAAATACAGTGTCAGATTGAAGGTGACGACCGATTGTGGACCAGTAATGCGTTCCGATGCTCGTTTGTTTCAGTATAAAGTGATACAGTCGAACCTCCACTAATAACCACCTCTCCACAACGGGCATTTTTTTCTTGTCTTGTCCCGGCGGGCGGTCCATACAATAGAGACCTTAAGATCGAGGTTTGGCCATCTTACCGCAAACGGCAAACCACGGTTTGCAGTCAGCAGTTGCACGTTACCTGCCGTCTGCCCATATTTTGGGACTTAGGATTCGAGGGTGGTAGCCGCGTTTGCCATGTTTAATTTGTTTTCATTCGCTTTTTGGCTTCTAGTTTAGCTGAAATATTGTCTTCAAATTAGGTTTCGTTAAAAAGAGAATTCCATAATTCCATTTTTCTTTGAATAAGCAAAAGAGTTCTGAAAAGAAGTATATCCTCGTAAACGTGGAATTCTGATGTCTTAGAGTGAAATAAAACCTTGCGGTAAATCACTTACCTCAAGAGCGTGGTCGAGCCTTACAAACGTTAACTTCAAACCGCAAACCTGGCGACAAGGCACTAGTCACGTGACTTCTTGGCGTTCACGGGACCGTTTGCGGGAAATGGTAAAAAACCTCGATCGTAAAGTCTCTAACTGACTCCTTTTTAAACCTTTCTACAACGGCACTCTCTCTACAACGGCAACGGCCACTAAAGCATGTCCCCAACTGCCAAAATAACCTCTCGACAACGGCCAGTTTTTTTCAGCGACTGATGAAAAAGTCATTTCATCCCTACAGCGCGTCAGAGATTAATCGCAGCAGTCGGATTTTGATTGTACTCCATTTATACTGCTGCAGTAAGCATAAATTGCCCACAATACTTGTAGCGAATGCTGCGAACCTTGTTCGTTTTGTCACGCCCAGACATTTTGATTCAAGAGAAATTGACGTTTCGAGGTATTTCATCTCTATGTATTATTAGGAGCCTGTGGACTCCTAGTATTTTACATGATTGGATTACCATTATAGTGGCATGAAACTTAGCAAAATAAACATGTTTTACTCCCTAAAAAACAAATCTGCCATATTACACTTCTACCTCCCCATAAGGGCCACCTTTCCACAGCGGCCACTTTCTTCTGTCCCCAAGGTGGCCGTTGTGAAGAGGTTCAACTGTATTTCTGCTAAAGATTTATGCTAATTTATGCAACGTTATTGTATATAAACCAGAAATGCAACATTTTGATGATCAATTTTGGTGGTGCTTTTGGCCCCACCGTTAAAGGTAGGGAAATTAGGTCGGAGTTGAAGGGAGTCGCCGCGTCCGATTTCTGAGAGAGATAGTAGAATTTATCTCTTCACCTTTACCTTTGACGACCTGAAAAGTCGTGCCGACTTTTTTAAAAAAAACGTATCCAGTATAGTATGAATAGGTACGGGACAGGTGGTCACTTTTAATGATGCAATGCCTCCGCCAAATTAAAGGCAATTGGCATCGGGTTGATGTAACATAAATCCGACCCCGTCAAGGCGGGTTACCCCAAATTGAAGTGCTTCCATGGGAAAATTTGACCCTGCTGAGAGCGTGCAGAGTTACACGGTCTGCATGACACACCGGGCAACCTGCCTCGGCGGTCACCTTACCTATCATGTAAACAAGATCAAGTTAAAATGCGAGATTATGTTGACAGGCGTGTTACCTCACCTACCTGAGGTCCTCTACTTCCATGTAAACGGGCCCTAAACCTATATTGCTGCTTGTAGAAGTATTTATCAAGCTCTTGATCCAGAGCGTCTTATTGATGAATCTCGAGGAAGTAGGGAGTATTTGGCTGCTCTATTTGAAGGTTCGCGAATAGATGGCCATCTAGACCGGGCGCGAAGATATCGATCAAATCCTCCTTCATGGAGATAGATAGTGTTTTCTGTGCATTCAACAAAAGTGATGGGCCACGGAGTAAAAAACTGCCGACTCTAGCTTGCTGGTCTGGAAGAAAAGTGGGAAACGTACGAAACAAACCAGCTTTGCATAAGTAGCCTGCAAAGCAGGCGCATTTTGGAACGCGATCCATGATTTGTTTTCGGGACTGACGTTGCCCCGCCATCTTGGACGTTAATACTACCAAAGAGTTGGGACGAGTCAAAAACTGATTTTAAGGGAGAGGTTGATGGGTTTAAAATAGAGGAGGTGGAGGGTTCTCCCTTAGTCTTTCCCTTGGCTATTCAAGACTCGGGCGGCCGCGATCAATGTACTCCAGGGCGGATAAAGGTTGGGCGGTGAAACGAGAGCGTCCGAGCAAAAAGGTGTGATGCAGTGGACTGGGACTCTACTTATTAGAAATGTCGCTTGTTTTCGACTTCGGTCAGGGCTTGCGATGTGGTTTGTCTATTAGACACTGCCGCTGTCACTGAATTATGGCGGCTTGTTTTGTTTTCTTGCACTTCTTCTTCGTTCCTTTGTGCTGGTACGCTGTCTCCGAGAGGCAAATGTTGCTATTTTTTTGCGGGAGGTTTAGTTGGAGTAGACAAACATCTCTTTCAAAGGGTTTCTCTGATTACTTCCATGACTCTACCACTGAATTATATTTTCGTTCTACTACTCCTAACTCGCCAATGTCGATGTTATTCCAAAACAAAAACAACTAAGTATTGTCTAAAACACGAAGGAAAATGTCATCCATGGAAAAACTAAAAGACAACAGATCGTGTGTTTCATAACTAGTATAGATGACGTGCATGTTATAAATGCGTGCAGCTCGTGCAAGGTGAAATTATGCTGATTTCAATCACCATCATCCTTCTTTTTAATTTTGACAAAAAAACGTCTCATACGTCTTTCTGTTTCTTCGAAACTTCAAAATTAGTTTCCCTCAGTTTTTACTGTTTACCTTGTTTTGTTTTAGGGAGAAAAACGGAGAAAAAAACTTTACAACTAACCTCAATAAATTTTGTTTACATGCAGTTGCCGGATTTGCGACGTTTGAAGCAGTACAACGCCACTATATCAAAATATATCAATCTAATTTTTTGTTATGTTACATAAAATTTACCCTCTTTAACATATGTAAAAATTGAGGTTAAGAAGTGTTAAGCTTTTGCAAACGAAACGGCGAAAGACGATTAGGTGATATTTAGTGGAAGGAGGATGTATTCAACACTTTCAATTTAAACTCAAATTTTGTCATTATACGACCAACAAGTTTGACTTATAGGCATACAGACACAAACATATGAAACTTTTTATTGATATTGTTATGAAACGAATTTATCTATTTAACATTGTAGCCTGAAATTACAGAAAGAAAATAGGATTTCCGGTTTACAAAAAGGAAAATTTCGCCGGTCTTCAAGCGCACCGGAAGCGCGGAAAGAGGGCTCGTGCCAGTCCTACTCTGCATCACAAATTAAATGAAGAGCGGAGCGCTCGTTTCGCCGCCCAACCTTTATCCGCTCTGATGTACTCGGTCTGAGTTTCCGTTAAAAAACGCCTGCTCTGCAGGCTATACAAAACTGGAGGTGAAAGGGTTAAATTCAGTATGTATGTTTGATGCATGCTGATCGCGTATTGTAGGAATGTACACTTTGATTGGTTTTAAATAGTTTATTTAATAATGAAATAAATGTAAATGTAATACATTTTCACAGTTATAGGTGGAAACGATTCTGCAGTTGATCCTGTTGATTCAACCCTTCCTGCTTTATTTTGTCAATCATGTTGTTCTTATGCTAAGTATTATTTATTTAAGCATAGTTTCCACTTGAAAAGGAAGGAGGTTAACGTTTGCATAAAAAAAGATCAATCTCAGCCTCACGTTTACTCAAAGGCTTAGATTTAAGCCAACAGCTGTTAGATGGTCTATATATTTCGTAAGTAGAATATTCGTGAGAAAACAAAGAAATTAAGCAAACGGCAAACGTCAGATTCAAGTTGAGAATTTATCAAAATGGAAAATGAGCAGATAAAAACAGCTTAAAACAATTCTTAAGGACAAAAAGTTGCGTGAAACTACTTATTTATGAGTAGAAGTAATGAACAGTAAACGACGACAAGTAAAGGAGAAACTTGGTCGCGTGGTACAAATTCGCGTTTGCCGTTTGATGTAAACGTGATGCTTAACCTCTCTAACAGCTTATCAAAGAGGAGAACAGCCATTAAGGGCAGGAGGGTACGAATTTAAATGAGTTCAGTCTAGCGATCGAAGGGAGCGCTTTTTCCCTTAATTTAATACTGAATCATGGCATCTATTGTGTTCCTGTGCGTATATAAACTATCCAATGGCATGTCATCAATACATTTACACTTGATCAGTCGTAAAAACAAATCAGTTAGGCTCCGCTCCATCCCCTTTGCTGGGGAAAGAGAGGTCGTTCAAAACAGTCGTCATCATCTTGTTTTCCTCTAAAAATGCAGAAAATACTTAGAAACTAAAGATTTTGCCATGATAAAAGTTTTGAGTATCTTAAAATTTACTTGACATGTGCAAATTTGTTTGCAATACATTTTGCGTTTTTGTAGAAAAAAAGGAAAAAAACTCACAGTTTTGATAACAAGTTGGGTTGACTCTGTGTCTCCTTTCACGTAAATTCCCGTCCGCGCAGTGATAGAGACCGATTACCTTTATGTTACTCGAATTAAAATGTTGCTAAAATGTGACTTAGAAATAAATAAACAACTAAAGAAAACGGAAAAGAAATTTTGAGCAGTTTCAGGCAGAGCGTTTTAGTTAGTGAGGACGCCACTACCTACTATGGGTAGCCGTACGCTCCTGCGTTTGCCATCTAAAACAAAGTGAGGCCGCGACTTGCTGAAAGAAAGCTCTTACTTTTCCGTTTAATTCTCGTCACGTAAAAAGTCACGACAAGCACATTCAATCATGGCGTAAATTAGTTTTAAAAGCGAAAAAAAGCTAACATGTGACCTTGAAGTTGCTGTTTGGATTTTTATAGGAGATTAATGACCTCCAAAATACAACTAACGCTGGGCATCTGGACAAAGACTAGTTTTCAAATCATGCCTTGGGTCACGACAACTGGTAGAGCTACGATCCGATATCAAGAAATACAACCGAGTAAAGTGTCTGCTGAAAAACCTCCGCAAATTCGTCTGAAATGAGGCACATTTGATAAGATGAGGGTCTGGGCTCAAACGCTAACTCGTCAGATGTTCCGTTTGTCGTCAGTGTGGCAATAGGTCCTTCAATCAAATCATAAGAGGTTATCAAACTCTTTCGTGTTTTGGCTGTTCTCCGACCCAATCTATACGAACAAATAATTTCGCGCCATCTATCTTCATGTTCGAATAAATTAAGTCTTCTAGAATTATCCAAAAGCCTGCTGTCGACAAGATAAGCCAAAATGGCGGGCTTTGCTGTGGTGCTCTTTGCCCAGTCTAAAGCATCAACTAAATTTCTTGTCAAATAAAACCCTGATCCACAGCTGAAATCACGCTTCTGTCTTCCGGCACACAAATCTATTCCCCGGACTAATATGTCAGCCGCGCTGAGATGGTCTGTGCCATGAAAAAGCACCACGTTTTGTTCACCTTGTGACTGACTGTCGAACAATGTATGAGTGTCTCTGTACGCACGAGATTCCTTCGTCACGCAGTTCATAATATTGACGTGGCGAGGGCTTTCTTGACTTTTCCTATCCTCGTTTGTCATATTCGGGAATTGAAACCATAAATTCGTTATGTTACTTTGAAAGGGAAAGTTCACAGACAGGGCACTCCATGTAGGATTGTACTTCAGCTCATCTCTGACAAAAATTTCTGCCCATTCGCACGCTTCAACGTGGTGTTGCGAATTTCCTGCGAATGCGCGCGCAATTATTGTTTCAACGGCTTTACTATGTGGATCAAAACCGATTTCCTCAAGCAACTCTTTGGTGAGAGATGATTTGGTTGTCGAGCAAACTGGCTCACACTTTGCTTTCAAGAAAGTAGCTATCCAGTTAGTGAGTGTATAACGATCACGAAATTCGGGCGGTATTTCGTCGAAGCGGTCAAGGAAGTCGAGTTTTAATCCGAGCAGAACACATAGTTGTGACCAATTTTGATTGTCCCAATGATCGGTACAGTCTCTTTCCAACATGTTAAGCTTTGAGTTTCGTGGTTTATTTCACGTCATGAGGGTTCTGATTTTTCCGAAGTTCTTCTGAATCAGTAGTCAAAATAAAAGGCCCTTGTACTCGTTCTCTCATCCATGGTCACACTTGTATTGGATTGATTCTCGCCAATGTGTAAGGCACGTCTCGAATTATCCAAAAGACTGGTGCTACATGAATCTGAGAGAGAATTAAATGCGAGAAAATAAATTGTCTAACCATCCATATTTGAATATAAAAAATCCCACAGAGCCACGTATTACTTATTTATTCTTGTCACCGGTTAGAGTATTTTGCCATGGAAACGGGATCGATATCAATCACGTCAGCCAATGAACCGTACAAAAGAAAGGTGAAAAGGAGGGAAGGGAGAATTCGAAAATTTGTCTGAATCTTTGCTCGATGTGGTTTTTAAAATCATTCATTACTGTTTCGTCTGCCTGATGGAAAGTCTCTTCGCGTTAAAGTGGGTCGTATAGCCAATGCTAGAAAGTTTGTTAGATTACATCTTTTTATCTAGGTTGTTCCAAGTAGCCTGCATTTAGCGCTGCGCTCTATCAAATATGGTCAGTCTCATAAATCTCCCAAATGGTTTGCTTGAATTTCTCAGAATTAAGGGAGTTTCTGGGAATGTGTAGCGATCAGCATTATAAGGGCAATTCTGCGCGTTTCTTGCTAATCGTATGCCGAAGGCAATGGCGATGACTGAAAGGATGATGATCTCAAGCGCAATGGCAACCAATCTGAGTTGTACTTGGATAAAAAGATTGGATGCGAGCGAAATTCAACGATGGTTTCAGACCCTGCAAGAAATGATTGAGTGGTTCAACACGCCGAAAATGGAGAACGTGGAGAATTTTCCTCGAGCCAGCCGACTATTCCTGCATCTTAAATCTCACTTCCTACATGTATTTGAACACCTTGGGAATGTTTTATTCAAGTGTAACCGTTTTCCGTACAAGGAGACAGTCACTAATGAATGGTTCACTCTGCCAGATGATGAGAACGATAGAAAACAGCCGGTAAAGGTAATAAATGTCGATAAAGCCGGTAAGGAAAGTATTACTAAATGCTACTTATCCCAAAATGGCGTCGATGATTTCATGAATTCACTTATTGATGGCAATCATGAAGTATTTTACCATGGAACAGGACACCAGTACGCTCAGGACATTATAGAAGGTGGCATCGACTTTAAAAAGGGGGCTGATTGCCAAGATTTCAGCAACGGGGACGGTTTCTATCTTGGTGATGACTTTGAGGAGGCTTGCAGATGGCCAGCATCTCGTGGACACCTTAAAACTGCTGTCCTTGTCTTTTGTGTCGAGAAGACGGAGCTGCGAGATCCATATAAAGGGTTGGATCTGAGGAATAACAAGAAGAGATGGTCAGAGTTGATCAAGCAATTTCGCTCAGGACGGCCAGCTAAAAAATTTGTCAAAAGTTTGAGGGAGTACGACTTTATCGAAGGGCCTATGGCTTCTTGGTCTAGCAGGAATCTAAATGACGATGATCCGAGGCAGAGACATGGTACATATCAACTATGTGTTAAAGAAGACAGTTGTGCTGAGATATTTGATCGAAGCCTCCATTCTGTAATTTTCTTTGAACATTAGCCATAAAGAAGTTGTTTTCTTTGTTTGAGTACATGATAACACCTATAGCATTCTTCTAACTGTTGTCAATACTAAAACGTATCGTAAACGTATGAATTTGTTTACGGCCATCATTTCTTAGAGGAGCAATACAGGGTGATCAAAGTAAAACAACTTATGGCTATCGTTTACTATCGCTGTTGCATCGCGCCATAAAGCAATGTGTTTGTGCTCTATTAAAAACCATTTATCTCGAAAACAGGAAAATCAACGTAGGAGGAGTCTATAACATTTCTTGGTTATTTGACGAGAAGGTAATTTATCAGTGCTGTCATTATTTTTCAATTTATCCTTTTGCAACATTTGTAGGAGCGGATCATTAATGTTGTACTGTGTTGTAACAAGAACTGACATTATCTCTGACTAATCAGTTTCTTACTAAGGGTACTAATAAGTCAGGGACATCAAAATGAAGAAACAGCAGGGTAGAAAGTAACTGTTCCTATTCCACTTGCCATATTAAATGTTGACCCATTCCACTGTCTGATCTGAAATCTCCTCTGGCACATTTTTAGTTAGACTCACCTTCACCCGATATATCAGTTACTTGTCGTATTTGTCGGTACAATTTTATTAAAGATAGGTTTTTCTTTTGAAATCTTAACACATCCCTCGACCTCTCTATGGTTTTTCTTGAAGATGTTCCATCCGTTAACTTGATAGTCAAATATCAGCACCACAGATTCCTGTCTCTGTTCAGCCAAGGTAGTGGATTTCTTGGCTTACAAAACTGTTAAAAAGTTTCCTTTCCAGTGGATTTTGAAAATGATTGTACAATGTATAAGGGAATGCGCATTCTAATTGGCTCGGTTGTTGATAGGGAATTTTAAAGGACTTGGATAATTCTTTATAGAAAATAGTTGTTTTTAAATTTGTTTCTCTGAAACAGAGAGAAGATAAGATGTACTGAAAGATAATATACGGATTTAGCCAAGCCTAATAACGGAGCTGTTACATTCTAAACAATTCACTATAGGCTTGTTTTTCTTTAAAACAGTATGACTTAGTCAATCACGAAGCGTGAGCATCCTCCCCCTAAAAACGGAGGCATTAGTATTATTCATCATTGATAATAGTAGCCTGGGGATTATAGCGTCCTACACAGATGTCTTTTTAGCTTAACTATCACGAAAGAGAGTTGCATGATGAGCCAAAAGGATGTCTGCAAAGGAGAGACGGGATGGCACATTTCACATTACGAGGATATATTAACCTTTTAAGTCCCAATAATGACCAACAGCAATTTTCTCCACACGACATCCATGCATTATCATGAGAGGAGGTTATCAGAATTAATAAAATGATCACCTGAGAGAAAATACTTTGATCTTTTATCAAATTCTCTTAACTAATTCTTAAAGGAAATGTATAGAGATCAGTTTGGAGAATTTGTATGTGGATACTGGGGCTTAAAGGGTTAATAAGCGATATTCACAGGGTAAATAAGGCTGTTTTTTAGTACCCAGAACTGGTGTCATAACAAGGGCTAACACGCACTTCTCGGCTTAAAGTGTGGGGACACCAAGGGTTGAACTTGAACCTGTCAGTGATAACTACCGAGCAACTTTATGATGTAAGATGTGATTCAATTCAGTTCATTTATTACTGAACTTACAATGCATTACAACACGCGAATTGTATAATGACAGAACGACAGTTTGAAGTTTGGCTTCACATTTGATTTTATCTCATGCCAGCGAAATTTCTAAGTACTGCTTAAAAACAAACAGCAGAGTATTATCAGGTTTGGCGAGAATTTTCAAACCTGATAATACACGACTGCGAGTTTTTTGAACGGCTTCAAAATCTCTCAAAGAGATCAACTCATTCTTTCACTAATATTTAGATTTCGGTTTTTTTTGGTCTAAAAAATTGGGCGTAAAGTTTACCTGTGTCTTAATCAGATGTAAACAGACTCAATAACACTAAACATTCATTTGTTTTGTTTTTTCGTTATGAACTATTAATGAGTTTTTGAAGTCTTTATGAAAAGTTCCTGGTACTGATGAGCAACACATTATTAACTAAATCCTATCTCATTTTGCACATTTTTACACTGGAAGTTTGAACTTTTAAAATCTTAGCATTTCCACTTTCATTTTTACACAAAATATTTTCGTAGAAAAAAACCTGCTATTGCATATTCCGCATTTGAAACTTGAAAAGAGGCATTTAGCTTCTAATGACAAGATTCAGCCCTAATATCAAAATTAATTATTGTTAGTGCCCCTAAACATGGAAGTGGTGGCGAGATGTTTAAAGAATACATTAAATTCATTATTGTGATAATGTTCTTCATTCTAAATTTTAAACATTGATAAAGCATTTGATGCTCTCTTCTCTTAAGGCTTAAAGGTTTTATGACATTGAAGTTTTCAAAAACTTATTCAAGCAAGTTCAGCCAATTTTGAAAACAAACACTCTCTACGAAAAGTATTATAATTTTCTTTTTTTAAGCCTTAAGTGAATTATCATAATGTTCCTAGGCATACAGTCACGAAAAGTAGTAGAATATTATAGAATGAAGATTTTGGCGGAAATTTTCTGAAAAGTCTTCTGATATAAGGCATATCTGATGGGACGAGGCTTTTGCCTCAAATACAACGTCTTCAGAGGATTCACCGGCTGTTAATGTAGCCACAGGACCTTCGATCAAGTCAAATGTTCTCAAACTCTTTCGCATTTTTGCCGTTCGTCGACCCGATCGAAATGACGAAACGATTTCACTCCATCTTTCCTCATTGTTGTCCAAATTTTCTCTTCTTGCACCATTTAGAATTTGGTGATTTACTTGGAAAACAAGAATGGCTGGTTTGGCTGTGGTGCTTTTGGCCCAGCCTAACGCACTATCCAAACTGTTTGTTAAATAAAAGCCTGATCCACAGCTGAAATCGCGGTTTTGCCGTCCCGCGCTCAAATCTATTCCTCGAAGCAATATGTCGACCGCGCTGAAGTGATCCGTAGCGTGGTAAAGCAGAACGTGATCTTCATCTCGAGGCAGAAAGCCATTAAGATTAGCTTGAGTGGTATTACCCACATTGGATTCCTCTGTCACGAGGTTCATGATGTTAACTCGGCTTGGATCTATTTCACATTCACTTTCTTCATCTGCTCTGCTCGGCAGTTGAAACCACGAGTTAATCAAATTGGCTTGAAAAGGAAATGGAACTGACAGGGAATAAAATAAAGGATGGTATTTCACTTCATCTCTAATGAAAAGTTCTGCCCACTCGCACGCCTCGATGTGACGTTGCATGTTTCGCGAGCGCCAAATGATAGTTTCAACTGTTTTACTTAGGGGGTCAAAGCCGATTGTATCAAGCAATTCTTTGGTGAGAACTTTCCTGTCAGTAGAAGGGACAGATTCGTTGTTGTTTCGTAAAAAGGTAACAATCCAGTCACTGAGCGATCGATGATGAGCGTGTTCTGGCGGCATTTCTTTAACGCGGTCAAGGAAGTCGAGTTTGAGACCAAGTAAAGCGCTCAATCGAGCAGTAGGGCAATGAAACCGAGTGAAATCTTCCATCACCAATTCAAAACTAGCTTTTTCTTTTTCATCCAACACCTTACTTAAAGTATTCTCGAGACAATCGTTGTAAAAAAGGCGCATTTCTTCTAGCTTCTCTAAGTTGTAATAGTTCTTGTAAATAAATTCTTTGTATTCGTCGATGGCATCTTGGGCTTCGTAAATGGCATGTTCGAGATCCTGAAGAGAGGCATATTTGTCTTTATCCTCACATCTCACGACATCTATTCTACGAAGTAAAAGTTTGTAGACTAAAGAACGATTCTCGATCTTCGCCATTTCTGCTTTACTTCCAAAGAACGGCACCAGAATAACTGGAGCTACTATTTGTTCATCTTCACCCTCGGATTCCTCGCCATCGTCTTCCTCAGAGTCTGTTGAGTCGTCGTCTTCACCTCTTCTAATTTTGTCTGCCTTTCGTTGAAGAAAATTCTTGATGTAACACTGGGTCCTCTCAAGAGCCTCAAAGTGAGGTAGAAGCTCACGGAATCTTTCATCCATCGCAGCTAAGATTTTGCAGTCGCTTTGAATGTAATCATTGTTCGAAAGACTATTTTCTGATAAAGGCTCGCCGTGTCTACCGAACTCGAATGGTCGCTCTTTGGTCAGTAACTGAGGAAAAAGTTCACCAGATGATGGATTGGAAGTTGTAGTGCAAGAAGCCATGTTGGCCTTTGACAAAAATAAAAAGAGAAGGAGAAAATAACATAAAACCAGAAGAAAAGAGCTAGTGTAAGTAATCTACGATTTCAGCGCCATTTGTAACTAATCGATACTGGGAAGTTGGGAGGTTTTTCAACGTCATGACAAATAATTAAGAACCAATAGGGTTCTTCGTTTTTGACACCACACCTTAAACAGCAATAATATGAATGTAAAGAGAAATTACATCTTCGTCACCTGTTTTGCGAGTTTATGTTTTATTTAAAGGGAAAGATTCTCATAACCGAAATAAACGGGTCAGCCAATAGAATACGAGCTTTCCTTTTCAATTGTGTCGTAATATGATTTTCTGAGTGGCTGACCTAAAAATAGTAAAATTTCTAGGAATCAAGGATAAAGGTCATAAAGGAAGCGGAAACTTTGAGAAAGCGACGAAATAAGGCAAATGACTCAAGAGATTGCGAAGAAGGTGGTTTGCCGAAAGCACTGTTATATTATTCGATTATTCGTTTACTCATAGTGGACTTCAAAAAGACCATAATCCATCATATCTAAAATGACTTGATTTACAGCCATGTTTCCAACTTGAGCGGCAGCTAGTGTTGTATCTCTTGTAAACAAACCTCGGCGACCAATGCAAGTTGCACATCAGGCCCCGGTTGTTCAAAAGGTGGATAACGCTATCCACTGGATAAATCTCTATCTAGTGGATAGAGCAATTGGTTTCGCTAAAACATCCTCTGGATACTGATTTATTCGATGAATAGCACTATCCAATAGCGGCCAGTACGAGTGGTGGCCATGGTAATCCGATCTAGTAAAGCCCACAAGTTTCACGATTAGGTTTTTTCCTCCATTGTTAATAACGGAAAGAAACAGACAAGACTCCAACTAAGGACTATGTTCACACTAGGCCGGATAGTATTTGCACCGGCACAAAAACAAATACTACATACCTGATAGAGATTCTTTTTACTCATAAGAAAGATGATTTTGGCGCAATGTCTGTAACTGAATGATTAGCTGCGCCGCGCTGATCTAAAAAGTGGGGCGTCACATATCGGATAGGGTTTGTGTCACAGTTTGGTACTTTGAGAACAGGTATTCGGACCGCAGCAGAAGTGATTAAGGAGGAGCGAGGATTGGGACACACTGAGACTTAAGTAAATATTCAGGAAAGAGGACCGGCATTTAGTGCGCCAAACACTCTCGGCCAATCGCTCCGGCACGATGTTCGATGTGTCAAAGAAACGTTCCAGTCCCGGGCCGTTGCTCTTCATTACAGTTTTAATTTCGTGTCGTCACCGCTTTTGATCTTATGTCAAAAGAATTCCTTTTCAGCTTGACATTTAATCTCAAAATAGTTAAATTTAACGAAGCACTACATAATAGACTGGGACTAAGACTTTCTAAATTTCACTCCCGGTTAAATGAAGTTCTGTTCGCTACTAGCGCGTGCTTCCTTTAGATTAAACGCACCCGATGAAAACCTGATGAAAGTGTGTTTTAACTTGCTACGTGTTCTAGAAGACATTGTCCCCTTCTTTCACGTGATAGGTGCTTGGCTATGTCACGCTATTTGGCAACGGAAATTCGAAAGGGGTGCGTTGTTTGGAAATGAATCTATTGGGGACCGCTCTTAAAGGCTGTAATAAACAACGTATCTTCCTCGCACTGTGCCTCTACTTTTCCCGCTGTATTGTCAACTATGCTAAATTCAATAACAAAATACAAAATAGCAACCTTGCATGGAAAAGAAATCTTTATCTGTCACGTCAGGACCGTAAACTTCATCTGATGCACCCAAACCTTTTATCGCATAATCATTGATCTTTCAGGGAAACTGAACCTTAACTTTACCCGATTCAGTTGCTAGTTATTATTGTGCTTGACTTATGGCTAAAAGGCGAACACTCAGAAATTGCTTGGCGTAAACGAAGATTACAGAAACGGCTAGTAGGCTTACTATTATGAACAAAAATTAGAGGTTTCTGAGGATGAGGCAATGCAACCTCGTAAGTGCATAACAGCAGAAAAGTATAATTTAAAAAATCGTCAGCCCAAAAAGTGGTTTGGGTCGCTTACGAGAGGTGGTCGTTTAAGAGAGGCTCTAATTATAGGGATTTGGCTGGAATACTTTAATAGAGTTTTGCATCGTTGGTCGCTTACAAGAGGTGGTCCATCCGTACATGGAGGTTCGTTTGTATTTGATTTTGGCACTTATTAAATCCAAACAAGGAAAAGCGTTTTGGAGTTAAGCCGTTCAATGACTATATGGCTAGAGGGATCCTCTAGGATCAGGAAGATCCTAGAGGGCGGGAAAACTTTACGTTGGGTTTACATGCTGAAATTTCTGTCCATGTGGTGCCCAAGAAGAGAAGGTTAGAGAAGGAGTTAAAAGTGGCGGGAGACAACAATAAAAATGCAATTTGGGTCCTTATGCTCCGTTTAATTACTAGCGTAAATAACTACCTTTCAGCAGAAATACCACAATAATCTACCTTTGGTAATGCCAAACGAAATGGCCGGCCTTTATTGCCGTGATTAGTCACTCAACGACTCGCCGCTATTTTTGTCTGGTTTGTCCCTAGTACTTACATGGTGCTAGGATCTTCCTAGTACTACCCTATCTTCTTAGCAAGTCTATAATTTATAATAGTTAAATACAAAAACGTTAATTGAAAAACGTTATAGTTGAAGGAGAGGCTTCCGACTGGTTAACCATAACCTCTGGTGTCCCACAAGGTTCTTTATTGGGACCATTATTCTTCATAGTCTACATCAACGATTTACCGGGGGTAATTAGTAAGGACAGTTCAATTGCTTTGTATGCTGATGACAGTAAAATGTATAGGGTTATTAGTACTCAAGAAGATCTGTCTACTTTTCAAAGTGACATAGATGAAATTTCAGATTGGTGTAAGATGAATAAGATGTGAATTAATACCAAGAAATGTAGGATCATGCGAATAACTAGGAAAAAGTCACCCTTAGTTGGCGAGTATAATATTGAAGGTCAACCTTTGGAAAGTGTTAATGTGTATAAAGATTTAGGATTATTTACTGCTAGTAATCTTTCATGCAACCAACACGTAGATAAAATAACTGCTAAGGCTAATAGGGTTTTAGGGTTGGTTAAGAGGACTTGTAGGGACTTAAAGGATATTGATACCATGAACACGCTTTATTGTAGTCTTGTGAGACCTTTATTAGAATATTCATGGGAAACTTGGAACCCTCATACTAAACGCAACATTGATAAAATGGAGGCTGTTCAGCGAAGAGCTACCAGATGGATCACTAGGTCTGATGATGATTATGATACTGAGCTAAAATTGTTGCCATTATCTAATAGGAGGCTCATTAGAGATGTTACATTTTTTTAACGTAATTAATGGACATTATGATATTGACATTTCAAATAAGCTCATATGTTGTAAGGACAGAAATACAGGTTATAACTTGAGGAAAAATGACACACAGGACCTTGTTCCAAATTTTAGTAGAACTGACGGTTTAAATATAGTTTTTTAAACCGTGTTGTAGATGAATGGAATGTTTTACCCAATCATATTAGAGAATCAAACAGTATTGCAACTTTTAAAAGAAATGCTTTAAGCTTTATGAAGGATAACTAGAACATTTACATTTCTATTTGTATATACTTTCTTATATTTTAATTAGTGGGGGCATCCCTAGTATGGCGCATTGGCCCTTTTGGTTGTCTCCTCCACAACTTTTTTTTCTTATAGTAGTGTTAGCTTATTTCATTTCATTCTTTGCTTGTAATGTAGTGGAGTGAATCTGTAATAAATAAATAATTATTTAGTAAGTTTGACAAAAACGAGGGGTACCACAAGGGTCAGTGCTAGGACCTCTGCTCTTTCTTATCTACATAAATGACATATGTGAGAGCTCTAAAATCTTAAATCCCATTCTTTTTGCAGATGGCACAAATTTATTTTCAATTGGTGAAAATATTACCTCCCTTATACAACACCATGGATCATGAACTCAAAAATGTTACAACATGCATGGCTTGCTTCCGACTATTTTTAAACTCAAACAAAACTCATTTTATGGTGTTTAAAACAAAAAAGGAAAAAATCATTGCATGACAAAACACTGATGGTAAGTAGTCATACCCTCATTTCCAACTAATCTCAGAAGATTCTGCCCGAGTGTTATTGAAAGATTCTTTGGGAATAGTATTCCGCAATTAATCAGAGACAAACCATCTAAAAAGATGTTTAGAAAAGCACTTTTACCTGGTATCTTGCTCAATACTAATGAAACATCATCTCTTTAATAATTTACTGAGCGATTTTATAAGTTTTCCTATACTTTTTATTAAAAATTACAAGTTTCTTGTTATACTGAAGTAACTTAAAGCTTTAAGGAGCACAACGTTAGTTTATCTAGACGTGCTCCTCTCCCCTCTTTACTATGTATAATGAGACTTGATTTAAGAGCTGTAGTTTTGTATCAGTGTACGTCTTCTATCCTTAAAAATTTCATTTTGTTTTCTTACTTTTCCCCCTCATATCAAATTATGGTATTATCATCTGCTAAGGTCTGGAGAAACAAATCAAATGAAAATGATAATTAGGATTATGACGTTTTCTAAGTTTAATGAAGAGTCAAAACCAGTTCTATTGAATACTTAGGAACTCAATACTTACTTTATAGCTCCATTTATGTTTTCATATTTCGATGGAACATTACCTGCTATTTTTGAAGATTTTATCGCAAAGAACAAGCATTTAAATAATGACAATACCCGATCAGTTTCTAACATACACATAAATTATCAAAGATCAAATTATGGTAAATTCTCACTGAAATACAGAGGGGCAAAATTACTTGAACAATGTACCTGAAAACTTAAGAAATCAGAAATCTTACGGCCGATTTAAGAAGATGATTGAGAAATATATACTCAAATACAGTATCTCTTACAGTAAGAGTTCCTAAAATTGATAAGCTTGCTTAATTTACTTAAAATTTGATAGAGTTTATATTGTAATATTAAGCGCCAAACAATGTGTTAGTAATTTAATTGATAAATGAAGTTGGGGATCTCCTTTGAAAAGCTCAGCAGAGCTTGCTGAGATCTCCTGCTCATGTATACCTACGAATACCAAATGTACAATATTAATTTTTACAAGGATGCATGGACATATAAATAATTCTTTGCTTTTTTCCCTAAGTCTCATTGTTAAGTTTATCACGACTATCACGGATTTCAAGAATAGAAAGCATGATCGCGATGATGTTCTTGGCGACAAAGATTGACTCGTCTTTTCCATATTCAAAAACTATCACCAAACGAATAATCAAGAAGGGTGAGTTTACGACAATTATTTCAACAAAGTTGCGAATTATTGCTGAAATCGTTTCTTTTCTACCTTCCAGTCTAGTTTCTATCATCGGCCAGAGCGACAGTAGAAAACTGATGCAAGCCACGGTAATCATTGCTATGCCAAATCCTTTAGAGATACGATAGTTGTGCTCTTGCTCGTCCAGAACTACGTCTATCATTTCGACTGCATCTAAGAGATCTACTGCTAATTGGACACACAGCTTGTAAACCACATCTTTGAATTTCCTTGCGTCGTTTGCAGTGTTCAGTAACAATATCAGCAGAATTGGTGTTGCGCAGAGTGTTGCTTTCAGAATAACTGGACCTAGTGTTTTCGTGTCATGGTTTGCGGTTGCGTTGCAGAAACAGAGAGTTGCATTGGCAGAATTGGAGCTTAGACCAGCCCTTGTAACTCCAAAAACAATGGTTACACTAGGAATCAAGCCGAACACAATGTACAAGCCCCATACAAGAAATGACGAGCGTAAGTCTGCCTCGAATCTAGAAGGTTTGGGCGACACAAGGCAGACCCACACAATCACCGCTGATCCGTACAAAGGAACTGTAGCTATACCATACCAGCTTGAATCGTCTTTGTATTTTGCAGGATAAGAGGCAAGCAAAAAGCACTGACTTACTATTAAGGCGAAGAATACAAACCGCCCTAGTGACACCAACGGTTTGGCTTTGATGGTGGCCCACAGAAATCCTATAATTTCAGAAGCCATTCCAGAATACAACTTAATAAACGCCAGCACGGACAACAATGAAAAGAAATCAATGCCTGGTGCGCATCATTCTAGAAAAGTAAACTGACAAGTCAACTTTCCGAGAAACGATGCTATGTGACATCACTAAATGACGGATATGATTTTCTTAAACTACAGCTGGTTTTCTGACAATCATTGTCAATCTAGCTCTTGCAGCTAACCATACCACTACGATTCAATAAAAGTGTTGTAAAATGGGAAAATGTTCGATTTTAGAAAGCATCGCAGAAAAATATACATATGATGTAACATTCCAAGAATGGTAATTTTATTGTCTAATTCTGATTACTCGCTTTTCTTTTCTCGGAAAGATGAGTAACACTCCTTTCTAAGAAAAGTCGTCACGGTCGCAAATTACATTGACAAAACAATGGCTTCGTTTCTTGTTTGCCTGGGACGATTCGCGTTTTTTATTGTAATGGGTATACAGTTTGCTTCGCTTGCTTCATATCCAGCGACATACGAAAGTAATGATGGCTACTACACATTAGTACTTCTCTACCTTCTCCCTTTTGGACTGTGGCTTTTTATCATGTGCAAAGACGACAACCTTCAATGGCTATTTTTTGTTTGGTTGCTGTACACGATCGCATTCGTCATCTTTATAGGAATTATTTTTGGCGGGAATGATCCACTTGAGAATAAACTCAACAAGGAGCATTTTTTTGGTCCAAATGTCTTAAAGATGACCCTATGCCTGTCTCCCGTTCTACTGTTGCTGCTTTTAAGCACTGGTACAGATTCGCCGTCTTACAGAGAGCTGACTTGGATGCTCTCCCTTCGAATCGCCCTGGATCTTTTCGATGCAGTAGAAATGTTGGAAGTTATTCTCGACGAAAACGAACTAAGCCATGACATCCCAAGAGCGTTTGAAAAAGTCATAATTGGATTTGTCTGTTTTAGTTTCTTGTTGTCGACGCTACAGCTTTTGGAGATAAAGCTGGATTACGGTGACTGGAAACCTCGGAAGTGTACATCAGTATCGCGAAAAACTCTTCAGATTCTTTTTGTAAACGGTGTATTTTTAGTACTTCGCTTAATAATTTACAGAAAGTACGGCAAAGATGCATCAATTTTCATCGCTAAAAATTTCATCATAATTATTCTCAGCCTTTTTGAAATATGTTCCACGTGTAAATGCTGTGGATGCGAGGACTACTAGTGAACGATACCTTCCCTTCGGACACAATTTTCTTTAGGAAACCTTGCGCTGTAGATTGCAATACTTCCCTCTTGATCCCTGACCGAAAATTATATTCAATTTAGGCAATGCATAAGAAATGCTACTTCATTTTCCAGACCTTCATGCTTTCGGTTTTTAATTTAAGCTGCTGAAGCAGATCATGGTCTGAAAATTATAGCAGTGGTCACAGTGGTTCATTGCCCATCCGTTAGACAAAGCCGTGTTATATTCGCTTAGCTGCAATCTTTGTTTGCTTAAAGCAATAACAAAAAATGGAAAATTAAATGGAATTCTCTTTAGTTAGTATAAAGGGGACAAAAACTCAATTTCCGGAAGACACCATGATTGTTTACGATCACTTGCCCAAATAATTAGATAGTTTACAGCACTTGTGAAATATCTCAACTGTACGTTTCCGGCATGCATTTTTCTCGGAAATGGAGCATTTACCAAGATCAAGGAATTCTCGGAAATGCCAACCTTCAGACAAATTGGTCGCTGTTATTTTAAACTGGCATTTTTCTTGGAAAGAAAACCTTTCAAGTTCACGATGTCTCGGAAATTCTAAACCTTCAGACGAATTTTCCCCTGTCAATTAAATTGCATAAACATAAAGCTTGTTTGCAAAAAACTGGGAATTTCCCAGGCGCCAAGGGAAAAGCCCCTCGCCTCATTCAGGCGTTTTAACATAAGAGCTGATGTGGTGGTTTTCTATTGGCTGGTTACTTGCAATTACCTTAATAAAATTCATATCGATGATTTTTTCTTCAGTAGCAGGTTTTTGACCGAAGAAATGGCCTCACTTCTTGTATGCGGTGGACGTGCATTGTTTTTTGCTTTGTTGGTCACTCAGAACTTTATGCTGGCGGCTTATCCAGCCACGTATAAAGACGACTCCACCTGGTATGCTGTTGCTGCTTCACAGGCTTTATCAGTCACCATCTGGCTCGCCCTCGTGCTGTCTAGTGCGGCAAAACTTCAACGGTTGTTTTATATCTGGGGACTGTACATCGTCGGTCTAGTTATCAGCATTGCCATTGTTTTTGGTTTCGTTGGAGACATCCTCGACAAAAAACGGTTCCTCGGGCCAAATGTTTTGAAGACCGTACTCTGTATAACCCCCCTTCTTCTCCTGTTGTTGTTGAACACCGCGAAAGATGGCAACAAATATAAAGAAGTGGTATCGAAGTTGTGTTTTTACATGACTGTAGATCTTTTTGATAGCGTTGAAATGCTAGACATCGTTTTGGATGAAAAAGAGCACAACTATGGCATTCCGAAAGAATTTGGAGCAGGAATGATCGCCTTGGCTTGCATAAGTTTACTGCTCTCCCCATGGCAAATGGCGGAAAACAATCTCAAGGAAGAAAAACCCAGAAAATGTACTGCAATATTACGAAACATTGCCGAAATAGTTTTCGACGTTGTGTTCCTGGCCATCCGTCTTGTGATTGTATTTAAATACAAGAAGGACGAGTCTATCTTCATCGCCAAGAATGGCATCGGAATAATCCTTGCCTCATTCGAGATCCACGATCTCCTTAACAAGGGATAATGGCTTGCTTGGGTGCACTTTAAACTCTGAAACGTTTTCTACAAGCAATAAGTCTAACATTCTCTCGGATTTTGTAAGGAATATATAGCAGTTCCGAATGAAGCAAATGATTTTTCTATCTAGTTATATAAAGAATCTGCGTGTATTCCATTTTTGTGTGAATTGATGAGCTATATTTTTCCTAATTTATTGTCTGGTAGATGTTTATGGCTACTTTGATCATGGAACGTTTAATTTCGGTATTGTATGGTCCACAGTGTATAAAGAATGAAAAGTGAAATGTATATATAAATAAATCATGTCTAATGAATTTGCCAATGTTTACGTTTTACGTATAGCAGTGTCAGTAGAGTCAAATTTGAAATAATAAACGCTTAATAAAAACAAATTGCTTTGCATTTTGCTTCTGTAGCTTCGCAATTACACCCTTTGAGGGAGTGAAGTAGTCTGGAGGTAGGGTAAGATACATTATTCTCGAAAAGTGATTTGAGCATTATGCTTATGAGCGTCACCCTCAAAACAACAGTATTATGCCTAAAATTATGTTCGAAAAGTAGTATTATGCTCGACTGATCTTGGCTGTATTTGATGCCATTTTCCATCCGCGCAGACATGAATACAACATTTTATTGCATCAGCTACCAATTTTCGATGTCTGACAGCCATGATGGATAAACAATAGGCCAGTCTTAGCAGCCTAACCGATTAATGAAGTAATGGTGCAACAAGACAATGAAAGAGGCAATTATGCCGGCAAAATGTATTTAACCCTAGAGTGAATACGTTACTGATTTGCGTTTCAACAGAATGAAATTTTAACGTGAAAATTTCAGAGCAAAATTCAATTGGGTGTTCTAAGGGAATTGACTCGTTACGCATCTAGTTTTGATGAATATGAAAATACAGAAAGTCGTCAATTAGAGACTTCTAACTTTATGTCGGGGAATCCCCTAATCGCTTTCTTAGAAACTTCCGTTCCTTTCAGTTCATTTCTTAGAAAAGTGCTACTATAATTAAAATATTCCTGCTGCATACTTTCAACCTGCTCTTAAAGCAGCATGTTGATCAATTGAATATACAGCACAGTTTGAAATAAGTGCAAAAGTTCAAGCAGGGCGACATTTTTCATATAGTTTGTTTGAGAAAGCTGCATAATCTATTTAAACAAACAGTTTTTATCCCCGTGACCCATGCTCACTCAGCGGAAAGATCGTTGTGTTCTGCGATTGGCTAAAACTATTCAGGGGTTTCTAGAAGCTTTATTAATACTGCAGTTGACGGGGACGAATTTCATTGCAAAAAGGGTTTTTCTTCCGGAGTCATGGGTTTGCTTCTTCTGCGCTTGGGACGTGCGGTGCTTCTTGCTCTGATGTTAATTCAAGGCTTTTTGCTTGCGGCATATCCAGCCGAATATAAAGATGAACCTCGTTGGTATGCTTTGGTCGGTTCGTACGCCCCAGCAATCATAGTCTGGCTGTTCAACAAGGCATTTCTTCGAAGGCTTATCTTCGTATAGATTTTGTACATGTTTTGCGGATTGGTACCTAACATTGCCATCGTACTTGGTTTTGTCTGAGACAATTAATTTAAGCAGCGATGATGTATAGTTATAAGCGGCCAAGGCAACTAACATATCAGAACAACGGTGGCCATGGTAATCTGATCTACAGCAGTACTACTATATTTAACGAAGAGACACACCAAAACCGTCATGTCCCAAAACGTGCAACACAATAAACAGCAATACAATGGTGTCCTTTTTTGCTCAATAACTTTCTCTTCAGCCTTGACACCTTAATCAATTTTTTACATGCAGCTATAAATTTTCAGCTTAACTACTGACGGTGAACTAGAGTTTCTACAAATTGTTCGCTACTGAATTAAGTCCAGCATAGTTTTAAATCTATATGGAGAGCACGTTTAACTAACGCAACAGTAAAAATTACCTGGGTATGTTTCCACTATTTGCGGGAGAGTGACATGTGTGGGTTCGTTAAGTTTACAATAAAAAAAGTGTATTATAAAATACAAAACGAGACTAAAATGTCGATTAAATCCTTTATATCATAAGATCACCAAGCCAGCCTCCTTCTCAGACTAACAAAGCTTTTTTCCGATGAACGACCTTATTTGGTGTACCCTGATTTAGCTCTTGAATATATAACTCTTAGGAATAGCTGGATGGCGGATACTCCGAAATCCGTATCGGCAAGAGTTTATTTTATCTACATGTACCTCTTTGATCAACAATATACCAGAAATTGCGTTTTGGCTGTCCTCTTGGCAGACACAGTTACGATATTTCATGCAATAAAACGTGGATAATTATTTGTCCACGGTTCCTTCTCTCAACACTTGCTTTCAAAACATTCTGAGGAAAATGCTTTTCTTCAACCAGGCTCTTCTGAAGGCCACTATTGTATCGTTTCCTTTGAGCCATTTAATTGGCACTCAGCATAAGCACCATGAACGTTCTTCTTCTGTTTTTTTTGCTACTCAAACGATAGCGTATTCTTCCAAGACTTTTTGAACGGTGAATTATTGTGGAAAATTCATAGGTTACTTAGCTTATAGTCAACAATCTAATCTTGAAAGAATGTAATGGTGCCCAGATTGTGCAACTCGTCAGTGTCATTCAAGAAGATGATGTCGATGATTTTGTTGTTCAATAATCAGTAGCTCTTGTCCTAGATTTCATTATTGAGCAAGTTCATCACGAATTTCAAGAACAGATAGTATGATCGCTATGACGTTTTTGGCGACAAAGATGGATTCGTCTTTTCCATAACTGAATACTATCACCAAGCGAATAACTAAGAAGGGTCCATTTACCAGACCTATTTCAGCAGCGTTGCGACTTATTGCTGAGATTTCCTACCATGCAGTTTAGTTTCTATCATTGGCCAAAGCGATAGCAAAAAACTTATGCAGGCAACAGTAATCATTGCTATGCCAAATCCTTGGGAGATTCCATAGTTGTGCTCTTTCTCGTCCAGAACGATGTCTATCATTTCGACTGCATCTAAGAGATCCACCGCCAACTGCACACACAACTTATAAACATCGTCCTTATTCTCGTCGATCTCGTTTGCGTCGGTTGCAGTGTTCAGCAGCAACAGCAACAGAAGTGGTGTTACACAAAGTGTTGCCTTTAAGAGCGTTGGACCAAGTGTTTTGGTGTTGTTGTTTACGGTCAAGACTGGCACTCTTAGAAGGTCTCAGAGATCGCCAGCAGCTCTTAAAAGATCATCACACAGCGTTAAATCTGCTGTTTCGCTGAAAACTCGTAGAAGAGCATCACAATGAGTGGCATTTACAGGGGTGTTGAATGATTTGAGGTATCCTGCACGTCCAAAGACGATGCCAATACTTGGAATCAATCCCGGGAAAATATACAAACCCCATACACCAAATGAACTTAGGTTTGTCTTCAGTCTACATGGTTTGGGTAACACAAGGCAGAGCCACAGGATCATCGATTGACTGTACAAACTAAGCGTTATGCCATACCAATAATGATTTTCTGTGTATTTTGCTGGAAAAGAGGCAATCAGGATGCCTTGGATAACTGTCAGAGCGAAGAATGTCCCACGCCCGATCAACTTAAACACAGAAGACAGATTCATGTTTCCAGTCTTCTGCGAAGGCAAAACGGTGGCAAATGTATTAATGTCGCCTCAGCAAGATTTAAAATGCCACAGCATTCGCTCACAGTCCATGTAACCTTCGTTCTTCCTTTAAAATAACGCCTTGCACTAAGGTATTTACCGAAGGTTACTCGCCATATTCCCAGCTTTCGACTTACCAGTCAGTGCCTTTGGAGCAGCCAGTCACAGTTTCTAAACACTAATGCTTAACAAAAACAAGGGCAGCAGTTACGAAAACTCAAAGAAAAAAAAACAAGAAAATGTCACTTAAACAAAAGGGACAGTTGAAAGATGTTTGTATTGCTAAGGCGACAGCTTTTCTAAGAAACTGCGGAAGCCTTCCGTTGCTTTTAGGAGAAGAGCTGTTGTGGGTATTTCTCGTGCTTTTAACAATCTGTCAGAATAGCGAATACTTTTAAAAAACACGATTTTGATCGTAATGTAAAAAAAGGAATATTTAAAAACTAATTAAAGAAGAACATGTACATCTGGGGTGAACTATCTGCATTTTAATATCAAAGAACAGAAAAGTCGGAACGAATTATAAATCACCTAAATATCACAACGTTTCCTGAGATGATACTTTTGAGCTTCTAGCTTTCTGAAGTTGGCTAACTATATTTAATGTATAATACGTACTTCTGGTGTCTTTTATTAATTATAGCGAATCAAGGCTATGTACTGTACTATTTGACGAAAGCAGGATTTGGATGTAGTTTCAAGCATAATTCAGTGTAATACGCAACAGCCCCAAATTTTATGACAATATTTCAAAATAATAGAAATGAGGAAAAAGTTACTGAAATAAACGTCTATAAATTTATGTCCAAGTCGCATACAAGCCCCGTAAATCCTTATCGGTTTCTCCCATACTGTGGTCGCCGAGAGCTGTCGTTTCGCACTTATTAGATTTTGCCACTTTTAGTAAAGCTATAAAGAAAACCTACAATGATGTCTGGCAGAACGAGTCAGTACTGAGCAGGCTCAAACTCGAAGATCAAGCCTGATCAGCCTGATTTCGCTGACTTCGCCGGATCGAGTATATCTCCAAGGCTGAAAAATAAATAGCAATCCCATTCTTCGCGATAAAGATTGACTCCTCTTTCTTGTACTTGAAGAAAATAACCAGACGAATTACCATGAACACCAGATTTACACATACCATTTGCACCACGTTACGGATAATGGCAAGGCATTTCCACTGCTCGACCTCTCCTTCGACTAATTTGTTTTCTGCCATTTGCAAGAGAGACAGCAGGAAACTGAAGCATGCAACTGCCACCATCAATCTTCCAAACCATTTTGGAATTCCATGGCTATTTTCGTTTTCGTCGAGAACGATATCAAGCATTTCAACCGTGTCAAACAGATCTATGGTTACCTGGATTGTCAGTCTGAAAGCAAGCTGTCGGTAGTCGTCACTTTCACTTAATCCCGAAGCTGTGTTCGGCAGAAATAGAAAGAGAACCGGTGTAAGGCACAAAATTACCTTTAAAGTGTTGGGGCCGAGGAATTTCGTCTTATCGAGTTCGTTGCCAGCTACAGCAAATATGGTGGCAATCATGGGTATCAAGAAAACTACAAGGTAGAGTCCCCAGGTGAAAAACATTCTTAGAAGGCTTGCTTCAGTGCAAAGGCAGTAGATCCAGTAGACAAGTACTGGAATGCAGAGAAGACATAACGCAGCCGTGTCCCTATCTTGATAAGTTGCTGGGTATGCCGCAAGGAATCCACTCTGGATCATCAGAAGAGAGAAGAATATAAACCGTCCTATTGCCACCAATGGTTTGGCTTTGATTTTGGCCCACAAAAACTTTATCATTTCAGAAGCCATTGCAGAAGACAACGTATGAATCGACAGCAGAGAGAGCAATGAATAGAAATTGTTTGGTGCGCATGATTTCTAGAAAAAACCATTGACAAGTAATCTGTTATGTGACGTCAGTTACAGTTAATAAAACCGATCGTGATGTCTAAAAATACAGCCTGTGTGCTGTCAGCCATTGTCAATCTAGCTCTCTCAGCTAACCGTACCACTGTAAGTGAGAGTAAACTCTACAAAAAAAATAATTTTGTACTGGCTATATTAAATGACACAAACACAATTATGCATACGACGTAGCATACCAAAAATGGTATTTTCATTGTTGAATTCCGGTTACTCTTTTTCCTTTCTCAGAAAGACGCGTTACACTTCTTTCTCGGAAAGGTCGTTACCGACTCAAATTACATTGGCAAGATAATGGCTTCATTTCTTGTTTGCCTGGGACGATTCGCCTTTTTTGTGTTAATGGGAATACAGTCTTTTTCACTTGCTTCATATCCAGCGACATACGAGGATAAAGACGGCTTTTACGCGTTAGTACTTCTCTACCTTCTCCCTCTTGGACTGTGGCTTTTTATCATGTGCAAAGACGACAACCTTCAATGGCTATTTGTTGTTTGGTTGCTGTACACGATTGTCTTCGTTATCTTTATTGGGGTTATTTTTGGAGGGGATGAACCACTTGAGAACAAACTTAAAAAGGAGGAATTTTTTGGTCCAAATGTCTTGAAGATGACCCTATGCCTGTCTCCCGTTCTACTGTTGCTGCTTTTGAGCACAGGTACAGATTCGATGTCTTACATAGAGCTGACTGGGATGCTCTCTCTTCGAATTGCCCTGGATCAGTGTTCGATGGAGTGGAAATGTTGGAAGTAATTCTCGACGAAAACGAACTAAGCCATGATATTCCAAGAAAGTTTGAAAAAGGCATAATTGGAGTTGTCTGTTTCAGCTTCTTGTTGTCGACGCTGCAGCTGTTGGAGATAAAGCTGGATTATGGTGACTGGAAACCTCGGAAGTGGACATCAGTATCACGAAAAACTCTTCAGATTCTTTTCGTTAACTGTGTGTTTCTGGGGCTTCGTTTGACAATATACCTAAAGTTTGGCAAGGACGCATCCATTTTCATCGCTAAAAATGGTATAATAATAATTCTGAGTCTATTTGAGATATGTTCCACGTTCCAAGTGTGTGGATGTCACGAATACTAGTAGTCAGTCTGAAGAAAGAGAGTACTTCTTTATTTTCAGTAGCAATCAGATTGGAAGTAACTTAACCATCAAGTGTCTCTTGAGTTTGGAGTTGGTTTGTTGACCTAGTCACGTTTTATCATTTCGTTTTGCCGTTTGCGACCAAACTGTTTTCAAGTTTTTGAAAGGACCCAAAGCCCAAAGAAGGCCCCAAACGCCCCTGCTGGTCACGCTAGTCACTCGTATGCAACATATTCTGATTGCCTATTTTTAGTATCAAAAGTGCAATAAACGCATTCGTGGAGACAAGTTTTAGGTAAAGAAAAAGCTTGAATGAATACCGATAGGTTTTAGAACAAACAATTTATTTATACTGAAGATATAATAATTTGAAAGGATCAACTGTTCTGAAAATTATATAAGTCAATAATAGTTACTGTGAATTCAGTCAGCCGTAAATTTCCGGCATCTTTCTCGGAATGAGACCTTTTAAAGCTCAACGATTTCTCGGAAATTCTAAACCATCAGAAGAATTCGTCGCTGTCAAATAAGTTGAATAAATGACTGACATGTGGACTGTCATATAATTTTTAGCTTGTTTGCAAAAAGCTGGGAATTTCCCTGGTGTAAAGGGAAAAGTCCCATTGCCTCGTCCAGGAGTTCTAGCATAAGAGTTGATGTGGTGTTTTCTTATTGGCTGGTCATTTTGCAATTGCCTTAATAAAATTCATATCGATGACTTTTTTCTTCAGAAGCAGGCTTTTCACCGAAGAGATGGCTTCGTTTCTTGTGTTGGGTGGACGTGTATTATTTCTTTTTTTAATAATCACTCAAAGTTTGCTGCTTGCTGCTTATCCAGCAACATATAAAGACGACTCTAATTGGTATGCTGTTGCTACTTCACAAGCTCCCTCAGTTATCATCTGGCTCAGCCTCGTGCTGTTCAGTGGGGCAAAACTTCAACGATTGTTTTATGTCTGGGGTTTCTACATCATCGGCCTAGTTATAAGCATTGCCATCGTGTTTGGCTTCGTTGGAGACGCACTTGACAAAAAGCGGTTCCTTGGACCAAATGTTTTGAAGACTGTACTCTGCATCACTCCTCTTCTTCTCCTGTTGTTGTTAAACACTGCCAAAGATGGCAGCAATTACAAAGAAGTGCTGTCCAAGTTGTGTTTTTACGTGACGGTTGACCTCTTCGATAGCGTTGAGATGCTAGACGTCATTCTGGACGAAAAGGAGCACAACTATGGCATTCCGAAAGAATTTGGAGAGGGAATGATCGCCTTGGCTTGCCTCAGTTTGCTACTCTCTCCCTGGCAAATGGCGGAAAATAATCTGAAGGAAGAAAAACCCAGGAAGCGTACGGCAATACTGCGAAACATTTTTGAAATAGTTATTGACCTTGTATTCTTAATTGTCCGCCTGGTGATTGTATTCGAATACAAGAAGGACGAGTCTATCTTTATCGCCAAGAATGGTATCGGAATAATTCTCTCCATATTCGAGATCCGCGACCTCCTGAGCTGACAGTATAAAACTTTAATACGTTTTCTTAAAGGGTTACATAGTCTTTTATTTTGTAAAATACATATATATTATATATCAGTTTTGTAGTTTTGTATGAAGAATGTGCGTTGCTTATTCACCTGTAAGCTAATTGTGCCGTGGTGGATGCATATATAAATCATTTCAATAAATGCTGCCAATGTCATTGTAAATAGTACGCTTTAAAGAGTCGTCAGTTGATAGAGACATACTGGGGAATCACCTGGTCTCTTTCTTAGAAACTAGCATTCCACTCCATGCGTATTTTCAGTCTTAGAAATATAAGTTTCATATGTGTAAAGTATTCTAAAATCCGCACATTATCAAACCTATTTTGCAGAAACATGTTGATTATAAAAGTAAAAGATTAAAGATTGAAAACAATGTTTGAAACAGAGTAAAATTACGTGTATTTAGGTTTTTTTTTTGAAAACGACCACAAATAAGCGAACATTTTTAATTCTCTTTCAGCAACCATGCACCGGGTAATTCAGTGTTCACTTTAGGGGGTCTTAGACAGCTAGAAAAGGAGAATCTACTCTAAGATCCTGGATTCCAAACTATTTACAAAAACCTATAGTTTATTGTGCCTGTAAACTCATAGTTTTACTTAAAGTTATTTTATAAAAGCAATAGACCACACTTTCTATGGGTTTACCGGCGTGATAACCCACTTGGGAGTGATAACCCACTCGAAAACCTTCTGCTCGTGATTTACAAGCTTTTCTCGTGTTCTCCCAACATCCCGCGTAGGTTATCACACCGGTAATCCCAGAGAAAGTGTGGTCTTTTGCTTAAATAAACAATTCTACCAGCAAAGGCACAGAAATAATGATTATTCTAAGACAAGGACGATTCTGAGTGATCCTCGTATCACCGAGCTTGCAGATCGACACAGACACCTCCCTAAAATGGTCCCACAGCTGCTAGCCTTGATTAATTTGCCTCTCTGTGAGGCGGCTTTCTCTGATAAACAGGCACTCAGTGTCAATCCTCTAACGGCGTTAGTTTCATGTGCAACAGAATTTACCAGCACGTGATAAGTTTTTGGTTGCTTAGTGACCGTACAGAGCAGAGTCCAATTTTTAAGTCGTGAACGGAAACTCATGCTGCTGCTAGTTGGGAAAGATCCAGAGAAGCCAACATATTAGCGCACTACAAATATTGATACCTTTTTGCGAAAGCCCTAGACCAGCCTACATTGTAGCTCCTCAGGAGCTGTGCTTGAGTTTTTGCTCGGCTTTGGACGATCAGGCGTCAAAGCGGACACGCAAATTATATAATTTGTCGAGGTCGTCTCAAAATCAAGGCATGGCTTCTTGTCTAGTACGCTTTGGAAGATTTGCTTTTTTCGTTCTTCTTGGCCTTCAAGCCTATTCGCTTGCTTCGTATCCAGCGAAGTACAAAGAGAACGACGGTTACTATGGGTTGACAGCCCTATTTCTTCCAGCATTCGTCCTGCGGCTTTACATTATGATCTCGAATAAACACCTTCAATGGTTATTTGTTGTTTGGCTGCTGTATGTCATTGGATTGGTGATCTTCATAGGATTCATTTTTGGGGGAGCTGCGCCAGTTGAAGACAGATTTAAGAGGACTACCAAAAGCTCAGGCGACGTAAACAACTTAACCAACTGTAACGAGTCAACAAACGTAACCAACGCAACCAACTCGACTACATCTCTAAGTCACTCAACAAATTTAACCTTCTCGACGGAACAAAAACAAATGGAGTTTTTTGGTCCAAATGTCCTAAAGATGACCCTTTGTCTCACTCCGATTCTTTTGCTACTTCTTCTAAGCACAGGGGTGGACTCAATTCGCTACAGAGAACTGATGTGGATGTTGTCTCTACGCATTGCACTCGACCTGTTCGATGGCGTCGAAATGCTGGAGGTTATTCTGGAAGAAAATGAGCTCAGTCACGACGTTCTAAGGTCATATGAAAATGCTATAATTGCTTTTGTCTGCTTGACCTTTCTGTTTTCGCCGATGCAGCTTATAGAAGTCGAACTTGGGGATATGCGTCTCGGAGGTTGGGAACTTGACAAGTGCACAACGACCTTACGAATAGCTCTTCAGATTCTCTGCGTCAACGGTGTTCTTCTGGGGCTTCGGCTTGGACTCTTCTTTGGGTATGGCAAGGATGCGTCTATTTTCATTTCTAAAAATTGTATCGTTATTACTTTGAGTCTTTTTGAGATATGTTCTCTCTACGAACGCTGTGGCTGTAAAGATGAATCGCCATTCTGGTAGAACATATCCAGCATTTTGTATCATTTTTTTTTAAATCTTAATTGTATTTTGCCGAATAAGAGGCCCTGAGTGACTATCAGAGCAAAAATGCTACATTGGCCCACTCCAGAGATACTTGAAGAAATGACGTTTAGTCTTTAAGCCGAAACTGTTAAACTATTCTTACTGCTACTTTTTTCAAAATGTACGTAAATGCAATCCGTTGGCCAGTAAGAAAACCGGCCACGTTAGGTTAGGTTACAAAATCAGTGTTGCGTCATCTTTTGCAATTTTAAAGCCAGGAGAAGGGCTCTTACCTTGGTGGATTATTTCGCAGCAGTATTATACAGTTAAAACCGACCCAACTACAATTTAATGAACCACAGGCGTCCGAAACTCAGGGCCTGTTTACACGGAGGTGGGCGACCCCAGATGGGTGAGGTAACTTGCTTTGGTTAGGAAACCCGCCTGTCCATATAGTCTCTCATTTTAATTTGATCACGTTTACATGATAGGTGAGGTGACCCGCCAAATGTTACCTCACCTATCTGGGGTCCCCCACCTCTATGTAAACAAGCCCTCAACATGCGAGCACATGTTAAAAATTTATACATCTGCTAATATTGCGTAACGCAGCGTTTTAAACGGTTTATATGGGGAAAATAAGCTAAGTAAAAAAAAATCTCATTATCAAAGCTTGTCGTGTAGCAAAGAATTAAAATAAATCTACTTTTGCTGTATTTGTGTCCCTTTGTCGTTTTGAAGCTTCTAAGGCTGGTTTTGCTATCGTGAATATTAACCTTGATCTGCTTCATGATAATTATTAAGGAAAAATAATGAAATGTGTAAGTAAATAAGTTGTGTCTAATGAATTTTGCCAATGTTTACGTTTAAAGTATAGCAGTATAGAATCAAATACGAATAATAAACACTTCTTATGAACCAAATTTCTTTGCATTTTGCTTCTGAGCCGTCGCAGTTACAGTTGTTGATTTCCGTTTCAACATAATTGAATTTTTCGACAAAAAAATTCGGAGCAAAAATAAATTGGGTATGCTCAGCGAAATGCTATGGCTCATTACGCAGATACTTTTGATGATATGAAAATAAATATGGAATGTCGTCAATTAGAGACGTCTATTTTAATTTTGGGGAATCCCCTTATATCTTTCTTAGAAACCTGCATTCCTTGCAGTGCATTTCTCAGAATAGTGCTACTAATTAACCTATTCCTATCGTATACTTTCAACCTGTTTTTACAGCAGCATGTCGGTCAATTGAATAGCACCATATGAAATTGTTGCAAAAGTTCAAGCAGGGCGACATTTTTCCAGTAGTTTGTTTGAGAAAGCTGCATAATCTATTTAAACAAACAATATTTATCCCCGTGACCCATGCTCACTAAGCGGAAAAACCGTTGTGTTCTGCAATTGGCTGAAACTATTCAGGGGTTTCTAGAAGCTTTATTAATATAATACTGCTGTTGACGGGGAAGAATTTCATTGCAAAGTGTTTTGTTTCTGGAGTCATGGGTTTGCTTCTTCTGCGCTTGGGACGTGCAGTGCTTCTTGCTCTGATGTTGATTCAAGGCTTTTTGCTTGCGGCATATCCAGCCGAATATAAAGATGAACCTCGTTGGTATGCTTTGGTCGGTTTGTACGCCCCAGCAATCGTAGTGTGGCTGTTCAACAAGGCATTTCTTCGACGGCTTGTCTTCGTATGGATTTTGTACGTGTGTTGCGGATTGGTACCTAACATTGCTATCGTACTTGGCTTTGTCGGAGACAGCCTCGACAATGACAGGTTCTTGGGTCCCATAACCTTAAAAACTGCCCTCTGTCTTACACCACCCATTCTGCTGCTTTTGGTAAACACTGCGAGCGATTCAAATGAAAACAGAGAAACGGTCTCCAAGTTGTCTTTTCGAATGATGCTTAATCTTTTTGATAGTGTTGACATGATAGACATCGTTCTGGACGAAAAGGAATACGGCTATGGAATTTCAAAAGAATTTGGTAAAGCCATAATCGTCGTCGCCTGCTTGAGTTTGCTGCTCTCACCTTGGCAACTGGCAGAAAACAATATTGAAAGAGGATGACGGAGAAATCTTACAGCGATTTTACGCAACATTTTTGAAATGATTGGTGTAAATCTTGCGTTCTTGATCATTCGCATGGTGATAGTGTTCAAGTGCAACAAGGGCGAGTCCATTTTTGTTGCTAAGAATGTCATCATCCTATCCTTGAAGGAAATCTTTGATCTCCACCGCCCCGTGCAAAGACTAGTCCCCGCGTACCAGCAGCCTTAGAATAGCACGATGTTGAACTAAGAATAATATTAGTATTGTGTGCTGTTAAAAATCGATGCTGCTCTTGATACGAGCAGTAAACAGAAATAAGTAAGTGCGTTAGAATCTTTAGTGATTGTGATCTCAGATAAATGTAATCGAGGAGGAGACGTTTGTAGTATTCAGTGAAGTGTGAGGATGAGTGTAATCAGGGCCGAGATGGGATTGACATATGAATTGACTGTAGCATCCGACTTAAACAGTACATTCAACTTGATACTTTTATAGCTTTTGTAATAAATCCACAACAAGAGTAGCAAACATTAGCTTTGTTAGTGTTGACAATGAAAGTAAAATGGCTCTTACCATGGCTAGTACAAGAAAATTACAATAGTTGTTTTATTCCCTTGATAAGCAGAAAACGACACAGCAGTTAACTCTCCAGATTTGCTCTTTAGTCTGCAATTCGAATCAAAGATGAATTTGCAATTTTTAATTACCTGCTAACTATTTCCCCTTATTGCGCAAATCAACAGTCAGGCCAGATGATTTTTGCTCACGTTTCAACTTTAAATTACTCTTATTGGGTGTTCTCAATGTCCTCTGAATCATTTCCCAAGGTGCCTTCCTCCTTATGCCATTGTTTCAAAGATCACACGACCTAAAAAAAAAAACTTCAAGCTCTTAAGAGAGAAGTCTAAAGTCTATAAGTTTGGAGGATGCTACTAAAACGGGGAACAAGGAGCGAGGAAGGAGCACGGTCAACAAGAAAATGAAAATAGGAACAAATCCTAACCTGAACCCTAGCCCTATCAGGAACCTCATCTCAAATTCTCAGCTTTGTTCCCATTTTTCATTTCCCTTTCCAACATCCAGTTTAGGTTGCGTTCTCCTTACGTCGAACGCAACAAGTTTCATTTCGCTTTTCGTAGCACAAGAAAGGAACAATTACGTAATTAAACGATATGGGAAGAACAATAAGTCCGCCAGAAGATAGCAATTTTAGTATATATATATATATAAAAAAAAAAAACAAAATGAAACTCAGTAGAAGGGAGCGTCTTCCACACTACAAAAAATAATCAATTTAATTAAAAAACACAATGTTACTAAAAGAAAGGAAGCAATATAATTATAAGATCGATTTTTGCACTAAGCTATCGTTTCTTTGTGTTAGGAAATGTATCATTTCTGGCGCTTCAAATGATTGTTGCCGTTCGTTCCACCTCAAATTAAAATTTCTGTTTTCTATTTTCTTAAAATACGAGTTATGTAAATCAATATCAGTGGAACATTTGACGCCAGCTTTACACTTTTCTGATTACTACACTCATTTTATCTCAAGCGCTACAATAGATAACTTTATACTTACATTTCTTTAAAATAAATTGACTGAGGAACTTTATACCGATTTTTACGTACTTGCAACAATTTTTACGTTACTTGTAACTAGTCACATTTTCTTATCCTATTTACGTCCATTATCTTGAGTTGTTAATTCCTGGAGAATTTTTTGCTTGAGATTCTCAAGTGTCAAGTTATGCGTCCTACTTCTAATTAAAGTTGTCGCGGATTTCAAGACTAGAAAGTATGATGGCGATGATGTTTTTGGCGATGAAGATTGACTCGTCTTTTTCATATTTAAATACTATCACCACGCGAATAATAAGGAAGACCCCATTGACGCCAAATATCTCAACGAAGTTGCGAATTATTATTGAAGTCTTTTCCGTTTCTTCACCCATTCCAGCCTCTATCATCGGCCAAAACGTCAGGAGGAAACTAAAACAGGCCACGGTAATCATTGCTATGCCAAATCCTTTAGATATACCAAAGTTGTGTTCCTTCTCGTCCAGAACGATGTCTATCATTTCCACTGCGTCTAACAGATCCACTGCCAACTGGACGCACAACTTGTAAACTACGGTTTTGTTATCTTGGTTATTTGCGTCGCTTGCAGTGTTCAGAAGTATTATCAGCAGAAGAGGTAATGCACAGAGCGTTGCCTTCAGAATAATCGGACCAAGTGTCATATCGTTATTCCCTAGGCCATCTCCTGCAACCCCAAACACAATGCCAATGCTTGGTACCAAGCCGACTATAATGTAAAATGCCCATACAAAAAATAAAGCGCCAACGTTTGCCGCGTTTACCCAGAGCAGGTAAAGCCACAGCACGATGGAAGGGACGTATAAAGCAGCTGCGGCATACCAACCAGAATCTTCTTTGTATTTTGCCGGATAAGAGGCCAGCAAAATGCCCTGAGTTACTAACAGGGCGAAAAATGTTACACGCCCGCTCCACAAGATACACGAAGACATGACGAATGGTGTCTGAACCGAAAATGTTTAACGGTCATATACCTTTCGCACATGCTGAAATGCAACCTTGACCAATAGAAAAACGCCAAATTGACTACTTGTCAAACGAGACGTCAGATAAAAATGTTTCGTGATTCAGTGTTGCTGTATGACGTCACCCTTTGCAGTAGGAAAGTTAGGAAGAAGGGTCTGGTTTTTCCCCAGTGGATAATTTCCATGTTCTACTGCTGCAGTAAGTATATAATTAAAACTAATGGTAAACTGCAATGAGTAACCGACAAAGATGCAAGATTACAGAATTGGACTATACAGCTCAAATATGTCAAAGGGGGTAAAACGCCGGCTTCCAAGAAACTGGAGAAGCGTCACTAAGAATTTCTAAGAAAGTACATTGTTAATTTGTTTTGTTAGTAAATTGCACTGGCGGTCATATTTCACTTCAGATTCTATTGGAAAACGATTTTTCTTTAATAAGCCAGTAATTAAAACAAAACAACAACAAAAAGACAAAGAGAAGACAGGCAATTTAAGATGTATTACATTTAGGTACATACTGAACACAAGAGGAAGCGTCATTCCGAAATTTAGTATGACAATGCAAACAGCTCAAAATGGGCGAGAGGTTTTCCGAGAAAATAGAGAGGCTTCATGTGCCTTTTCCCAGAAATGTATTTTTGATGTCAGGTGATAAGCTTGGCAAGCAATTATCTGGAAGCAAAACAAAACGACAGCAACAACAACAACAACAACATCTTAAAAAGGATTGTTAATTGCAGAGAAGACGAGTAAGGTCATCATATCTGTCCTCAAGATGCTTACACTCAGCGGATTAATCCGTGGTCTTGCGCCATTTGCCCGAATTATCCAGGGGTATTTAAAGTTCTATTTAATATACAGTTGACCGAAAAACTCATACTAATATAAGCACGTTTTGGGCTTCTGGAGACATTGAAACGTGTAGTCTTTCTTGCTCTGACAATTTCTCCAGGTAAAAGAGGGATTAAGGTAAAATAAAGTCTGATATTCTTAGTAGCCCATAAAAGAGGCTTATAGTTAATTCCAAAAATAATATATAAGAATACAAGAACATCTTTCGTCATCATTGGGGAGTAAGGGTGGCGCAGTCAGTGGTGAGAGAATTACTCAACTGCCACCAATGTGGGCTGAGTTTGCTGTTGGCTGTCATCATTGCTCCGAGAGGTTTTTCTCTCCGGGCACTCCGGTTGTCCTCGGTCTCCTCGATCAAACCAAGTCTCCCATAGTCCAATTCGATCTGGAAAGTACGGACACGTTTAAACGAGTTTTTAAGAAGTCCTCAGTGCTTCGTGGGTAAAAAAAAAAATCACCATTTAATGTTTTTCTTTAAATCATCATCATCGTCATCATCATCATCATCATTTCTATTGGTTTACACCGCTGCTTTTAATACTACCCAAAACTACAACGACTCAAATAAGAATAATCAGAATAACGAAAGACAATCAATCAGTGTCCTGTCTGAAAGGCTTATGTTCTTAACTTCTTTTGAATTCAACAACGTATCAAGCATCTGCTACATGTGCTATAGAGTGCACACAATATTTTTACTAAAATCCTGTCCGAAGGGAACTTCAGCAATTTCATCTTGAAACATGCAGTTTCTCGATTATATCTTGTGGCTGCCAACATCTAATGTGAAACACAAAGATGAACTACTTCCAACACCGACAGGATAATTGCGATGACGTTCTTTGCTATAAAGATGGTCTCATCTTTTCCATAGTTCACAAACACCAACACACGAATGACCAAGAACGCCGCATTTACCCCAAACATTTCAACCACGTTACGAAGTAAGGAGGTTTTGTAGCGCGTCTTGGGTTCACTCCAACGTGAGACTTTGTTTTCCGCCATCTGCCATGGCGATAGGCAGAAACTGATGCACACTACGCATATCATTGCGATTTCATACCCTTTGGAAATGTTGAATTTGTGTTCTTTCTCGTCCAAAATAATGTCCAGCATCTCGACGGCGTCGAAGAGATCTATAGCCATCTGGACAGATAACTTTGCAACCAACTCTTTGTTACCGGAGCTATACGAGTCCTTGGCGGTGTTTACCAAAAGGAGCAGAAGAAGAGGGGTGATACAGAGCACTATCTTCAAGGTTTGAGGAGTAAGGGGGCTCTCCTCTTTAATATCATCAACCACAAAACCAAATATTATCACAGTATTTGGAAGCAAGCCGAGCCACATGTACAGAGCCCAGACGATAAAGAATCTGCGAAGATCTGCTTTGCGTCGACAAAAGGCACCAATCCAAAATAAAAAAGATGGGGCATAAAAAAGTGATGCCAAATACCATAATGACTCATCTTTGTACTTTGCTGCGAAGGAAACTAGAAAACCACACTGAATAGCCATAAGTGCAAAAAATACAAAACTTCCTAGACATCTCAAACAGATGACAGCGCGGTGCGCCATGTTGTCTTCAAATGCATTAATCAAATTATTCAACGAAGTTTTTTTATGCAAATGTTTCCCAGAATCTTGAAGTCTCTTCCTTTGCTGCTTTTCCGAGAACTCGATTTACATCAGGGGATTCCCCGTTGCTGCAATGAAATTACTGCTGGCTGATTCGAATGTGATGTAATCAAATATAGTCTGTGTACACCCAACCCTCTTTAGGGAATTATTTTTTGTCATCAAAAGGAGTCCTGTTCAACATTTTCTACGTTCCCCTCTTATGTACCTGATTTGGATCAGCTTTTAAAATGGGTATACTGGCACCCCTTAGGGCGCAAAAATATAAATAACTACATTAGGTCTTAGGGGCGTTTTACAGTAAACTGAATAAACATATTGACGGTTTTTGAAATTTCCTGACGAGCTTCCGCGTCGATTTTACAGGGGGAAAAATTCCCTAGAGAAAAAGTAAAAATTTGTTTTAGAACAATTCTTTGCATGACACGCAACATTGAAAATTATGAAATAAATGTTAGTACAATGTGAAAGTCACTTTGTAGTTGTTGTTGTTGCTGTTGTTGATGTCACAAGTTTAATGGCGTTAGAGGTTAAAATGCAAGAATACTTTTTCGACTGATTAAAGATAATCTTTTGGACAATGTCATTTCGGGAGCCTAAATATATTTTTAACAATAGTATGCCATAATGCATCGCGTCAGTGCCGTCATGCCTATCATCTAAAAAATGGTATAATTGCCCTTTTTTAACGGATTTTTATACCCTAAAAAGGTCACCCAGAATTTTCGGAGCCTTTTTTCTAGCTAAAATTTTCGAAAAGGTAAGTTTTGATCCCTGTAATTTTCGGATCACAACACTTTCATCTAGGAAATCCGAACAGATGAAACATATTTTGGGGATAAAAATATGCGTATACCTACCGTTTAAATACTAATTAATGCTGTTTCAGGTCAATTACTTGCTTAAGTCATTACTTTAAGTACCTTTACCAATACACGCACTGCTCCTGTAGAGTTATGAAGAAGATGCAAAAAGTTTATCGAATTTCATTTTGTTGCACTGACCATGCAATCAGGTTTTGACGATTTTTTGTAGGCGTAGAAAAAACAAGTGCGAAATCTATAGTTAAAGCTTTCTTCGTGAGATTTGGAAGTATAACATAACGGTACGAAAAAAATGCTCTACATCTTTGTAATGATGACCCTGCTTCTCTGTTACTCAAGGCTCGGCATTCGATCTTGGTGTTGTCGAAGTGTGAAAAATATATTAGAATTAGATAAAAGAAAGCCAAGATGACTACACTAAAAAATGAAAGAAATTAAAGTACAACCACTGCAAAAGTGATTCCTGGACCCAAAAAAATTAACAGCAACAAACCTTTAACACTACGTAGTCATGATACAGCCGATTACTACACGGACTCGCTTTTAATAAAGTTACAAGATGTCTGTATCTGATTTCAAATCGCAGAGCGAGCAGTCGATCGATGCTTATAATGACCAGTGTGATGATAGAAACACCACAAAGAATAAAATTAAGGTAAAAACACTTTGTACTTTCAAAACAGTCGCAAGAATGTTTGAATTCATCTTCGCTACAGAATCCAGTATAATGTATATGGCAAGGATTGGCTTGGCAATGAGGCCAACGGAATAATCTGTTGCTGCTTCTTAAACAAAAGTTTTGTAGACGGAAGAATGGACGAAACTGAGCGGAGAGCAACAAAGATCAAAACATTTGCCACAGAGGCAGTGATGGAGAGAGCAATGTTCAAAGTTGCAAAAAACACAGCCATGCTTGATGATAACAGTAGTCTTGCTCGGTTCGCGATTTTTGCGGAGTTTGAACCTTCAGTAAAATAGGCCATATTTGGTTCTAAGCGATGGAGACTCTGTGATTAGTAATTAATTTTTAGTAACATAAATTGTCGACAAGCGTCGTCCCAACATACGTATGCCCATGTCTTTTATTCGTCCGTTTGTGTGGGCTATTCACCCCAACCCCGCCCGTTGATTGACGTTTTTAAGGTGACATTACTGAAGTAAACCCAATCGGTTTTTGCATTTTACAGTTATAGATGAATAGGTAGATACCCGGGGGGTACTTTAGGAATTTCTGGGTGGGGATGTGCCGCTGGGACCCTGGAACCCTTAACCTATACCAGAGCTACAGTCTCAGTCAAAATGGTTGGGACACTTTGGGGTCTCCTTGTCCCCTCAATGTTGGTGTACAAGATTTGGTGACCAAACCGCGATAAACAACTTTGAGAGGGACGAGGGGAGCACGAGGACGGAAAAAACAGCGTTTGGTTAAAGTGTCCCAACTATTTTTGTCTGAGACTGTAGTTCAGCTGAATTTTGCTACCCTATACTAGAGTAAACTCCCCTAATCCCCCAATCCTAGAGTAGCTGTTTTCCAGAAACTACTGAGGTCACTAGCACAGTCCAGCCAAAACAAAACCTTATACCACAATGCCTAGTCTAATAATAATAATAATAATAATAATAATAATAATAATAATAATAATAATAATAATAATAATAACACTTATATAGCGCTGATATCAATATTGCTATTTTCAACAGCGAGTCCAGATAAAATCTTCAACCAACTGATCAGTTTCCTGAAAAATAATACCCTATTCTAGACCCAAACCGGCTCTGATTTATATACCCTATCCTACAGTAAACTGCTTGAAAACCACACCCTTCACAGCGGCACATACCTATATAGCCCATATATGGCAGTGCACCCACCCCCCCCCCCGGGATAGATACTGACTTCATTCAGCGAGGTTAGCACATGACTATTTTATTTTAGCAACTGACGAAGGCCTTGAGCCTTTTAAGTGAATATGGGAGAGAGCTAGTGGCTTGTCTCTCTACAAAATCGGGAAATAAACTAGCGGGGAAATGATGAGTTATCCTTTTAGACCTTTTATTTTTCTCAGCTGCATACTGGCTGATTTTGGGTATAATCTAGTAGGATATTAATCGCAGGTCAGCAGCAACAAACACATTATTAAACTGCATTGGGAACCCACGCTCTTATTTGTAGACTGCAATTGAAAATTAAATAAGAGATTAAATCTTACCTGTTTTGTTCTATCTTGAATCTGCTGTGGTGTGACGGGAAATGGAAGTTGTTTTACGATGATGCCTGATGATGTGCCGAACGATGTTCAAGTCAACGTTTTGTTGGTTACCGTTTGTTATTAATTTATTAATAAAAATTAATAACCAACAATGAAACGTGAGACGACAATAACAACCGCGTGATACCAACAGGAAAATGCAAGACAAACCACATATTCCACATAAAGCATTGTGAAATCAACTACGGTCAATTCGTCGACTTGAACATCGTTTTCGCATCGTAAAACAACTTCCATTTCACTTCGCACCGTAGCAGATTCAGGAATAAAACAAAACAGGTAAGATTTTACCCCTTATTTAATTTCCATTTGCAGTTTACAAATAAGAGCTTGGGTTCCCTATGTTAAGGTTTTAAAAGATAAAGTTTATATAATAAGTTTCAGTGCTGAGTTCCGTCATCCTGTTAAGGGTTCCCTTTATGCGGCTAGTCACCGACGTAGTACTCAAAATCATCAAGTTTTTTTTTTTTTGCGTGTGTATGTTCGACAGGCTTTTTATCTCTCGCTATAAATCTGAATTTTTAAACTGTGGCATATTTGTTTTTGTCGATTTCAATTTACGACAATTGACCCTTCTCACCTCTCCACAGAGCACAGCGTGACGAATAAACACGAAGAGTATTTCACGGTCATTCTGCTCTAATCTCAGGTTATTTTCAAATTTTGGATGCCAGAAAGCGAACGCCGACTTAGGGCCTGTTTACATGGAGTGGGGGACCCCGGTCTAGTGGGGTAGGTTTCTTTTGTTTTGGGTCCCCCAGAGTGTGAAAACAAAAGAAACCAACCCCACTAGGCCGGGGTCCCCCACTCCGAGTAAACAGGCCATTAAAGCAGAAAAAAATAATCACGATATCATGACCTGCATCGGCCGCCTCCAGCCGTCATTTTTGTCAGGGACGATGTGCGCTGTGGGGAGGAGACAAGCGTTAATTGTCGTTAATTCGCATTTGATATAGCCTACATAACAGGCGCTTTAGAGCCAAGCGAGACGAACGCGACATTTTGGGCGAGGTGCAAAAACTCCGTGAATCGCAAGATGTGGGGAGGAGAAAAAAAAATAAAGCGCCTATTACGAGTCCATTGTTCTGGCTCTTAACACGTTCACTACATTAACGTTTCAATTCGTTAATTGATGACGCGTTGTTCTGGCGAACATTTTTTATATACGCTCAGCCAATAGGATAATTCAAAACACCGCTCACGCCCAATCAGTAGACTATCTAAGGGTAGGAAGATCCACGTTTTGTCATGTAATATTGATTACCCGGATCCCCTGAGTCCATATTTGCGTCCACCACGAAACACGTAGTCATCGAGGCGAGGTTCCTGAGCGCACATCAGATTGCCCAGAACCAAAACCTTTCAATACATTTTCCCACAAAAAACACATCGCAATACCCATGACGACGGAAGAGATAAGAGACTGACCTGGCCTTAAGGATTTGGCGCTTTCATGGTGAATCGGTGCGCGATTCTTTGATGCGGGGGAGGTTTGTGAGTTGAGACTACACACAGTCACCTGCCTTGCTTCGCTTTATGTAGGAAAACAACACCGCCGAAGAAGCAACAAGCCACAAAACCGTATAAAACGGCCATGAATTGAGCCCAGGTTACACAGAAAAAGCAACAACAGGCCCAAATTTACGTAAGTATAATTTATTTCTATATTTATGCCTATATTTCTACGTTTTAACAACTATCATTGAATTTCTCGAACAAAGTATCATGCTTACAGAGTCGAAACTCGCGGTAATTTATGCACCGAGCTTGGGCGGCCTGTGGCTTGTCTGGAACAAAATGGCGTCACGCAGTCATGTTCTTTTGACGATGCTCTTTGTATATTTTCAAATGTTACAAGAATAAACGAAAAGACAAAGGGAATGTTTAAATTTGTTGCTTAAGAGAGAAGCTGCTCTTGGATTGCTTCCAGCTAGGTTTTGAAAAAACTTGATTTACTCACCTTTTGATATTAATCCTCGGACGTAGAAGTGGGGAGGGGCTAGGGGTGGTTGCCACCCCCCTAAGGTTTTTCTGATTTTTTTCCTAGGCGATAAAACATCAGCACATGAAGTTTTCTGTAGCTATTCGTTTATTCCTCGCGCGCATTTTGAGACAAGTTAAGTGATGGTCAGTTACCATGGTTTCGAGATATGACGCCAGTGTGTTTGTTTTTGAGTGAGTGTTTTTCCAACATCTTTCAGGAATAAAAGTAAAGCTTGTGGATGAAATGATGCAAAGTACTTATTTATGTGTTATTTTACATGTTAAGCGCCAAAAATTAGTAATTCTCACTGTTCTTACCTGATCTCTGGTTCTTGATAAAATCCAATGGCGACCATGTTTGGTGGCGTTAGAGATCTCCAGCAACGCCACCACCTATAAAATATACCTCATTTTGTAGAGAAGAAGATCAAAGGCTTTTTACTGAAGGTAAACTCTTTTTGAAATACTGTAACATATCAAAAACCCTGCGGGGGGAGGGGGACAATCAGCAAACGATTCCCCCCCCCCCTTGTACCACGGTTGGGGTTTGACTTTGCATGTATGTCCGAGGGCGAGGGCGAGTCCGAGTCCGTAAGCTCGTGAAACATGACCTTGGAATTTTTTTGAACAACAGGTTTTCCCCCTTTTCTTTCTCGCCGCTGTGATAGACATAAACTAAACTTTGACTGAGCAAATGGGACTTTTGCCTTGCTGAGTCTTACATAATTGAAGGTGATTCATGACCTCGTAGTTTTTATTTCCTGTGGTTTATGCTGATGTCTGTATTTCTGGTAGCCAGAAAGGTGACAATTTTCGAGTAATGTATCGTGCTTTGATTGGTCCTTTTGACATCGCCGCCGTCAGTCAATACTGGTGTGCGGAAGAGTCAGAACAATGGATTGGTAACAGTCGCTTTATTTTTCTCCTCCCCACGTCTCTCGCGCTTCGCGCAAAATACCGCGTTCACCTTGCTTGGCTCATAAAACGCCTGATATGCAGGCTAAATTTGATATAGCCGTTATGATCGACCACTTTGGTCCACATCCTATGACCATGGCGATTTTGGGGCGCATGTGAAAATTTGCGGAGTCACTTTGGGTCGTTAAAAGCAAGCAATCTTGATCATTTTTGGTATCGACCTACGCAAACTATCTGGCTTTGATTTTCCGGAGGCTGGGTGGCGAGGTACGCGTGGAAGTGGGAGAAAATAGGCAAAATTCAGAAGGCGATCAGCTGCGGCCGGCCGCCGAATTTGCAAGCCTTGTCATTTTATTATGTATTAGTCGAGGGTGTAGGTTTCAAGCGACAGGAAACGCCCAAAAAAAAAAACGCAGAACACGACACTAAAAACATACGGTAAGTTACCTTTATTCATTTTTCTTACATTATATCAACATTTGGGATCAAAAGGTGCAAAATTCTGTGTTTTATGAAGTATTTCTACTGATTACTTGAATCAAGCCAAGTGCGGGTGTTACGAAATACAGTAAATGTATGGGATCACATGTCGCACGTGACCTCACGATGCCTCGAACAATTGGGATGGTTCACCTGTGGTTCAATAAGCTTGTTAATTAAAAAACTACTCGCGTAGCCTGCAAGTTATAATTACTTTAAGACAAGACAGAACGATTTTAAGTGTTTAGTCTCTGAGATGTAAGTCTCAACTATCGCCCTGTAATGCGGGCGTATTGCCTTGGGAGGGGGAGGGGAGGGGGAGCAAAAGCACATTTTTATGTTCATAAAGCTTTAGCCGCTGGCTTTGATTTTATGAAAGAGGAGGATTGGGGAGACTGCGAATAACAACCCAACAACCCTTGGGGTAGTTGCTGGGGCGGAAGAAGGACACTCCTCGCTTCTAGTTCTCCGCTTTTGCCATTCAACATGGCGCACTCGCGCAGCCAATGTAGGCTAAGTCAAACAATTCAATTTACTTAGCCGATGCCGATAAAAGTGAACGCTCGACATTGACAGCATGTCCTAATATCCCGTTCAAATGTTTCCAATTCCTCAATAAAAACATCATCGTCATCATCATCTTCCTCAAATTCCCCTGTTGATCGAAGAAAATTAAGTCTGATTACTCCTTGTTGGCAAAATCCTATGCGGTTAAAACAATCTGGCCCGTTGACCGCTGGTGGCAAGCCAAAATTGCAAACGACTTCATTGATAAAACGCGGGAAAACATTTGCCGGCAGCTCGGTAAACGCTGAGCACTCAGTACACAGGCGCAATAGTCCAATTTCCGGGTCCACACCAGCGACTCGGCATTGTTGTATAAAAGTTACCGAGTCATCTACCGTACGTTTGCTTCTGACGTCACTCTGAGTTCCAGTGGGGATCGAAGCATTTGTTTGCGAACTGGATACATTACTCGGTAAAGGTAATCGATCCAAGGTTAGATCCTCAAATTTCTCTGCATGCTTTCTGTTTAGAGCCATATAACGGGGAATGTACCCTCCAACTTCTCTCAGCATGGCTAATTTTTGAGTATCGCTCATTCTCAGGCAAATTGGGCCTGGTGGACGCTTCTTGGGGAGTTTATCGACAATAATCCCGCATTCATCTTGACGGATAACTCGGTTAGATGGAAATGGAGCAGATGTTGTTTTAAATCTTGTCGGTTTTGTTTTCCGGATTGTTCCACGGCCCCAAGACCCAAAGTTCCGGTGACGTTTTGTCCTGTAGCGGAAGCGACTCTCCGAGACATCCATGAGCAGGAAAATGAGGATAACGATAAGCAGCACCTGGTAAGAAAAAAAAAAATAAATAAATAAAATAAAATAAAAACAAATACAAAATAAAAAATTAATCATAACGTGCCATATTTTCTGCCATAAAAAAGTAATAGTAATAAAAAATAAAATAAGATAAGATAAAAACAAATACAAAGTAAAAAATTAATCATAACATGCCATATTTTCTGCCGTAATGTAAATGGCAAGTTAACAAAACCTTCCAGTTATAAAAATAAGTTTGTATAGCAACCAACTGGGCAAGAAATAACCACAGACTCGGGTGATGTAGATCTACCTCAGGCGGGAAGCAAACTGTTGACACAAAATATTTTATAATGTTTTCCCATATCTTCACTGTTAGAAAATGTCCGGGCTTCGATGTAAAAGTGTCATAAACGTTCACTTAACTGTGTATTTCTAAAACTAATTAGGGTAGACACTCATACTCTCAGCTAGCTCTTCGATCTTCAGACCGTTAGTGATATTGACTTTGACCATTCGGTATATGTTTTGCATGTGTCTTTCACACGGATGATTCCAGAAACGCTTTATGCAAAATTAATAGTCCATTTTTCGTCTTCAACCGAAAGCGTCAAAGCGCTCAAGCAAACACTAGTAAAAAACATTCATTAGCATCGTGAAGAAAGTTCAATTTAACTTTCCCGCGGCGACTCATTCTTAAGTAACTTCTTTTATATATTTATTTATCTATTAATTTTTTTTTTACCTCAGAGGTCTATGAAACAGAGAGCTTTTTATCTACTGAAGAAGGTTAACTTCCACTGAGGCCGAAACCGACACTTAAAAACTCTAACTCAAGGAAATGAATATCTGACCTACGCGTGATATACGTCCTGTTTCTGAAATGGCTGTAACTGAGGGCAAGGAGGTCTACAATATGGTGTTGATTAGAATCCCTCAAACTGATGTCATACAAGAAAACTATGCGCCAATATATTTTACGAAAAACAGAAACCGCTCCATGTATGTACCTTTCTTTTTAGCTCCATGATCGCTAGGATCTTTATAGCTGAGAAAGAACCAGTTTTCTGTACGCTGAGAAAGAACCGGTTTTCTGTACACTCTGGCTTGAGACTTGCTTTTACTAAAACGGAGAAAGAGAGACAAAAAAAAAGGCAGTACAATTAAACATATACAAACAAATAAATACTTGAGAATTATTGTTTGATTTACTCCTAAAATTAGATTTCTACTTCACTAAGTCATGCAGTAACCATCTTACCTTTTAGCGATGCAGAGGTTGGAGTTATTCTAAAGCTTTACACTTGCCTTTGCAATACAGTATTTGGTGATATTACAACACTGTGGACAAAACTCAGTGGAGTAATGAAAAAAATCACCAGAAATTAGTCCCTTTTATCTCCCCTGGTCGCATAAAGATATTGGTCTCGCAGAGAAGATATTTGCCTTTCGGTTGAGATGAAAAAGAGGACCACAAGAGAGCTGACTTCTGAGCTTTAAATAGCTTTTTAGTAGTAATAACGTAGTAACAAAAATGCAATTCATGCAAAATTTTGTTAATTCCTATTTTTCTTTATTTTTCACAACAATAAATGAATACAAATAGTGACAATAGCTCATGATATAAACCTGCTTAATCGTCTACAATTATCCTATCTTTAGCCACCTATAGACGTAAAAATACAGCTATCAGCAGACTATGACGTCGCGTTACTAAGGTGTGCTCCTAGAGTCTCTTATTGAGATGGATAATGCTTTTCACCCAACCCTGCGGCAGAAATCCTGTTGTAATTTTTAGTTGAAATCCATTCAGCATTGTTGTGGTGTTAAATTCTTATTGTTTTTCAATAATTACGATATAAAATTGACACAATTTTTTATTTAATTTTGACTTAAGCTCCACTAATGGCTAAAGCCATGTCTAAGTATTTATTAGTTTTTCTGCTTTGTCATTTCATAATAAGTTAAAGTTGGACTTGTTATGATTTAAAAAGGTACGTACCGGACACGATTTTCAGAGATGTGAATGACGTCAAGGGAATATTTTCCAAATATATTCAGTTACAGCGGTTTTAAGGTAAATTATTTAACGTCTCCTTTGATGACGAGATATCATCCTTTCCCAGCTATACAAACCTGAAAGTATTCTGAAACAAATATTAAACGTTTTCATACAAATCCTGTTAAAGAACCATCCAAACTCATTATATACCTCCTACATAAAATCAATACCGATAACTGATCATTATTTTCCTTTAATATACTGAAGATCGTTGTTTTACTTTTAATTACGTTAAAACTATTTTTAAATTACAGATCGTTACATTATTTCACTTGTCTCAGCTATATAGGTGGCCTCCCACGCAAGAATTTGCTATGACGGGTCTGTGTGGAAGGCTACTATTTACCGCCTTTTAATACCTGGATACTTTGATCGTCATAAATTGTTTAGTGGTTGGGTGACTATGTATTTAATGACCCTTTATCTGTTCCTTAAAAGTTACCGTAGTTTCAAGGTACTTTTCAAACATTTCAGTTTGCGAACGCATATACAATCTCTGCATCCACTTTCAGGCGTTGAATCCTTGCTGACAACCGTAAACGCAATGGCTCCGTGAGCCTCGACTCAACCATCATGGAGATATTACAGTCGATAGTATTGCTCTTGAGAAAACTAACCACTTAATTATCGGACGGCTCAGGTTTTCATGCAATTATAAAAGGGGCACTGATGCACAAAATGGTTTTTGAGATAAAACAGAGATACATTTTTATGAGGTCGATGCTAGCAAAGCAAGTGCTCATGTAGAAAAGATCAGATATCCAGAAATAATACATAGATAAATTAAAAATATAGCATATTGGTATAGCATATTTAGTTATATTTAGTTACAGGTTATAGTTCATTACGTTTATTGATGACAGAGGCCTAAGGGTCTTATAGCTTTTTTGATAAATGAGCTACTTACGAAACAGGACGACAGAAAACACGCGAACGGCAAAACATGGTTTGTGTGTGAAACAAGTCACAGGGCTGTTACTTAACATTACTGGTCGTTAAACATTTGTTTGAAGGAAGGTGAAATTTGGCGAAAAACATTTTCAAACATAATTATTGTTACGGTTGATTTGTCACAAAAGGTTTGCCGTCCTATTGCGTGAGTTTACTTATGGCTTCTTCGTGCACCTCTCTGAAAGAATCACTTCCATCGTCATTTCTTTTTTCAGTAGTGATAAGTAGCATCCATCAGGAATAGCTTCTGCTAAGACTAATCGAAAAATCCATTTTCTTGGGTTTCAGCGACCAGGGGCCCGTTTCTCGAAAGTCCCGGTAACTTTTCGGGCCCGAAATCAAAAATTCCAATCGAAATATAAAGAATAAGAGCGCGGGTCCTGGCTAGCAAACTACTCCATTGTGTTTCGTTAACTGATAGTTTCATCATGTTAAATGCAAAGCTATTGAAACCTCGATCTTAAATGTGGACAGAGACAGCTTACCGGACCCGTTAATTATCGGAACTTTCGAGAAACGGGCCCCAGGACCATTGATGCAAGGCATGTCTTTCAGAGTGGTAAAAAAAAAAATTAAAAACGTCACTTCAACTTTGTTTTTTACTTCCTGCAAGGAAGCAGGACAAACCCACTATTGGGGATTCCCATTTCTTTAAACACTTCAGCTGTCGCTTCTTTTTGTCGCCTCCTGTTTCCGTTTATTATGTTATCATTCCGATTAAGCAATATATATCGGTCCAAGGATACAAAGAAATATTATTATTTATTTATCGAACTTCCAGTTCTACCATTGACGTCAAGAGGGCGTATCTGGACCTGTATTATGCGTAAAACACACTCATGCGATATGCCTGTTTTGATCCGACTGACTCATTAGACAGATGAGTTTGCTGCTGGTTTTCCTTTCAGCTCCCTTAGTCAACAAAGGAATTTGGAAATAGAGAAGGGATGGCAAGGAAGAAAGAGAGCGCCCAAATCGTAAAATTTGCAGCTTATGTGTAAGGCCTCAAACCCAACTGTTAAATTAAAATTAACAGGCGGCTCACAGTGTTATTGAATTCGAGCATACTGCCCTCAGGGTTTGCGAGACATGGGAAGTCGAGCTACAGAAACAAATACGGTAATGCGCTTTCAAAAAGAAAATTCAGCAAAGCTGTCTAGATCAAGGGAGATTTGTTTCCTTTTTCATTTTGATTTGTTGTTTGCTGTTTTCTCAATGGGAATTTTTAATTCAGCGAATATCCCGATGAGGTGGAGGGGAATACAGCACTTATTGAATTCACTGTGAAATGACTTTTTACCTTTGTTAAAGCTAATATGACTGAATTGAGGGGGGAGGCCATCGGAGGAAATTGGAAAGGGATATCTAACGCCCGGCTAAACACTGCTCTAAAAAAAGGCTAAACACGTAGTTCATAAGGCGGTACTTTACGAGAAAATACTATGACTTAACAAAAGAAAATTCAATTAATTCGACAACCAAGAAAGCTATATCTTTATTATCAAGTTTTTACAAAATGTACGACGATTGGCGTTTGCAAAAGGGCCATGTAACTTGGCTATAATGAAAATATAAAAAAAAGCATAACATATCATCGTTTGCTCTGGTGAAGAATTGGCATTAAGACTCTTCTACACATAGGTCTTTCATTACATGAAAAACCCTCAGACTTTTTAACTAGCACGCTATACTCCTAAACGTGTACTGAAATCTTCACTTGGGTCTCTTATGTGTGACAAAATACTTATAATTTCTAAGCACACTTCTTATTTTTTATTATTTTTTTAAATAAAGTGTCATTTAACCCTATTCAGACCTCAATAAAACGATGAATAACTTGAAATACATTCACGCTATGATGGCCAAAGTTAGCGACTTGTTCTTAAGTTCATCTGAGAACATTTTAAAGTTGTGGTGACGTGTACGTAAACTTTGACATTACTATGGCTACCGAATTTTGAAAGCCATGTTTTTCAAAATTTGCATTTTTCTATAAAAGAGGGTTTTTTAGTTTTTACACATTAAATTATTATTTTACACTTGATTTAGTATTATTTTATCAAATTTATCATAATTTTTTGAGTAATCCAGGCTTTTTTAGTGACTAATGCGAGGAAAAAAATTAAATGACCCAATGGTAGATGCTGGATTCTCTTTTCAACAGTGTTCATTTCTCACGGAATTTCATTATTTACATACTTTTAATTTGTGCTTCCTAAACTTTCTTTTATACACAGATCAAATTTTTTACCACGATTACCTCGATTTATACACCGGTTTTTAAAAGTACAATGAAATAAATCTAATTAATCAAAATGGCGCCGGATTCAAGATGGCAGATAGTTCTTTGTTCCCTATTTTAGTAATAAATGACGTCACCTTGACATCATTGCTATTGTTAAAAATTATTAATGTGTTAATTTGTAATGTAATGTGTTCTTGATTTTATCAGACACCTTGCTATTTAAGTATTTTTTGCTTCATGGCTACTTCGAGAGGAATTTGGACTTTGCCAAATAATTTATGAGAAATATTACGTCTCAATGACGTCAAATTATGTCATGTTTCAATCAAGTTATACTTAGAAATGTTAGACATCATAAGTGCGTTAATCCGTGTACATTTGGAAGAAACGTTTCCACGTTAGTAGAAGAGGCGAGCCACTGAAAGCCGGAAGCTTATCACTGAGAAATCAAACGTTCAAATATTAGTGGTACTGTTTAAAACAAATGTAGTACCTTTATTATTGTAAGTTCAGTTCATGACTGATTGAATTGACGTCTAAATGTTTTTAAACGTTTTTAGTTTCTTTTTTCCTGTTGAAAAAAACAACAACAACAACTTGTTGATGAATCCCCGGCACTGATCGCCTCCTCAATTGCGTCATCCTGAACATTTTAGCGTCAATTCTGTGACCTATGCGATTGTAGAAAAACTCATTTCAAGCTCAAACGTAACTTTGAAGTAAAATGAGGCAGGGGGTTCAAAGCTGCCATAGATTTAGGAATAAATTTGAATCTCACATTTGACTTAAGACATGGTGGATTCTCTGCCAAGAAAAAAGTGTTGGGTGTAGTTACTTTCAGAAACCGCGTCTTTTAAGACTAGTCGATCAAGTTTAGCTGGCTCTGTCTCGATACGCTGATTTGTCGATCGAAACTAAAAATCTGCAAAAAAGAAAAATGAATAAATAATTAGTTAAATAAATAAATCCTAAATTGTACATAACTATAATACACGCTTGGTCAGCAAAACAACCCCCGATATTTCGTTAGTTCAAAAATTTAATAAGCTGGAATAATCGCGAAGACGTTTGTGAGGGTTATTGCAAATATTCTCTTCGTCAGTACTTGCGATGCTCATTTCAAAATCACACGATTAGCGCGATGAATAGCTATAATCTGACAGGGTTGTACGAAGGCATGGAGAAAATTACTTTTGAAAAGCCTGTAAGTGAAAACAACATTCAGGTCAGTGGGTCATGTCCTATTCAAGGCCTACGGCCTATAATATCCGTTTTGTTTTCAAGCGTTCATTACGCCATGAGGCTTTCTTATAATTGTCCCGATTGTTTTATGATAATCTGATAATCTCGAAATATGTTCAGGCGAACTGGAACTTCTGCAATACGATGTGGGACTATCGGGACGGTTATAGAGCGTTTTCACGCACGTAGCTAGCAGTTATGCATACATACGCAAAGAATTCAACTCTCTCAAGAATGGTTTGGGACGCCAACGTTGCTGCCGTTTCATCGTTTTGGGACACCAAGATGGCGGACAGGACGTCATAAGAAAAAGGGGTCTCTGCGACGATGACAATCGCTTGGAAACAGCGGAAGTCTATAAATACATATGTTGGTTTCCCAGACCGTCCCGATCATGTCAGTTGTCCAAAAAATCCAGACGATTATATACAGCCAGGCTAAGAGATCGACGTTCAGCACATGCGACTGAAAAGACCATTATGGAGAAGCCATACCTTATTATCAGATGCAAAAATGGCATCGCTCGATGTTGTGTTTACTCCTTCTACGTGGAAGTCCTTATTTTCGGGTCCGAGCTGCATTGTCAGCGACTGAACTTCAAACATTGGGACCATTGGGACCACACCATTAGGAGGTGGGTCATCGCTGTTTATTCGAACTGTAGTACTTCTGGGCGGCTGACCAAGAGGAGATGGTGACCTGACATTAAAAAACTCGCGCCGTTAATTTTTTGTAGAAATCACTGTCTGTTTGCAAAGTCTTTTTATCAAATCATCAGCGGCCATGATGGCTCCTTACGTTATTCTGCTAAAACCTACAACACTCGTCACATTAGTTGGGACAGTTGTGATATTTTCTGCTCTCCCAATGTTGTTTTTGGGGAGTTGGTATCACAGAAGCCCGAAATTCAACATTTGGAGGGAAGGAGCACAACTTTTTGATGGAATATGAGAGTGTTGCAAGCGGTGTCCCAACTCAACGTGACGAGGATTGTAGATTTATAAAGTCGTGCAAACATTAATCAAAAAAACCTAAAAATCGCCTTTACCGACTTTTTCACCCGATTTTACATTAAATAGACAGATTTGGTTGTTTTATGCCGAAAACTGGATTTTTCTCAAAAAGCTTGGTACTTTGCTTAATCAAAAAACCTAAAAAAGTCCCTTTTACCCACTTTTTCACCTGATTTTACGTTAAACAGACAGATTTGGTTGTTTTATACGGAAAAGTGGATTTTTCTCAGAAAGCTTGGTACTTTCCTTAAGAAAAGTCATTTACATATTTGTACTGAATAATGTTTTAGTTAAACATTTTGCCACCCTTGGTCGAGCAAAACAATTTTCACAATATTCGAAAAGGAATAGTTTAGTCCTTTCCCCTCTCCGAGAATTTGAAGTATTTTTCAAAGTAATTCCAATGTTATGACGTCAGATGACGTGCAACTACGTCATAAATCAAATCCGCTAGTTTGACAGTGAATAAATAAACAAATAGATAAATACGAAGCTTGTATCATTTATAGTTTAATACCACGAAGTTGCAAAGATAAGCTTTACACTGTAAAGTTAAAACCAACTCGGTGAAAAACAAACTTATTGCAAGAAAACGAAACACATTTATGACAAAACATGTGTTAGGTTTAAAACAAGAAACTAGCTGATATATTTATGGGTTACCGGTCGTTTCGTTGCAACTCGTTTCGATTCAAGTTTATTCAGCCGAATTGTAAACAGTTCCACGTACTTGACCTGAAGAACGAACTAAAGAATATTCACCCAAATGCTTTTCTTGTCCACGCGCATACTATATTCGGAATGAAATTAATTTTTATGCAATTTCACTGCTTGAGTTCGTCTCGAAACGACGTTGTATCGAAACGACTTCTATCGAAAGGACTTTGTATCGAAATGACCGGTTTCGTATTTATGAATTCTGATACTTACGACATGGGTAACAGAAAGAACAAAGATCCCAACAAAAGAGCTAAGAGAAGAGCCACTGGAACAACTAAAATAAAATTTAAAGAAAAAACATTCAATGGATTTAAAACTAACAAATCATTTATACGTAGAAACTTTCTATACCTCCCATCTTTCAGTAGTTACAGTGCCCGGCATAGTAAATCGAACCCAATCCAACTAAATTTCAATCGAGCTCAATCGAACTCAATCGAACGAAATCGAACTCACCGAAAAGAAAAAAAATCAATCGAACCCAATCGAACGTTCGATTTTGCAACTCGTGATTTATGTAAAACAGACGTTGAAAATCCACTACCAGATCTTAGAAGCTCGAGTTACTTCAGCCCTGAGTGTAGCGCACGTGTTTTTCGTAAACGAAGAAATTCCGCAGAAATGGCTTCAGATGCGTTGTGGATCGTAAGCTTCAAATGTATAGTCAAAGGCTACCAGGAATGCCGCTTTGACAAGGGTTTTCCGGGTTTTAAAGAAAATAGGCGAGAAAGGCCGTGCCTTCCGAATTGTAAACGAGCGCGGACAATTTATAGGTCACCTTCAACGTGAACTGGTTGCTTCCCTGTGGCCTGTAAATGCTTCGATAACTTGGTAAGTGAAGATGTTTGTAAGGGATTCGCGAATATATATAAATGTGTGTTATTGAATAAATAGTAAAAAAAAGCGCAAGAAAAACTTGCTTTGACGGTCTTGCTTTGGGCTTGATTTGTATAGGTTCACCAGAGCCAATCGAACGAAATCCATTTAATTGTGTTCGATTGAGTTCGGTTTCCGAACTCAATCGAACACAATCAGACGGATAGAGTTCGATTGAGTTCGATTTGTTCGATTGAATTCGATTTGTTCGGAAATCGAACTCACTGAAACTGTGGTGTTCGATTTCGTTCGATTGCCGAACTCAATCGAACTCAATCCACGGATTGAGTTCGATTGAGTTCGATTTACTATGCCGAGTTACAGTGGAACCCCGATACAACGATCTTCGATATAACGATATCCCCGGTATAACGATAGATATGCTATGTCCCGGCAAAAGTTACAGTTAAATGTATGGGAAAGAACCCCGATATAACGATCTTCGATATAACGATATTCCCGATATAACGATGAGTTTTTAGCGCACCGAGCGTAAAATCTTCCCCGACATAACGATATTACAGTATCAGTACACAGATGCAATTTAATAATCGAGTACAGTAATCTGTAACGTTTCTGTCAACAGCTTTCAGTTTACGATGCCTCTTTCAGTTCTAGTATTTTTGACTCCTTCCTGTGACAAAAAGTATACGTCGCCGGGATTTCAAGGCCGATGCCTTTGTTCCTGTGTTTTCCTGTAACTTGAACGGAAATCTGCCCTCCATGTTTCAAAAATAAATGAAAGATTCGTGAAAGTCTCAGTGGCACGTGGCCGACGATGAGTTGCTTGCGCTTTCTTTTGCCCTCCATTCGTTTTATGGTAACAGCATGAGTATAATGCTTTGCAAATTGTTTAAGGACATTGCTGCGTGCTTGAAACGCTACATTTGTTAGTCATTTGATACTCATTACAAGTTTAATTAAACAATAGTAGTAAAAAAAGGACACGTTAATTTTGCCCCGATCTAATGATATTTTCGGTTATTTTACGGCAATATCGTTATATCGGGAGTCTCGATATAACGATACCTCGATATAACGATCTAATTCCACTGCTCCCTCGGCATATCGTTATATCGGGGTTCCACTGTATTAAGGCAAAATCAGAAACTGCCGTTTCTAGCACATACCACTTCTTAAAGTCAGTAAAGTTTCATTCCTTACGTAAAACGTCGTCTAGAATACCTAATCTTCATATATAATGTAAAAAGCCTCGTTCCGGTGTAGCATAAATTACGTTAATCACCAATATTGCCCATTTTCATGTTAATTAAAATAAGCAGATTAGACTCACCTGCCAAGCGAGTGTCAGACAGAGGTTCACTGGACAGTGGAGAATTGGCTACTCTTTCCAATAACGAACTTGTGAAACTGAGGAAATCCTCTGAAAGTAGCAGAATAGAGAGATATTCTGAATAAGATTTTAATGTCTGTAAACGGATTTAATGTTTGTTGCATTAAGGTAATTGTAGCTTATCTTAAGCATAAATGTGACTTCCTGCTGCTTTCCCCTCGAAAGTGGATTAGATGGGAAGAGAACATCAATTACCACATTTTCAAGTAATATGTCAAAAACGAGGGCGAGTGCTTCATCAGCCTAGTTTTTGACATGTCCTACCAAATGAAAGAATACGAAATTATACAGTGAAATGTTTTCTCTGGTATTGCATTTTTTCCATGAGTTGAGTTAATAAATAAAGCATTTCATTAAAACGCCAGAGTACATTAGTACAACAGTAATAAAAACTAATTGTTCTCCTGCAAAAATCTGCCTGTCGTAACCAAGCCATTTTGGACGCTTGATCTTTTCGTTGGAAATGCAGTTATTTTGACCGAGGAAAACTATGCCTGAAACGTTTTTAAAATTTGTTTGACCAAAAAAGTGTAGGAGCAGCTACTGAAAAGAAGGGGTTGATCTGTCTAAAAATGAGGCGTTTTCAAAAAATACGGGCAATACTCAAAGGGGTGGGGGTGGGGATCATCATCATCATCATCATCATCATCATAATGATAATAATAATAATAATAATAATAACAGTTAAGAGAAGTTTACCTTCAGTGTCACACCCGTACAAAGCTAGACGCAAGCAGGGAAATGAACCAGTATGGTTGATTGGGTGAATCCGAATGTAATGGGCGTTTGTACCGTGCAGCGAAACATTAACTGCTGATATGTTTGTGTTGGCTTTGAACTGAAAATATAAGAGATTTATGTAGGTTGTTGTCCAACGCTAACACTTTATTACATTAGGTTGTTACACAGCATTGTATTCCAGTGCTCCCAAATGGCATCGAACTAGTACTATTGGCAACGTTCATGACAATGGATAAATCAGTAGAAAATGACAAGCAATCACTGGCTTGGAATAGCAACACTTAGTTTTTAATTAGCACTTTTCGCGGCATTAGGGAGGGCTCTCACCTGTCACCAGTGTGCATGGCTTCAAGCTCCAGACGGACCCACCATAGGGCGGGTTTTTTGGTTTGTTCTCGACAGTTAATTACATACAATGGTGGAGACTATGGGAATGACGATGGCATGACGATGGCATGAAAAAGGACAGTGGCAATTGAAATAACAATGACATAACAAAACGAAGATGAAACAAAGACTCTGGAAAGTTAGATCACATAGGCCATACTTACAATTCTTGTTTCTCCTCTTTCCGTGTAATTAACGAAACTCGTCGCTGTTGAACTGTTACTTAAGGACAAATAGTAACTTTCAACCCATAAGTTTGTTGTCCCATCCTCAACACCTTCGGTTTCAATCTCAGTAATGTTTACAAGATATTCTGCAAAGTAAATTTATTAGCCATGGAAAAACGCATTTTAAAAGTAAGGAAGGTCAGAAAAGCTAGATGCATGACGAGAATTTCAACTTGAATTGACACGTGGTAAATGACTCTACGTTTTCACTCGGAGTCTTTATCTATGTAATTTCTTACTACAGTTTAGAGACGGGTGGGCGGATGGTTAATTTACAATAACACGTTCCAGAAGGTCGTGTATGCGTTTACGACCTACCTAAGAGGAAAGAAACTCTACAAAAATGTCTTTAACTGCGAATTTTTGCTACCTTTGTGTCTCAAAAATCTTCGTTAACTTCAGCCTGGCAAAACACTTTCGCAAGATTAAAAAAGAACTATTATTGTGCTAAGAATCATGGGCCATCCGGAATAAACCAAATCAAGCCCAGCCTGAAATGTATAGCTTAAAAAATTTGTGCTCTCCTATAAATATCAGTTCCCAAGGTAAGAAATGCTAAGAAATTAATAGTATTTATCTTCTGACGGAACGTACCGAAAAACACCTGAATATAAGGGTTTGGATCACTTGCTGAAGAACACCAGCCGTCTTCCCAAGTACCAATAGCTTCGATTCCAATTCTCGCGCGGTGCGCTGCATGACTTGAATCTCTCTCAGAAGATGACGTCATGTATCTGTCCGGAACGCGGCGTTCATTGGGGGTTTTGATGCCAAGCTCACCAAAGACGCATCCTACGAAGAATATTTTACAAAATAAGGAATTTTGAATGAGAAAATGATTTCCCCTTCAACCACCTGTTCAGGGCAATGCATGATAAGTGCAAGAAAATCTCTTCATTCTTAATAAAGCGTTGGCCACAAAAAATTCCTAGAGAGAGCTAATCCCTAAATGATTCTATCATTTGTTACTGACCAAACTCCACTAACAATCATGCTGCATGCTTAGTCTGTTTCCTGGGACTGGGACTGTTAATTTAATGATCTCACCATTTCATTCATGGTTATTACAGGGCTTACAATGCAAGACGTATACTTTGTGGTGTTTGATTACGTTTCCTATTATTAAGAGCTTTAGGGCTTGTTTTAAGACTGTTATTCCAGAATTTCTGAACATTTCTTAGTCATTAATCACAAATTGTCGATACACTCTCACCAAGCTGACACTGGTTGCCATAAAAACCACGGGTGCACATGCATCTGAAATCTGCCCCTGTGTTGATACACGTTCCGCCATTCAAGCAAGGAGCAGACGCACAGACGTTTATTTCTTGTACTGCGAAGAAGAAATAAAAATGATCAATAGGTGCACGTTGTTTTTAGTAGCCATTTTTGCTTCTTTGATGAACTTTATAATGGCCTGTAATCTAAAGTACAAAGATTAACGTTACTTTTGATCATATCTGACCAACCTGTTTTTGGAACGTAACAAAGCAAATTGACAGCTTAATTAAAACAACTTAAACATAGAAGAGGCGGGGATGACCACAATTACGTTTAGCCTTTTTTGTCAAGTGCGTTCAGTTTAGAACAGCTCAGGAATCGGCACTTTTGATGGGGTCTTAAAGCTGCTATTGGCCATCCATGTTAAGGTAATGACCTTGTCTTTCCTGAGGTGAAATGTAGTCAGAGGTAAAGTAGATCGAAAATCGTTATAAGACTCACAGCGGCATATTTCCTGTTTCAGCTTCTTATGAAGCCCGTCCAATTCCCTGTAGTTCGTCTGATACAGACGGGTTCTATTGTCCCCGGCGATTTCTATCAGCTGATCTACATCATTGTTATTACCAATCCCAATGCTGAAAATCGTGACGTTCTGTTCCCGAAGTAACCTCGCAGGCGTTTTAACGAAGTCGTAAGATGCACCATTTGAAAGGAAGATAAGGTAGTTATTCTTAATTGACTTATTTCTAATCGCCGATTCTCCGAACAAATTGCGACGAACAAAATGTAAGGCTTTTCCAGTTTTTCTCCCACGCCCTGGAAAGGAAGCCATTTGAGTGGAAGCCATGACATCTGAGAGGGTCTCGTAAAGAGAAAAGTTGAATACAAGATGAGGATCTTCAGAAAATACTACAAGTCCAGGTCTTGTAGCATTTTTGGAAACGTCAAAGGATCCGATTAGCTTGGAAACGAACACAAGAGACTTGTTGAAATTGCCTTTTCCTGAGAGCTCTACCGCCGCTGATCCATCAACCAAGAAACCAAGGTTCATTACTTGGTGATCACAATCTAAGAATACAAAAAAAGGTTAAAAATCGTTTAAATTGATGTAACAAACATAGCGAGATAATTAAAACGAAACGACACATCATGTTTGAAGAATGCCTATGCGAGCTCAGAAAATGGGTGACCAACGTACTTTTTAAATATTTCGCATTAATTTACTGCTCCTCAGAGTAGTTCTATCTTCTTTATCTCAGGAGATGGCATAGTGATAATTTTGCATTGGCAAAATCAGCAGCCTTAAACCTATACTAGAAATGAACGTCTCCCTTTGCACCCATACAAAACAGACGACTACAGGATTCTTAGACACCTAACTTGTCACAGTCATCGTATTTACAGTCATCTTTTTGTTGCATTTTCTTAAATTCTTGAGATGCTTTATACCCAGTGTCATTATGCTACTTACGAACTTCACAATTGTCACCAGTGAAAGCCAAAGGGCACTGACAGTCATATCCTCCAGCTGTGTTTGCGCAGTTACCACCATTTAAACAAGGAGAATCCAAACACTCGTCTATATCTAGAGCAAAAAAAATTAAATAGAATATTTGAGCAAACTTGTGGGGCATTAATGAACAACGAGCATATAAAAACATATTAACCGTTTTATTTTATTGTACTTTATATTTTATTATATTTTATTTTTTTATGTTATGCCAGAATTTCGGGGTATTTCTGTCGAAACGTAAACGGGCCACAAACCGTCAAATAAAATTTATCCGCAAAAAGTAGTGCAACCCCAAATATGGTTCACTTTGCACTTCCTCCCAGCTATCAATACTGAAACTTTCTTTGGCGAAATAAAAATCGCAGTGCTTCCTAGTCCGCTTTACTGGGACGTTTAATTTGCCCAAATCGATAGAGGGACTTGGGAAAAAGTGCTGTCCGACCTTTAGATCGAGTTAAATGCTTTGTAATTTTCACCTTCTTTTTGAACCAACCATCTCTGACCGGTGTGATTTAAAGCCCCTCCCCCCCAGCTCTATTTTTGGAAGTTACCAAATATGGGTACTCTTCATGTTAGATTTACCGGATGAACAGTTGTCTCCTCGCCAGCCTTTGAAGCACTCGCATCTCGTGGTTTCATTTGCTACTATTGCAATACAGTTTCCATTGTTATTACAAGGATGAGGTGGGAGAGTGCAAGGTGTAACTTCTGAAAGCGCACAAAATAATAAAATTATCAAAAGGTTATAAACCATAAAGAACCCGCTAATGATCTCGCGCCTAAGAACGACCTAACTGGCGGAGGTCGTACAAAGACGTCTGGGACAGATAAGCCGGATCGACCCCAACAAGGATCGACCCCAACAAGGACTTCCAAGGGGGGGGCGGGGGGTGACATCGAGGCTTCTGCCCAAGAATATGCCTGTTCGATTCAGAAACGCCTTTTTTTCAGTCGAATGCTCTTTCGCCGATCTATGGTGATGGAAATTTAGCGTTTTACGTTTGAGAGGATGTACTTTATATTTGAGTAGCCTTCTACGCCACATTCTCCTGGCCGGTGACTTGGCGATCCTTGTTGGGAAGGCCCGTCAGGTAGTGAACTAAAAGACACTGCTTAGATAGCTACGCTTTGGCCTGTCAAAAATTGCATCTATCGGGAACACTTCCTTCATGGTGACCAATTCCGCTCTATGCAAAAATGTTTATTTAATTTAAGCGTATATCCAGTGAAATTTCTGAGGTCCTTTGCACCTTTTCACCTTACTTTCGTGGATACTGGATGAGGCTGAGTTTATTGAAGAACAAATATAATAGAGGTGGGTAACAACAAAAAGTGTTTTTACAAGGAAAGTTTCGAGGGTATTAACGGTGAATTTGTTTTGCCGCTTATTAATGGAGAGATTAACCAGTGTCTTATTACCGATATGACAAAGGCTTCTCTTGAACGGGAGGCATTTTTAGCTTAAGGGACTGAATTCTAAAAGGCTGATGAGTGCTAATCCAGAATTGAAATTTCAAACCACGAAAAACTTTACCTCAGAGAAATTTAGGCTAAAGTGGAGTTACTCGCTCCCACGCAGACGTTCTTAGAACTTCGTCACGCGTTCCTGGTAGGCTTATAGGGGGTTCCTAAAGCGTTCGATGAACCACACACTCTACTTTTTGACTGAAAATTTACGAACTGAAACAAAGTACATTTTAGTATCCCGAAAGATCAAAAACAAGATACTTACGGATGTCACATCGACTTCCAGTCCATTCAGAAAGGCAGGTGCATAAAAAGCCCCCATTGACCAGATTTTGGCAGGTTCCACCGTTAGAACAAGGGTTGGTGGCGCAGGGATCAACTTCTGTTAATAAATTTATAGTGGTAAGAAAAATGGGAACTGACTATAGCCAATTAGGTAGCCTTGCGGTATCCAAACATGTCACTAGAAAAGGTTTTACGTAGAGGAGCAGGAGCTACATTTTTCAACCTTCAAATACGAAAAGCTAAAAATGCAATGCTAGTGGACCATTTAGAAGCCAAGCCAGTATTAAAACTTATCGGTGAAAAATAAAACAACAGCAACTGTATGAAAATAACTAGACAAGATTTTTATCATCGTCTTCTGGGTGTTTTGCTCTTTGTTATAACATAAAACGGCATGGGATTTCAAATGAAACATGCAAACAGTCTTTTACTTGGTAATGCGATCAGACTGCCTTTTTGACCTACTATAAAAAGAAGTTGTAGTCTCTAAAGGTAATTCTTTCTGCCTTTTGTTAACATTTCGTCGAGGAATATGGAAGGAACACGCTTAGAATTAAACAGGAACTCACACATGCACCTGCATGTCCTGTGGTTACCTCTTATAATGGAATCCTTTAATGGTGGCACGGTATGTCCAAGATCATCATAGAAATCAATAGTAAACACGTGATCAGAGTCTGGATCGGAAGCCATCTCGTTGAGCTGACCTCGCACATACCGATCAATTCCAACACTAAATATCGTGACATTATCTTCTTTTAAGGCGCTTGTTGGAACTGCAAGATCATCATCTGACCCCCCATCTGTGATCACCACAAGAATGTTTCGCACTTTTTCAACTCTTTCTGGATTTGACCTATTGAACAGGTCTGTTCGTGCCAATTGCAATGCATTTCCTATGTTGCGTCCGCTGCCGTTTATGCTGATTGTATTTAAAGCCTTTTCCAAATCAGTTTGGTTAGAGACGTCTCCAAATCTGTATCTGACTTTGGCATCGCCAGAATAAGTTATGATTCCTACATTGGTATCGTTACTGTTGACATTGAAGGATTTGGCCAGACCGTTAACAAATGCGATTTCCTTAGCGAAGTTACTCTTGCGATACCGGTCGATGCTGTCACCAGTATAAATGATAAAGCCGATGTTGAAGATAGCGTTGTATTCTTGGAGAGAGAGAAGTTCCAATTAGTTAATATATTTCTCTCAAACACTATATATGCAGTTTTAGACTAAAGAAGTAAAATATAATGGGGAAATGGATAATTCGACAAAAGACGCACACAAAGGAAGGTTACAGGGCATTTTAAAGAGTATGTTACTTGAACTGTCCGAATGAAATCTCTAGAAATCACGAAATAGATGTACAAACATAAAAAACGGGGGAAAAAGCTCAACCAGCCTTCTGGGTTTGGGGAAAAAAGCAGCATTTATAAGTTACCAAGCGGAACACACCTGCGTTACATGAACTTTGGGAAGGTATTGTATTATAGCCAAACTTTCCTGGTAGGCAGTTGCAGATGTGTGTTCCAGGAAAATTGATACATATTTCCATAAGGCTGTTACAGAGTGATGAATTCACTGGAGAACATTCATTGATATCTGAAAGAAGAAATAAGATGGATTGTTTTGTTTATGTGTAGATCCAGAGCGTTGGACCCAAGGTAGTGTAATGACTTGAACAAATGACAACTTACCTGTTTCGCAAGTTTTTCCTGTAAATCCAGACGGGCAATTGCACCTGAAACTGTCTGAGAGGCTATCACATGTTGCTCCATTGTTGCATGGGTTGCTAAAACAGTGGTCCACCACTTAAGGACCAAGAATACATGGAAAGATAATAAGAATCAGAAGAATGAGAAGCAAGTTGTTTGGGAAATAAAATGAGATCGTCGGGCTCAATAAAAATAATTAAACAATATGCTCAAGAACAAGCCACCATCTAAGGGAAAACTGAATCTACAAGGATATGAGGCAATTTTACACAAACCCTGCTCCCAAATTGATATCTTGAAAGAACATGTAGGCTTTTTACAACAACCTAAAAAGTACACTTGGAAGAGTTTCTATAGCTAAGTCATCGCAATCTATTGCTTCTTGTTTTACGTTTCTCCCATCATACAATCATCTAGTAAATTATGAACTGCCTTTCTCGTTGCCATCATAACATTACATCTCAGTTTACCTCTGCAAATTCTTTCTTTGACTCTGCTTGCCGTCGTCTGTAGCACATCAAAACTTGATGCCTCGAACACATAGGAAGCGTCTGGGTCTGACGCAATGCCTTTCAACTGCGTTCTGGAGTAAAAATCTCCGATTCCAACAGCTAGAATGTACACGTTCATGGCCCTGAGAAAGGCAGACGGCAGGGTGATATGGTCTATGGCCACACCATCAGTCAAAACAACTAAGAAATTGGGTATTCCACCTCGACCACCAGCAAATAGACTATAACGCACCAATGTGAGTCCATTTCCAGTTCTAGTAGATTCTCCAGGAAAGACTATGCCATCAATGACTCTATCGATTTCATATTTGGAGTAAAACTGATCAAATGTAAATTCTGTTGTGCCATTTGTTGAGTAGACAACGGCCCCGACGTTTGCGCCATGCTGACTAACGTTGTAGAAGTTGTAAATTGATTTTGTTAGTGCTTTGTATCGTGAAATATCATCAGATGGCAGACTCTTAATGCTTGCTGAACCATCAATCAAGAAAGCCAAGTTAAAGACTTGTCTTGTGCAAACTGCAAAAGAGAAAATAATGGGATCGTGACCTTTAGAGCTAGAAATACATCAAAATTTGTATCCATTTTTCTGGCTAAACTAAGCGTTGTTCGGTCTTTGTTTCTTCTCGAGGCAAGCGTTATTGTGAAAGACATATTTTGACATGATAAAATAAACTTAAGAGGGCTAACCACACTACTGCTATATTTTTCCAACGTGGTCAATAATAGTAGTTGCTGATGTGACTCAGATGAGGAAACATTTCAACATTTGCCAATCACATCATCCCATCATACACTACCTTTGACCTTGAAGCATTGCTAAGTCATTATTTTCAATATTCTCTTGATTCAATGTAAGTGTTAAGAGAAACTGAAAACGATGCTCTTGAAAAGTTTAAGTGCTGTGGGGGCAGGCACAGGGAGTCTATATTAGGACGCTGTGAAAGCGGCGAATGGGCAGAGCTCGTACTCCAGTAACCAAAGTGCTGTAACTATCTTCGTTATGTACGACTCCAGGAAAGTTTACATTCAAGTCGAGCCATTTCCTGATCATGAACGTGTGCTGTTATTATTCTATTACCTCAGTTAAACAAGAGTTTCAAACAGTGAAAGTAGCTTACTCTTTTCGCAGTTGATTCCTAAAAAGCCTGACGGACATTGACAATAATAGCTTCCCTGCGTATTTATACATCTTCCGCTATTTTGACAAGGTCTGGCGTCACACTCGTTGATATCTGAGTGTAAATAAAGATAATCACCAGTTATCCTTATATTAGCACATCTATTAAGTAAAGTAAACATTAATGAATCTCCCAATCAGGGTTTTTCAGACCCAACGTACATAAGCAGATATATAATTCATAAGGTTAGTTTGAAATATTGAATAAACTATCTAGACGTTAAAATTATAATTAAAAAGATAAAAACATCAGTAGGTAACTCTCCCAGCTGACTAGAAATGATTCAAGAAATAATTCTCTAAGTTTGTTTTTGAAAGTACACAGGCTGTCTGCAGCAGTGATCGCACTTGGTAATGAGTTCTAGAGTTTAATTTCTCTATATGGAAAAGTTCGTTGACCTACGGCCGATTGATATGCTGGAATATTAAGATAGTCCTTATTTCTTGTGTCTCGATCATGAACACTAGATCTTGTCACAAAGCGATCACTCAAGTACCTAGGTGATGGCACTTTCGCACACTTAAAACGCGAGAACGCCTACCATATACATGAAATTTATATGGTCCAAGTTGCCCTTCTAGGAGTGGGTGTGGCCTTAGTAGTATAAGAAGCATTGATATGATAACACCATTTAGGAGAAGATCAGAATATATTATACATGAAATGGATTGCGTCATAGGGTAGTGCCTCCACCTATAATACGTAGAATGCTATCCAAGGTTATAAACGAAGGCAATTCATTCCGCTCGCAGTGATGTCAAGATAAGCACATTCCAACAATATCGTTTTATAATTTCCTAAGTTAACATATTCACCGTCTTCACACTTTGCAGAGGCAAATCCGGGCTTGCATTCGCATTTGTATGACGGACTTGAAGGAACGATTATGCAACTCCCATCATATTGGCATGGATTGGGTACACAAGGGGAAATCTCATCTGCAAAGATTACATGCACTCTTAATCACTTAAATAAGCATTTATTTCATAACGTGTTAAATGCCTTGTTGTCACCAAAGTTATTGCCAGGAATTTTCATCGACATAACAATACGCTTGAGAAGGGAATAATTTAGCTGACAAAAAAATGGTAAATTAAAATTTTATGTTTCCTGCATGCTGATTTCAGTGCACTTGAAAGAAAGTGCCTCGTAAAAAAAAATGCCGTGTGTGGAAGATTTTCCCTTCAAAAGCAGTGTGCATGATTGATTTGTCTTAAAGTCAAGTACAAAACAAGAGCAAAATAAACACTTACTCTCACAAGCTGCACCGGTAAATCCTATGGGACAAGTGCAAATAAAACTATCTTCTCTAGAGATGCAAGTTCCTCCATCAAGACAAGGTTCTGCCGTACATGGATCTAAATCTGCAATGCAACACAAACATCATCACTGGTTACGCCACGTTTTGTAAGAATCTGCCGTGTTGGATAAGAAAAATGGCATCCCTACAGGTATAGACAAACGACGAGGTGAAATAAATATTAACTTGGCTTTCCAATATGCGTTTAAAGTATTTTCGACGGAACGAAAGACTGCTTTCAGATGTCATAAAATAATAAAATAACCACCATCTATTTAAGGTAATTACCTTTACAAATGGCCTGCTTTAGACTCTGAACAACACCAGGCGAATCCATGTTGTCATATGCAACAAGGTGGAAGTAGTCTTCATTAGGCTTGTAGGCGATTTCCTTAATTTGGCCGTTAGAAATCAGATTATTTATCCCAAGTCCAAACACCTTGATTCCCTTTGCTTTTAGTTCCTGTGAGATGACGTCGATTCCATCATCTGATTCGCCATTTTGCACGGATATTACTAATTTAGGAACACCTTGTCGGCCGCCTGAAGCTAAGATGTTGTCAACTCGTCTCAGCCCACCACCAACATTCCGCTTCTTCGTATTGGGATACTGTGCACCTGAAATTGCTCTCTGAAGTTGCTGGTAAAACAGATGCTTGGTTAGATTAAACACTGTCTCCGTCTCTTCGGCGTACACTACCAGGGCCACGTGAGCATCGGACGCAGACACATCGAAAACTTTTGCCAAATTCCTTGTGAAACGCACGGTGCTCCTGAAATTGTTGAACGTTACGTCGCTTGATCCATCCAAAAGGAAGACAAGGTCTATCGTATTACTGCAAGCTAAGAAAATACAGGTGTTAGTTTTGTTAAAAGAAACTATATTTCTCTATAGTAGGAAAGCCATAAGATGTATCGTAAAACCTCTGTTTGCTGGATGCTAAGGTCAACAAATAGCAGGAAAAAATGGTTGACTTGATATAAGGAGTTGATGCAGCATACGTTGAAAAAAATGGTGTCGTAGTTGTCACACTGGTCAGTTATCACAGGCTATGTCAGGTTTTTGAGTCAAAGATATTTTTGTTCCTTCAAATGACTTGTCTCTTCCTTATTGTCTTTATAAACCAATCATTTAACGTTTAGTTCTTTAGGATGGATCTTCGCATTTTCTTTTTCAGGCTTTTGTTATAATCTAGATTCGAGCTATGGCGGCTCTAAAGAAATGAATAAAAAAATCCGGTCACTTCAGAGTCACTAGCTGTATCCAGCAGAGAAAGGTCATTAAGATACTCACCGAAAGTGCAATTTTCACCGTAAAATCCCGTTGGACAAACACAACCAGTAAATCCAATTGAGCTTAAGCAAACCTTTCCATCGCTGCAAGTATCGTTGCTACATATGTCCACGGCTGCAAAAGAATTAAGTGTTATTCTGTGAAGAAACACTTACCTGGAATCTGTAGAGGTGCTTTACATACTGTCAACTCTCAATGCGGACACGTTTGGAGTGGACACTCAGTGTTGTTATTACAGATTCTTCTGCCTTATCAAGATTCAAAGAAAAATGACCACAAATGCTGAAGTGTCTGAAATGCTGGGTGTCCATTGTATGGGGTTTTCCGTCCTTTCGAGGTGACTGCTAGGAGCCGAGACTTATTTTATTTAAGGATGAGGTGATCATTTCAATATGGAACCGGAGCGCATCCAACACAGCACGAAAAATGTTATTTACATCAAATTTACTCAGTGCCAATTTGGTGCAAAAAAGTGCAAACTAGGTAAATACCTCATTTGACTTCAAATTTACAACCCCATGTAAACTGGCAAGCAAATGTGGTATTTACCATCTTTGCTCTTGATTTCCCCCTAGTTTGCACTTTTTTGCGTCATATTTGCACCGAGTAAATTTGAGTAACTCAAATTTTTCGTGCAGTGCAATGGTTTATAGATTGGTCACACAAAACTAGCAATCGCGTTCATGAAATTCTAAAAAGAAGAATTTTTGAGCCATTATATTTGACAATGCACTGAGCTATAAAGTATGAAAGTGTAATGTATACCATCCACCGGACGTAACTCTCACATTATGCACTATGTTTGGAACAACATACCCTCTTCACAGTTTGGGCCTGTGAAACCAGGGCCACAATCACACCGGTAACCCTCTAAACTGTTGATGCACAGCTGGTGATTTTTGCAAGGACTACTGAAACAATGATCTATTCCTGAAACAAAATAACATGCTTTCTCAGTTAATTGATTATCGTCAAATGCGGTTGTAATGACATTACTCAGATGTCTTTGACTGACCTATTTCAACATAAAGGGTATGAAAAGCAGTTTGCTTACGTAAAGGTTGGGGGTTTGTTGTCTTCCATAAGGTGATAGCGGTTAGCGACCAAAACAATATTTGTCCTCAGGAGCACGGGTCCAGAATAAAAAAACAACAACAACAACAACCTTCCTTCCCACTTGAAAGTACAAGCAGCATTTTTTACCTTTACAGATCATTTCATGGATCCTCCATTCCACTCCCTGAAGCTTGTTAGGAGTGGTCAAAAGAATCGTCTCGGCTTGTGGATCGCTGGCCATTCGTTGAACTTGGTTAATGTCATACCATTCACCCAAACCAATTACTATAATGGTCACGTTCGTGTCATGAAGTAGTTGGGATGCTACCGACACGCCGTCGACAGACGTTCCGTCAGTGAAAACTACCAGGATCCTATGAGTGTTTTGACGACCACCTGTAAAGAGATCTTCTCTGGTAGTGTTTAAGCCTGTTCCTATACGTGTCCAACCTGAAGGATACGACATATTGGCCAAAACAGCGTCCACTTGACTTCGAGTGAATAAGAAATCGGCTCTTACATCCGCGGTTGTTGCATACACAACAATTCCGAACTTTGTCTGATCATTGTCACTGAAGAGGCTGATTATGTTCCTGGTCGCGTTGATAATCTTTTTATAATTGTTTTCACCCCACTGATTGAGACTTGCTGATCCGTCGATCATAAACGCAAGGTCAAAATTCTTTTCTGTACAAACTGAAAGCAAAAGATCGGTGCAAATAAATTATTCTTTCCTAGACTTAAATCATGCCGCTGAACCCCTTTACAGGTACAAACTAGACGTGTCAAATCTCTCCATAATACTCCTTTGTTCATTTATTATGTTGCAAGGAAGGGGAGAACTAAAGACAACAACAACAAAGAAAAAAATTTTGGTAATTACAAATTTTACAAAAAGCACTGTGAACGGTGGGCATATAGGACGCCTAAACGTACATTCTAGGAACTACTTTGCATTTTTTATTCGTTTGAGCTCAAACTTTGCAGGATGGTAGAACTTTGTATTTCCAAAAAAATAACGTTTTTTTTTTTTTTTTCGATTTTTCGTTTTTTGGCGAGAAAATGATGTCACAAGATTGGCAGCAAAAGTAAAATTTCAAGATATGACAAAACAAATAAATAATTTTAAAAGAGCACGAGGCGATAGAATAAAATTTGTATTTTTTCCAAAAAAAAAGCTCAATTGGTTAAGGAGTTATTAAGCTTTGATTTTTAAATTTCCCGCCATTTTATTACTATTTTTAGAAACATAAGTACACTTCAAGATGCCATATCCTCTCAAGCAATTGAGCTTTTCCAAAAAATGGCTCACATTTGTTTCTGTCACGCCACGCTCTTTCTTTAGACACGGATAAAAGAGACATATCAACATCATTGAAGGTTTTCTTTTTAATGACATACCATTGATACTACAGACCGATGCTTCCACTTCATAGCATAACTGAAAATTGTTTTTTTCTTAATAATGGCTCACCTTTATCGCATTGCCTTCCTGCAAATCCAGAATAACAGTTGCAATGATAGTCACCACTTTTTTCAACACAGTTTCCCTGCAGGCAAACATCATTTTGCTCTGAACATTCAGCTACATCTGCAGCAACAAATAAGATTTTTACTCAGTTTCACGGTTTACTTTTATTTGCTAATTTTGCAGGTTTAAGTTTCATAATAATAATATATTATTGAAACGTTAAATAATTTTAATAGTCACCCGATTCACAGTTGCGTCCAGTCCATCCCTTCAGACAAATGCAGTAGTATGAGTTCAATGGTAAAATTTGACATGCTCCACCGTTCTTGCATGGATCCGGATGACATTGATCGTTCTCTGCGAAGTAGGAGTAGAAAGAAAGCAATAGGATAAGGAGATTTTGTGTTTGCCTTGATTCATGCCAAATTTATCTAATTTTAACGTGCTTAAGACATTGTAAGCAATGCGTGCTTTGGAAGTAGATGACTGAAAATATTCTCCAACAAATGATGGACGGAAACATTACAGTCATCTTCTAGAAGGGCATTGGTTACCAACAGTCATGTATTTTCAAGTCAATTCACAAACCCAATGGTACAATACACTTGCAGATAACTCGTTCACATGGACAAAAGGCCATAATATGTACCAATTCTATGGGTCTCAAACACCTCAGAATAGTTCTAAGATATCTGCGGTATCAGTTACGAGCTCGAAAATAATACCTTTTTCACAATTCCTTCCTGAGAATCCTTCAGTGCAGTTACAAATATAACCGCCTTCTGAATTGGAGCACGAACCGTTCATACAAGGGCTGCTTGAACATGGGTCTATTCCTTAAGGTGAGAAATATGAAAAACAGGTGTTAATATTACAGACACTGCTTTGATTAATTAAAGCTCGACATGACCGTAACTATCCGTACATAGTAAATAGGAAAAGTTATGCTAATTAATAAAATGATCAAAAGGAAAATGTTTCGATATTTTTTTCTATCTGCAAAATTTGCTAGTAGACAATAGGGCTCAAAGAGTTGAAAGCATTGCCCCGTCAACGCCTAGAATCGATTGTACAAATAAGAAAGCTGATTTTTTTTTCTGAGGTTCAAATCTATTTGCTGACAATTTTCGTTCAGACATAAATGTACGTACGCAAATGAAAGATCATTTATGAACTGAACGATTCTGCAAATCTGGCCATAGCCGGATTGGGTAAAAAAAAAAGGAATGAACCGTTGTTAAAAGCGAACATAGCCTGAGAAAACAACAGCTCGTTTCCCAGACGTCATTTCTCGGGTAAGATTGTTGGCGTCGCGAAATGTCGTCTGTACGTTTTCTCAGTTTAGGGCGAACATCTAATCTGAGGAAATTCATATTACCTATAGCCAAGGTAGCTTTGAATAAGACAACTTCCATAGGAAGTGTTCCTCCATTGTTAACAGTAACTACAAAGCTATCGTCTGGATCTGAAGAGATCTCCTTCAACTGACCATTACTGTACTCGGTTCCAAAGCCAATTGTGAACACATTCACTTTTGTTGAAGTAAGCAAGCGATGAGAGGGAACTTCAATGTCATCTTGTGACTTTGAACTTGTCAATATTACCAAGACGTGTGTAGCATTTGGCCTTGCTGCATTGGAGGAAAAAGCTGCAGAAACAACTTCAAGTCCAGCACCCATGTTACTTAAGCGAGATTCCGAGTAGGTAATTAAGTCCACTGCAAGGTCCAAGGATGACTGATTAAGGTGATCGTTAAAGCCGATGACCAGATTAGCTTTGTCTCCGTACACAGCTACTGCTACATGGGTGCCATTCTTAGATACATTTAACGATGCAGTTGTGGATTTGATCAAAGCGAGAAAATGTAGGAAGTTGTCCTTTGTCACAACTTGTGAGCCGTCTAGAAGGAAGGCAATGTCTATTTCTGTGTCGTCAAAATCTGAAATGAACACAAGATAATGCATGGGTGGGACCAAATCCATGCAGGTATAGTAACATGCTCAGATTTTATGTTACAGGTATATTTTTTGGTATTTGACAAAGTTATCAGTATATTGATGAACCTTCATGAGGCATACTTCTGATAGATATCTTAGGGACTGTTCATTTCATTTAGCAATTGATGTACCGGGAACACATCCGGCCTAATGTTTCGCCTATGTGGGCACACACCTCAAGCATTTAAACAAGGCTGTTGTACATCAAATTTTTTCGGAAGATAGACGGCCTGGTGTGACAGAAAATATGATACTAGCAACGAATTAATGAATTGATACAACTTTTGTAGCATAAAGAGGAGACGAAGAAGCTTTGCCAGTTAATCAGACCCAAGTATAGTTTAACATAATTTATCATCCTTGTGCCTTTCTATTTAAAGCAGCATGTTGCGAAAATGAATGCAAGTCCTACCTAGGGTACCTTATGAGTAAAGACAAAGAATCCTTTTCTTCCTAATAAAAAATAAAACCTTTCTAACACGGTTAATGTTAAAAAGGCCAAATTAACGTTTGACAAACTTGGTTTACTTATTTCTCTCAACTACACAGCGATTCCATTTCAAGTTGTACATACCGTGCTGACATTCTGATCCGTACTGGTTGCCAATACAAACGCACTGATAGGCTCCTCGGGTGTTGATGCAACGTTTGCCACTATCACATGAAGGTGGTAGTGAGATGCTGCACTCGTCAATATCTGAAGAAAAATACTAATAAATGAAAAGAGGAAAAAGAAACTAAACATTGAAGCATTAAAACACTGTGCTCAAATCGTTGCTGTCTTTAAAGGTAGTAACGTACCTTCTTCACAGTTTTCTCCAGTGAAACCATAGGCACACACGCAGCTGTAGTTACCTTTATTTGATGTACAATTTCCACCATTTCTACACGGAAAACTTGCACAGGGATCGACAACTGTAAATGAAAAAGCAGAAGGACATGTTTACATGTGTAACGGTAGCAGCGAAATGTTTCATCATAATATTTCTCAGACATGTAGCTACATGTAAGTATTGAAAATACAGAGGTTCTACACAGATTCATAAATCTGAATTGTGCTTAAAAGAAAAGCACCAGATTTTTCAACCATATTTTATAAAGTTACAAGGTCCCGGCGGTAGCATCTTTTGTAATATATGTCATCCTGTAGATTCATCGCATGCCTTCTATTATTCTAACATTGGCATCATATTGTTAATAACTTAGTAGGAACCCAACGGAGGTGAAAGGAAGAAAGCATCAAACCAATCCCTCTCTTGTCCTGTTTTGGAAGTATTATTTGCCCCTGGGCTAGGTCTTATACCTTGGGCAATTTGTCCTCCGGTGATGCCCTCCACTGTGTCAATGTGTTGCAAGGTTGTAGTTAGCACCAGAAAAGGTTTGTTTGCAAGTATCTCCAGCTGACTCTTGAGAAACTTGAAGCCTACACCAATGGTGATTACTATTATTCCTTGCTGGTGAAGATCTTGCGTTACCTCTGTTAGGTTGCCACTAAGTATGTCACTGACAAACACGAGCACAATGCGCGTGACGTTTTGTCTTCCATTAGCAAATAGGGTGTTGCTGACGACTGTGAGTGCTGCCGTAATATTTAGCAAGGGCTGGTTTAGGTAGGCAATATCGTCAATTGCTCTTGAAACCGCAGATAAACTGTAGTTATCTGTGAAATTAAAGCTAACACGTACATCTCTGGCATAGACGGTACAAGCTACATTGGATTGGTCTTGCGAAATGTTGAAGGAAGAAAGAACCGTTTTTGCGAAGAGCTGAGTTTGTCCAAATCCCTCTCTGGTTATGAATGTTGAACCATCAAACAGGATCGCAAGGTCAAACACATGGCTTGTTATTTCTTAAAAAAAGAAAAAGACAGACAGACAAACAGAGGGGCGATAGCGTTTGTCTTTAAGGTGGTAAATTTTACCGTACCATATTTGATAATATTTTATTGAACGTTCTAATATACTTTTTGTTAGCCATCAGAGGTGGTATTATTGGAGGTTTTTACGTCAATTTTCCCGATGATTGAAGTCTCGAATCAACGAGAAATGTGAATTCTGAGCTTTGCTGTATTCAGTTTGTTCAGTTATATTCTCAGCTTGCTTTTCAGCCGGCGTTGCTGGCGGTATAGTTTTTGCGCGTGTGACAGTTTTGGCGGCGAAGGCTAGAGAAAACTCGAAAGCGTCACCTCTCCATTCTTCACAAGGCTTCTCAGCTCCTCTGCCAAACGACCCCGCCTGCTGCGCAAGCTACTGACTTTCATAATTGGCTCCTTGTTAAAAGTATCACTGTCAGTTGGTATGTGATTGTCAGTGGCAGATTCACGGAAGGGTCCCGGGGGGCCCTTCCCCCCTTTTTTTACACCAAACTTTGGCTCGAAGGGCCAAATAAGTTGTTTTTTGAGGCCGGGCTTCCCCCTTATCTCAGGGTCTCGATGATCACCTTTATCTGAAGGTCTGGATCTGCCACTGATCGTACAGTTCTTAGAACTCTACTTCTCCGAATTTTTGTTAATAATTAAAGGAAAGAAGCAGAAGAAGGCTAAAGGCGTAAAACTGAACTAAGTAACACCATGGTTAACAACTAAATAGTATTTAACCGTGGCCTCTACCTATATGGCATTTTTTTCCTGTAAACATGGGCTGGCAGTTGCATTCATAACTTCCAAATGTGTTCGTGCAGCTGACAGCGTTATTGGTGCATGGATTGTTAAAGCATTCATCGACATCTGCAAGATGATAAGACATGTATCAATATTACTTGTTTGCAAGTTAGCAATCTCTGATTGAGGTCATACTATTTAAACCTTAACCATCGCAATTGGAAATCCTTTTAAACGGCTGATCACTTCTGGCCTTGATGTAAGTTTTTCTCCGCTGCTTGGTCCGGCATCGCATTTCAACTGTCTTGAGTTGGACATACACCGTACATTGCAATTACACAACGTGAGTTTGATGTGATGGGGTTAATGAACATATATGGCTCATTCTATTCTTTCTGAATCGCTATATATCAATTTTCCCGTCTTACCGAGTTCGCATGTCTTTCCTGTTAATCCTGGTGGACATTGGCATCGGAATTCACGACCATACTCTGCATGGCAAATTCCTTGATTCTTACATGGTGAAGGATCACAAGGATTGGCGCCTGGAATATTTTCAACATTTAATAAGAAAAGACTTAATGATGCGAATATGTACATGTACATCGTATTTGGTGCTTTAAAATATGATTAAAGTGGAAATCTTCCGCACGAGGCGAGGGAGAGAATACGAAGAATTGACAATTTTTCCATGCTTATCATCTGTTTAACCATCAAATGAGACATTTTTTTTTGCAAGGACGCAAAAACTGTTTTTCCAGTCCTCGGCGCTGCTTACACAGTCCTCTTCCGGCAAAAAATCTTGACAGTCAGAGCAATACAAAATTTGCTGTGATACAAAGAGGCATATTTCGCGCGTTCTCTAGAAATTATATGGTGATATGAAGTAAGAGTGAAATGATAGTATTTAGCAAATCAGGTATAACCTCAGGTATAATCAGGTATCTTTCTCAGGTATAATCTCAGGTATAATCAGGTATCTTTCTTACTAATTATGCCCAAAAATGTTGAAATACAAGCATTCCTTGTACACCGTCAAAATAACGCATCTCCTTCTTATCGCTGGCTCTGCGAAACAAACTTTAGGCATGCTCTTTTAGCATTTTTATGAACCGAACCTTCCGGTCAGTATAGTAAAAACAAAAGGATTACCTCTGCAAACACTTTCAACCAAAGACCCTACAAGATTGTTAAGGGAAGTGAATGACACATTGAAGATGTTGCCCTTGTTCGGGACAGACGCTATAACAGCTAACTCATCATAGTCAGCGGAACCTACTCCAACGGAAATGACGTGGACTCCATTGTCCCGGATGAGTTTAGATGGCAATGTCACATTGTCCTGAGATCGACCGTCAGTCAGAACAATGAGAACTGCTGGCAGCCTCTCCCTGATAGTCGAGAAGAGGTCCAACCTTATTCGATTCAGTGCCTCTCCCGTGTGCGTGTTTCCGGAATCATAGGGTATGTTTTGAGTCGCTTCAACGAGGGACTCCGCGGAAGAAAAGGCAGTGAAGTTAAATCTGATTTTGAAGTTTCCTTGACTGGAATAGGTGGCGATGCCAATTCTTGTGTCATTTTCGCCAATTACAACGGACTTAATGAATCCTTTAATGTAGTCTTTGATTCTTTGGAAGTTGTATTTATCGGCGTTATTAATACTGCCAGAGCTGTCTATCAGGAAGCCAACATCCATCTTTGTATGGTTACATTCTAAGCAGTGAAACAGAAGAAACATTTCTCAGGGATATGCTCACATGTTGGCAAAATATCTCATAAAAGTGTAAAGACAAAGAAAGCTTAATTACTAGCGATAGGCAACCGTGTCTGTTAAACGTTCTGTTGTTTTTGCAACCTCAAGCCGACTTCGCCTTGTTCCTAGGCCTAATTTGTCCACGCGGCCTTTGCGTTTCAGGGCACGTCGCCGCCCGTTCATCTCGGAAACATCACAGAAATGCATTGACCAAGAAGGCCTGGGAAGACGGCGTACAGAGACTAGGAAAAGGCCAACTGATTCCCTTGAGCTTGTTGCAGTATCGTTAAGTTATCAAGTTGGAAAGCAAGGTAAAAACCGAGCAAGCTATTTACACGAAGGTACCTAAAGGTAAAGATGAATAGCTCCCGGGGATAAGTAATTGAAACATTTCTTTCAATGAAAAGGTATACAGAAGTAGATTGCACTTACGTATGCTGCAGCTGCTTCCGTATCTTTGATTAGTGCAAAGACACGCTGAGCCGCCCGGAAAATTGTGGCATACTTGGTTATCTGCGCACTGAGTAATATTAAGTGAACATTCATCGACATCTGCAAAAGTGATGAGAGAGAGAAGCTTGATAAACGGAATTCTGGGTAATAATATAAGTAAGGCCGTATTCAAACAGCATAAATATCAAGCTGACTGACTGTTGTAAAAGGATAAGACTAACAATGCTTTAATTAATCAAGTTTTTCAAAATGCCTAAAAGGAAACCTATAGGAAGTTAGTGGATACTTGTCGTATTTATGGTAGCGTTTATTGATGTTTAATTTGAGAAGGGTTTATAAAAAAAAATAGTAACAGCAAATAGTAAATAGTACCTACCAACTGAACAATTTTTTCCAGTCCATTGCTCTGTACAGTTGCATCGAAAATCGTCCGCTTCGTTCGTGCAGTTCCCACCATTTTCACAGGGTCTGGCAGAGCAGAAGTCAGTCGCTGTTGAAAAACAAACAACAAGCTTCAAAACAGAACTTCAATTTTACAAAATCGAAGTTTTTATTTGTGCCCACTCACACCGGGTTTATTTTGGTCCTCCAGGCCTGCATTTCAGAAATATCGAAGTCTAGGCCAAGTTTTGTCTTACTCGAGGAATTGGCGGCTGTGACGTCATATTGTGTGGATAGGTTCGCCGTCCTTAATGGGCGCAAAAAAGTTCTTTAAATAAATAATTGCTTTGGATTTATCAACTATTTGAAAAGGTATAGTTGCCGCGAACGACGACTTGAAAGACATAACTTACCAAAACAAATCTGTTCAAAAAGTGGCTCAACAATGGTTTCCAGACCTCTAAAGGCGACATCAAAGACATGCGTATTGTCTGGATCAGTGGCCATTTCATTTAACTCTGGTCTGTAGAAGCAGCAACCGACTCCAATGCTTATAATGATCACTCCCATGTCACGGAGCTTTTTAGCAGGTGTAGAAACACTGTCTTGTGACAATCCATCAGTTACAACTACTACAATGTTCGTTAACTGACTTCTAACGCCAAGATTTGTAAGAATGCTATTTCGGATCACATCAAGGCCCTGGCCGGTCCTGGTCCCTCCACCCGGATAAGGCATATCTTGTATGGCGTTCAATACTTCTTCTTTAGTATAAAATGTATTTAACCGGTGAATAATTGCAAAGCGGTCCCAAAAGAGTACTGTTGCAACGTTTATCAGGTCTCTACCAACTTCAAAATTGTTGATTAGAGCTTTGATGAAATCCTTTGAGCGCTGGAAATTTCCACGTCCCTGGAATTCTATGCTTCCTGATCCGTCAACTAGAAACACCACGTTGAATTTCTTGGTTGAACAAGCTAGAGAAAACAAAAGTGGTTACTAAACTTAAGGAAGGTCATTTTAGTTGTACACGAAACTTTTGCAGTTGCGGAAAGATTAATCATAAGCCTGCATGAAAGAAATTCAAGCGTGATCTAGACTCTCTACGATACCGCTGCAGCACTCTGCCAACTGGGCTAACAAGCCAATTGGAAGCTGGTCATCGAGTTTTTTCGTTATAAATTTAATCCTTTGAAAGGAAGGAGATGCATAAAGAAATGAACGTATGAAAATTATTAGAACTACCAGATGAAGACTTTTTATAACGAATCAACGTAACCAAATTACAAGCTTTCGGTTGGTTTGTTTTCTCCATTCGTTTCTAATGGATTCAAATGGCGAACCTTAATTTTGTGCACTTTAATTCAATGAAATGCATTCGCCTCATGAACATTTTGACGTATTAAATGGGCCTAATGCCCCGTTATTAAACAAAGCTCCACGGCTAAAATAAATGGTACTTGAAGCCTAATATCCGTTAATACAGAATATATTTAGACGAGAATTGGGAACACATAATCAGAATCAAAGTTAGGTTCAATCATAGTAGCTATCCTTATTTAAGGCGGATAAACAAAATTTACCATCGCCAAGAAATTTAGACTTACACACTTCACAGAACTTCCCAGAAAACGTTTCAGGACAATCGCATTTAAATCTTCCTAAAAGATCTATGCACTGTCCGCCGTTCCGGCATGGTGCTGAGTCACATTCATTTACGAAATCTGAAGGGAACAGACAATACCATTATTAGAAAATAACAAAAAATCGACTTCAAGACTAAAACCTGCATTCCTCTGTTTTGCCTGACGGCACTTACCTTCGGTGCAGTTTTGTCCTCCAATGCCAGGGGGACAGGTACAATTAAAGCTATTATCCGTTACCACACAGGTCCCGCCATTATTGCAAGGATTGGTAGGATTACACGCATCTACGGCTGCAAAAAGTAATAACAAAATGTCTTTACATTGGCCTCTAAACAGGTCTCAGTTTTAGATAAGTGGCGGGGCGGTAATCCGCAATGAGACGTTGTGAAAATTAATGCTTCCGCAACAGAATCTTCCCGCATAATGGGTCATTTACAATCTATTTCATCTACAATATATTTATGGAACTATCTTCTAACAGCATCCGCTCATCCCACAGGGTCTAAACTGGGAGTAATGCCGCACTAGCTATTGCCTCATTTGTATAGTAAGACCAACTTAATGCTAAGAGTAACTGAACTAGCTGAAGTGGTTTTGATGTGCTGGATAATCGGCATAATACATTAGCTGTCAAATAGTTTCCACACTGAAGGCAATGCAAACAGCCTAATAAACTTTTTCCTTCAAGAACTTAACTCATTTTCACCATTTTATATGTTGTTTTCTTTTAGATGCTGTTTTTTTTTGTTGTTTGCTTTCTTAGATGTCATTTACTTACGTGGAATACATCTAAATCCTCCATTTTCTCCGTAGATATTTTGGCACGTATGAAGTGCAGGACAATCGGCATAAGAACAAGGATTTGAAGCTGAAGAAATCGAAAAATAAAGATGTTAACAAAGCAACAGTATGTTAAATTGACAGTTTGAGTAATTAGACATAAAGGAAGGCAGCCAGAAAGCGTATTTAATATTTCTACTGACGTCAGCCTAAACCAGCTAACAGAATACTGAGTTCGTAGGGGTACTGGGGCATCATGAATGCAAAGACTCAGCTTTTGAACTCATGCGTGTCACAATTCTTTTCGGAGTTTGGTGTACCTCACCTTTACAAATCGCGTCTCTAGCTATGTTGACAGAATACTTCAATGAAGAAAACTCTGTAGTAACTATATGATCAGTGTCTGGTTTCGAGACAAACAGTGACACTTGTACCATACTATAACCAGCACCCGTAAAGACAATGGCAACGATGGTCACCCCTCTTTTCTTTAAATCTGTTGCAGGTGGAGCAGGGTCGTCATGTGACTTTCCTGATATCATGGCCACTGTAATCCCTGGCTTTGATGCAGTAAACAAATGCGATATTTCTTGTGCCTTCTCGAATGCCTTTCCCAAGTTTTTAAGATGATCCAATGAGTAATTAGCTTCTCGTAGCGTTTGGGCAAATTCCGAGAAGTTGGAGGCCTGACCTGGTGTGATGATTACCTCCGCCTTTGTTGCGTAAGAGATAACGGCGATGTGGTTGAAATTGATTGTAGAAGCTACAGAGATGATGAACTCAATTTGGCGTTTTAGGTTGTCGCTTCCAACATCCCTCGCCGTATCCACAAGAAATAGTACTGTGAAGTTTTTGCCACAATCTGTATAAAATATTTGAAGCAAACATTTTTTTATTGCACATAAAACCATAAATCTTGCATAGCTCATTCTGAGAGGGACAGTATACATCTAACTAGCTGTTTGTAAAATGCTTTAAACTTTACATAACTACACAAACCCTTTGTAGTGCTAGCTTCATGTCTCTTAATCATTCTCTTTTGAAGGAGAGACACTATTTGGCAGACAGTCACCAAAGTTCTGGCGTGTAAAACTGTCCTAAAATCACCGTAAACAAAACCTGTTCTAAGTGGCCAATGATCAGTAAGTCACTTCTTGTCCCTTCCGGAGCTTGGCCGTTTAAGACCACTCGACTTTATTGATATATAAAATCTGAAAAGGAGAGTTACCTTTGGTACAATTTGCACCGTACAGGGAAGTGTTAGCACATGTACACTCATATCCGCCAAATGTTTCGGTGCATGCTTTTCCAGACGTGCAGCTTGCGTTGGGGTTTTGACATTCCTTTACATCTTTTAAAAGAGAAAGAAACTATTATTGAATGTTCCTGTTTTTATATTAGATCCATGTTTCCGTTGACTGGAATCACAAACGGCTAAAGAATCATAACAATTATTGGTTTGAGACTGCTACATTTCTGGAGGGTTAAAAATCGTAAATAATTACAGGCACATCTAGCCTTAGAAAACAGCCGACATTTGGCGACGCTACCACTGGTTTCCCCGCAAAACGACGTCTGAGAAACTAGCGCAGAAATTCCATACCGATGACGAGTCACTACCCAGATCTGGCTAGTGCTTCTGATTGGTCGTGCCGCGTGGGAAATTTGATTCAAACAATCAGAAGCACTTCCAAGATATGGGTAGTGACGCGTCATCAGTATGGAATTTCCGTGCACGTTTCTTAGACGTCATTTAGCGGGGTAACCAATTTTAGTGTCACCAAATGTCGGCTGTTTTCTCTGGCTAGGGCACGACTGGTGGGCAGTGGGGAAAAGTTTGATATCCGATTACGATTACTAGTTAGGTTTCCCGTCCTTTTCCTTTGACGAGAGTTACTAACCTTTAGAACATGTTGGCCCCTGAAAACCTTCTGAGCAAGTACAGTTTAAGCCTCCATTCGTGCAGATGCCACCAAAGCGACAGGGATTGTCACAGCACTTGTCAATATCTTTTAAGCAAAGACAAAAAGGAAACATTATGATGAATACAAGGATGATGATGACGACGATGATGATGAGGATGATGTTGAAGATGATGACGATAACGATGATAATGATGATGATGATGATGATGATGATAACTTTTATGAACTCCTAATGGAGAATAAAAAAGGTTAATTTGAGGGATAATTCGGAAAGACCGATCAAGGAGTAGCAACCGGCCTTAGCCTTCTTTGAATGCTTTTTTCTTAAGTTTATGAAATCAAATTGCTATCACTACATAGCTTAGTTTATGTTTTTAGTTGTTAAAGCAAATACAAAATTTTATAGTTACCCAAACAAATTTGTCCTCTAACATCATCGGCTACGTTTTGGAGTTTGTCGAATTCAGTTGGGAAAACTCTTTCCTGTTTATCCCTCGCTATCCTCTGCAACTGAGACAGCTCATAATTTTTGCCGACCCCTACGACGTAGACAAATACCGAAGAAAGTGAATCAGCCGGCTCAATGACATCATCTGTAGATACTCCATCTGTGACTAACACTAACACCTGGCTAACACTGGCTCTTATGACACTATCGTTGAACAGCCCTGTGGCAGCAAGGTTGAGGGCTTTACCAGTGAATGTACCACCACCTGGATATGTTGCATTGTTGGTTGCCTCTATTGTTCTATTTAAGCTTGAGTACCGGTCAAGATTGAAGGCTAGGGTTGAGTTTGTGGAATAAACGATCAGCCCAACGCGGGTTTCGTTGTTAGAGACATTGAATGAGCGTGTTAGTTTTGTTACAAAGTCTTTAAGCTTCTGGAAGTTAGTTTTGCCGTAAAACTGGATGCTTGCAGAACCATCAATGGCGAAACCAATTTCAAGCTCGCTGAAATGGACATCTAAAGATGAAAAAAAAAGCATTAGTCAACGGTTGCAAAAAATCAAGATTTGTCAATGAAAGAGGATAAATTATTGTTATCTTATCTATTATGCGGTTGACATTCTTGTAATATTTTGTCACGGAGAACAACTGCCCCTCAGAGAAAGGCACCAAACTGTGCATCTGCAAAGAACCGTGTGCAGAAAATTTCCAGTTTTTTCCTTTCTATTCTGCGCCAGCAGGTCATGGTCGGTATGTTGCCGGCTATCTGCAGTGACGCAATAGACGATCAGTAGACCAATCAAAACTTTAGAATAATGACTTGAAGGATTATGAGTTATGGAAAACAATTTTATCATCACTCTAAAGCTGCGCTCAAGCAATCAAGTCAAAATATTCGTAACTGATTCTGCTATTCTACGACTGTCTTTTTCGGTTAGAATTGTCCTTCACATAATTTATGGTGGAATAGCCAACAGTGACCAGAACCACTAATAGGAAATTATGACGTTGGCTGTACTTATTATACAAGAGGACGTCATGACTCAGAAATCTTACACGTCTGAACAAAGACCCGACCACTTGACTTTGCTATTAACAGCCAGACGTTTACGCGGTTCAGATGTCTCAGAAGTCCTTAAGTATATACATACACCGTACAGCTTTTTTCCTTACCTAAATGACAGTCCTTTCCGGTGTATCCATAGTTACATTCGCATCTATAATCACCGTCAGTGTTAATGCATGTCCCTCCGTTTTGACAGAGACTGTTATAACATTCGTCAAAATCTGGAAAGAAATTAGCTAGGCTTTAAGAGACAAGAAAATTGTTGTATGTATGATAATATATATGGTGGCAGCTAGGACGGCCACCAGCTTTGACTCAATATTCCCATCTTGGGTAAATAAAAATATGAACTTGGACATGATTTGTTTGCCAGATGAGAAAAAAAAAATAAGGAATTTCACTCACCTTCTTCACAGTTATTACCGATAAACTTTTCAGTGCATATACATTGATATCTCCAGGTAATCAGGTCCTCTATGCAGGTACCTCCATTGAAGCAGGGCTTTGTGTAACAAGGATTGCTAAAGCCGACTGAAATTACGAACGTAGAATGATGTTAGCTCTCGTTTTGATGACTTGACTGATTGCAGCAGAAGAAAGGGATAAGTATAAGGTTATATTTTAAAAATGCAAGGAAATGATGAAAAATTTCATTTGATTGCTTAAAAAATAGATTGATAGCAAAACTCCTTCCCAGGGTTTTCTCGTCTTCCGGCAATATGGCGGCGGCAAGGAAGAGGGTCTTCTTTCCCTCCGCCGCCATACTTGAAAACTAGAAGACCCTGGGAACGAGGTTGCTACTGCCGAAGTTATATAAATTATTTTACTCAGATAGTCACGGTATCCCACTAAACTCGGTACAATGTGGAAGGGAATCGGAACAGCTGAAAGGAAACGGACAGGCAGCAAAATTTGTTGCGAAAAATTTCACGGACAAAATCTTGGTGAGTGGCACCAATTCATCCTCCGTCTCTACAGTCAATGAAACAAGACGATACTACAGTTTTTTTAATTACTGCCTCTTTATGGAAACAGAACCCCTCTATCTTCTTCCTCATCCCAGCAACGCAAAGGTCGAGACGCTTGCAGGGCAATGATGGCCGTACCCTCATTTCTCAACATGAAGCTGGTCAAGAGTAACTCACTTATTATAGTCTTACAAAACGGTGTTGGTCAATATACCGGAACTATTTAGGTTTCTGGGAAACTGCCCAACCTACCCCTCCCCTAAGCCAACATTATCACTTACTTCTCACTTAGGGCAAACTGTTGGCTTAGTGGAGGAGGGTAGTTGGTCAGTTTCCCAGAAACATAAAGTGATCCAATATACCTTGGCAGTTATCCCATAGCTGGTCTTTGTCGAAGTTATCAGTTGTGGCGCACCATGCTTGGTTGTGGTCCTCTCTGATGCATGAATAGATTTCCATCCCTTTATACAGGAATGGAAAAACACAACATTTTTCCCTGATAGTTCCGACGCACCCTGCAAAATCAAACAAAAAAAGCTGAAAAAGCTGAAGACTTGTCACTAAAAGGAAATTTTACGGGTTTAGGCTTATGACCGTTTTGATATCAACAATAATAGACAGATTAACATTCACGTTTACCGCAAACGGCAAACGTCAGACTTGGTTGAGAATTTCTCAGAATAGAGAACAAGCAGAAAAAGAACAGTCCCGAAAGACTCCAATGGTTAAAACTGGCACTTTTGTGTAGAAGTAATAAAGAGTAAACGAAAAATAAGGGGGAAAGTTGGTCACATGATACAAATTCACGTCTGCTGTTTGGCGTAAACGTGAATCTTAATCTCTTTATTATCTGGTCTGTTTCCTATGAGCCATACTTGTTAAATAAATAAATAAATAAATAAATAAAATAAGATAAAACCTTGAATAACCTTACGTCAGTCTGGGAAGAATATCGGTAGTGAATGAAACAAATGGAGCACTCCGCCCCCCTCTCTTTTTTGCTGTCTTTCCCTTCTATTATGATATTACGAAGTATCTTACCCTTTGAAATTAGCTCTCCATTTGGCGTAGTTGTGACACAGCCTTCAAAGTTTGTTCTTATGCAGTAGCCGTCGTTGGTGTTTAATATGGGATACTTTGGTTCTAAAATGACTGAGTTCACAAGACGAGGCGGGATAAATGTATACTGGCGAGCGACGTCACCATCTCCGCTCCTGTTTGTAAGCTTAAAAAGCTAAGAAGGCCAAAGAGAAAAAGGGGAGACAAAAACGAATTAAAAGAAGAAGAAGAAATAGACTCAAAATTTAATCAGGGTGATACAGACTTTTCTGTAATGATGGCGATGATGATATTGATGATACTCTTAAACATCAAATATCTCTTATCATAGAAAATGCTGAAACTTCACCTTATTTAATGAGAACAACAATCCACCAACAGTAAATTTGTCTTGGCCACTATTATCATTGTGCGCTTTTCTTGATAGTGGTGAATAAAAATAAAATGTATGAATGATATTCTGTCGATGGATGCAATCGATTTTTTCCAACTTTCTTTCATTAATCCTTGACTGTTGATTTACCTGGCACGAACTTCCTGAGACGCTAAAGTCAAGAAATCTGATTCCATCTCCGCTGTAACTTAAACAGAAAGTGTGAGGTCTTTCGCTCGGATCTTCGGATCCTTGAAGCTGCAGTGCGGATACGTTAAAGACTGATCCTGCAAAAAAGGGCAAATTTATGTATCGTTCAACAATGAACCTATAATAAGACGTTTTTGGAATTATGCTTTCGCTTTCAAGGCCTAATTTCTATTAATGATGTCAATTCTCGCGAACACAGCAAACTTTACAGTTAAAAAATGATGCATTAATGTGAAAAAGGAATACTCAAACAGCTTCTAAAGTAAACTGGTTTTTGCAAGGACAAAGTAACCTGGTTTGTCAATCTATCTCTTAGTACACGTCAAGGGTAATGTCAAGGTTTACTCTCACCCGTAGTAGAAATGACAAGTAACGCGCTCCTTTTAATTCCCGTATAATTATAAACAATTAAATACGACAATAAAATGCAGTTACCAAGATTCACAGTCAAGAATGGATCAAGATCAGATGCGGTGGGACACCACAACGTGTTTGAATCCACCAAGGGGAGCTGACTAAGATATGTGCGACTACTTGAATATGTTACCACAGCCATTGAACGTCGTAAAATTGAGGCTGTAATGGACAGATAGAGAACACGCATTGGTTAATTTTATTACGTGAAAATTACTTAATATCTCACATTTTTATGGGACACCTTGTTATGAATTATGTACGCATAGACGGGGTGCCCGCAAAATCGAAAGCCATATCCCTCGCTCGCTTTATAACATTTTTTTGTCTCAAGCAGTATATTAAGGTATCATTTACACTCTCTTAACGACATCTGTAAATTGTTTTCTTTATTGCTTTCCCTCCAAAACCACTACCACCACCACCACAACCACATTTCTATTGCTTTTCCTCCACAAACACCACCACCTCCACCACATTTCTATAACTTTGCCTCCACCACTACCACCACATTTCTGTTGTTTTCCGTCCACAAACACTACGACCACCGCTATCTCCACATTTATATTACTTCCCCTCTACAGAAACCCCCAACGCAAGAATTTTTTTATCGTATTCCCTTCACCACCACCTCCCTGCACTTCTGTTGCTTTCCCACCACCATAAAATCCACCACCACATTTCTATTTCTCTCCATCCATGAGCTCTCTTCACCACCACCGCCACCAACACATTTCTATTGTTTCCCCTCCTCCCAAAGGACTTTTTTTTCTTTTTAAGTTACGGTCTTATTGTTGCACCTTTACCGTAATGGAAGCCCCTTCCCTCGTTTCATGAAGCCAAGATCATCACTGACATACATTGCCCCGATGACTTACATGCCAAGCTGTCAAGTATGTCGATCTTGAGACAGGAACCGTTTCCACTGAGAGGACCACGAGGGGAAATTTTCAAATACTGAGTTGAAACAGACGGTTGAATTGTTATCGTGAGATTATTAGCATAAGCTGGAGACGTCCATGGAATATCAACCTGAAAATGAAAAAAAGTATTTCCAATTCCTTTCAAAATAGCTACTCTGTACATGGATTGCAGGATATAAAAACAATTTTTTCTTGGTTAATTTCAGTCGAGTCTGTCAAATAAACGGAAAACGATGAGAAATTCAAATACAGGACAAGATCAGTTTTTCGAATCTATTCTACAGAAAGCTAGTTGTCATTAAAATTCCAGTTCTTAGTCCATATTGTATCGTTGAATTTTATTGGGTTGGATTGTCACTCTATTGCGAGTCAATGGAAGTTTCTTCTCTTCTACCAATTGGGACCAGCTTAACAGAGTGGCCCAGCCTAAACTGGGGGAGCAAGGGTTAGCGCGGTGGTGAGAGCATTCGCCTCCCTCCGCTGAATGTTTCCCATGTTCAAATATCCGGCGTGGACACCATATAATTATAGGCTGAGTCTGTTGTTGGTTCTCTCCCTTGCTCCTACAGGTTTTATCCGGGTGCTCCGGTTTTCCCTTTCCTCAAAATCCATTTTTCCCAAATTTCAATTCGACCAGGAATCAGGTTGACGAAGAACCACTCAGTGGATGTGCTACCTCTAAATCGTAATATTTATTTATTTATTTGCTTGATCAATTATTTACATCCTCTTACCACACAGCCCACTGTGGTTTTTAATATCTTCTGAACACCGGAGACACCATCAACAGTAGAACCAAAGCAGATGTTGTCGGCAAAATCTCTGGAGCCGTTTTTGCCTTGCACAGTTACTTCAGTGAGGAGGGTTTTTCTTCCTGCGGGTTACAAGCAAGGCAATTTAAAAGCCGTCAGCTACAAATGCTTTGCACGTAAACTTACATATTTCCTCATAAGCATATGGAATAAAACATTAATATTTATGGTTCGTCTGTAATTTGTGACTAAATGGATAAAGTTCAGAATATTATTTAAAACTTCAGAGCCACACGAAGGATGTAACTGATGCGTATTAGCCCTTTCAGCTAAGGCTGCAAGATGGCTTTTATCTCTGAAAGAAAAGTATAGCACTGCCGCCAAATCCCCGAATGTGCAGAGCGATCGTAAAGTCCCACATCAACGAACGTAGGCTGCAAAATAACTGACATCTTCGATTTTGCATCTTCCATCTCCTTTCAATAGTGTATGAATAGGTAACAGGGACCTTCCTTTGAAATTGCTGGCCTTTCAAAGAGAAGTTGCACGGACTCAAAGTAAGTCTAGCCTCTTACCAAAGTTAATCTCGAGTGTTCGGTTTTGATCCGAGGTACTTGGACACCAGGAAAAGCCCCCTCCTACCAGAGGAATGCCCCAGGATTCATTGTAAGATGAACCCTTGATCGTTGAGTTCGACAGATGAATAGCACTTTGTTGCAAGTCTAACAGCTTTCCACATTTAGCTGTTTGAAGAACACAAAACGGATTCAGTGGTGAATATATTTATAGTAATACAGTCACGTTCTAAAACCAAGATTGCATACATGATAACATTCAGCGCAGCTATCCAAGTGCAAGCTAACGCTAAACCTATCTTCATTAAGGACTAAAGATTTTTTCATAAAGTGGATTTCAAGCCCTTGGATTATAAGTTTTAAATGTATAAAGACATATATGTGATATCTCGAGACTATGAACATTTAAATTCAATTCAAATGATTTGCTGTTCAGTGATTTATGCCAGGAAAAGCCCAAAACTACAGCGGCATAAATAGTCTTCAAAGATTGAAAAAATTCTCGGTAAAACGAATAGCTTTAGTACTTACATGTAGTCTATGTAAAAGCGTGTCCAAATGTATAATCTGCTCTCCGACGTAACTTACAAAGTATTAGATTGTCCAAGTCATTTTGGATGTCCGTGAAAAAATGGAATAAGATTCTCCTTCAATATTTACAATTTACCACCATAATGTAATGTCCAATGGACCCACCTCCGAGAAGGTAGACCTCGCTTACAAGGGGGCCACCCTTTCCACCTGCAGGACAGCTGGTGGCATTGTAAACACTGTAGTTGAAATGGGCAAATATACCAGAGTAGCAAGCTCCTCCATCGAAAACAGCGAAAGCTTTGTAGTCCATCTTTGCTGACTCTAAAGCACACTTCAATACAGCGTTTTTTCTCGTACTGAATGAGCCATCTAGGTAAGTTGCATTGACAGTCTCAAGCGACGAGAAAGTGCTTGTATCGTTGATGTCAATGAAACATCCCAGACTTAGGAAATCGACAGATTTGCCTGTTATGATTATGAATGGAAAGCATACCAATATATTAGTTTTTTTTATTGCATTTAGGAATAAGAACTCCTTGTATCCTTCTTGAGCTAGACCATTAAACAGATTATTCAAGAGAAAGGGAGGAAAAAAAAGGAAAACAGCTCACTTTGGAATTACCAAATAATCACATAATCAACAGCACCAAAGTTACATTCTGTGAGGTATGATCTTCAACAGAGTATGATTTTGAAGCATCCCTCTTATTTAATTGTCACTTACCATTTTGCAGTGAACAAAAAGACCCCTTGGTATCAACTTTCCGATTCGATGTTTATCTTATTATCTTAACTTAGCACAGATCAGTTAAATGGCAGAATTGGTGCCTCAAGTAGCAGGTAAACAGCCAGATGTTTACAAACAGCCAAATGTTTATCCAAATGGTAACGTGAGAAAAGGTGAGGCTATATCTTTTTCATTATTTTGCAGGACGGTGTACTGGAACAGTTGGCTGTAAAAATAGTTCCTTATTTTGCAACATAAGCGTTAAGAATCCTATAAATTTGCTGTTGCAAATATTCTAATATATCACTTACTCATTTCACAATTCACACCATGGAATTCCGGAGAGCATTTGCATTTGTAGCCATCCTTGGAACTTGTACACGTACCATTGTTATGGCATGGGTAGCTTACGCACCTGTCAACCACTTATAACGAAATTTTGAGTACAAATAAGGAAATGGTGCTTAAAAAAGAACTGAAGGACATACACAAAATTAAGGCCTGCATTTGGTGGTAAGCGTGAGCACACCCTAGCACACACCGACTGTGGCTCGGTTCACTGTTCTGGAAACGGGATAGGCGTGCACACCTGTATTACGGGGTCTCAAAAACGACATTCAGGGGCCACATTGGGATGGTTGCCAGTCCTGACAGATACCTACGTAAGGAAAACCATAAGCACATAGCAAGGCCATGGCTATGGCCTTCCTTGTTTTTTTTTTTCATCAAAGATAAAAAGGGATTGTTAAAGAAAGCTGGTTCACCTTTTTGCAGACTGACTAATATGCTCCTATTTTCGTGTCACGTGAATTAAACTAGAACCATCTGAAACGTTTATCACCGACCCATTCATTCACTTTCGTAGCACTGTAAGTTTGTACATGCACATATCCGCGCGTCCCTTTGAGCTGAACAAAGCAATCGTCCCCGGATCAGGGAAATCGTAGCAAGAAAATAATTTTCTACCTACTAGTAAACACCAACATGCTGAAGTTCGTCGCCGGCTTTCTTGGTACTATTTGTTTGTACGACTGCTTCATTTATCGCTCAAATTTCGTTTTCCGAAAATTTCTCGAAACGAGACGCCATCTTGGCTTCCGTCGCCGGCAAAATAGCGAATAGCCAACGGTATTCCGAGTTACGGTAGCCAATCAAAACGCGCGAAAATTGCTATTCACTAATTTGGTAAATACTAAGCTAAATAACCTGACATATATGCTTACCTTGACAAATTGTTCGAGCTATTGTCATCGACTTAGTGAAAAGACAACTCGTCCCATTACACTCAACAAAGTAATCGCTATCTGGATCCGAAGCTATCTCCCTCATTTGGCCTGGGGAGATTTCATCTCCGATACCCACAGCAATAAGAGTAGCGTTCCATTTTTTTAAGCTGATGGCAGAAACAGCAATGTCGTCATCAGACTTGTGACTTGCAATGACAAGCACAACAACTGGAACATCTCTTCGTGTTTCGTTGTCAGATAACTGATACCTAACTGAGTCCAAAGCTTTTCCCAATACTACTTGACTAGTGTTTGGAAAATACAACCCTAAGAAGTTGTTGAGCTCTGCCCTCGTTTTATAAACGTACGTTCCGTTTCCTTCTACGGCAGTAATGAACCATGTCTTATTGATGTCTATATCAAAATTCCTGGAAATATTGGAGATGAAATCGCCAACCAATCTGAATCGAGCTTCACCCATTTTGTAGGAGCCATCCACAGCAAATACCACAGTCAAGTTTGCTGAGCACACAGCTAAAAAATATATAGATATGCAATAACTTATCATTTAAAAGTGGAAATATTAAAGACATGAAAGTGTTAAAATTAATTGATCACCATTTTGACGAGAGGATGTAACATTGCGTGCACCAAAAGGCTCTACTTGCAAGATAGACAGAGGTTGGAAAAGAAACCTCAAAAGTAATTAACGAGTGATTTTTCATGAGACATTTTTCATCGTCTGTTTTAAAAGCCTTTTTTTCCGCCGCTTTAGAATTGGTTAATTATTATTATCTAAAATAGCAAAGTAATGACCCAATTACAGTTTTTTTTTGCGCGCCAGGAATTTGTACGTTGCAATGTATCAATAAACAACTTATAGTAGTCAAGTATTAATTGTAACCCGACGTTTTTTAACCTGAAAAGTAAAAGATAACAAATAGCTTGATATTTGACATTGTAAGACGAATCAAATGAAATTTGAATACAGTATTAGCAGTAGACCAGAAACAAAAATTATTCGAAACAAGTGTTCATTAAGGTTATCGACTTCATTTTGCTACAAATTTAGACTGAACAACAAACCAAGTAGTTATTAAAAGTTGAGATGCTTGCTTTTCCTTACAAGATTCATACTTGTCGTGCCGCAAGGATTTCCCCTCTAAAGCGCTTCAGTCTTTCCAATTTCTATTGTCAATCCCAACCTTCGCTAAATTTGACATCGGTGTAATATATAGATTTAGCCAAAGCTAAAGCAAAGCTCCCGTTTATGCATTCTACATTTACTCAAGACAAAGGACTGTAAACTCTTGCAAAGAAATCCTCAAATCTATACTTATCTTATCTTTAGGATACCCTATTTTGACAGCTGTCAACTGACCATAATATGGATGTCTGTTGTCAAGTTAAACACAGGTTACAGGCTCCCACACTAGCTTTCGCATTGTTTTCCTTGCGGTTTGGACGGAGGGACCTACGGTCTCGTGATTACCAAAACATCTCGGATGGACAGTTTACCAAATTTTCTTAGATAGGGACCGGGATCCGCTAAGAAAATGGGTTTGAGGCAATCTTTTGTATGCGTTTGGAAAATATAGTCTAAATTACAGATGGTAACGTCCTTTAAAGGAGGTTTCAATGTAAGAAGCGAGACAAATAAAAAAAACAAACAAACAAATATGTCTCTAATCGAGTTTTGATTCAGATTTATTTATCTTTTTGTTTCAAAGTGAATATCTTCGGATTTATTTACGTTTTACTCCAACTGGTTATTTCTAGAGACGTCTGGTTATTGTTAGCTCATTTTGGTCTTCTTTCTTTTAGTTAGTCACACTCCATGGTGCAGTGCACTATATCAAGTTAATGAACGGATGATGCCGACGTCATCCACTCCGGCATAACTTAGGTTTAACTGTCTGTGTCAATTTGCTTATTATTCTGATCTTATTTTTTCATTTACCCCTTTATATTTTTAAAGGATGGGGACCCAAAAGAGTTTCTTTTTCTCATGCGACGTTTAAACACATTGTCAATGAGAATAGCTGTATTGTTTTAAAAGTTTAAAACCTCTGTTAAGCAATGGTTGTTACAGTTGACAAAACAACAATGTGCTATGATATGACCCCATCTAGGCCTATATCAGTCCACATACCATATGCGGTTTACCTTTCAGAAATGATGCATTTACACTGTTCTTTAATACGCCTAAACAAGTGATTTCTAGATGTTTGCATTAAATCACAAGCGAACGGGATTTTTTTCCGTTGTTTTAATTTGTTTTTGCTTTGTTTTGCTTTGTTTTGTTTTTCGGCTTTTTTTTTCCTTCTAAGGCTTTGAGACAGAAGTTGATGATGTTGAACGATATAGGGCCTAGTAAGGATTAAATATTTTAGCCGCCGCTCATTCAGACGAACATCACCGTTACAGCCATGAATATATAAATGCTCTTTTTTTGATTCATTTAAAAAAACTTCTGTGATTTTTCGTGCTTATTTGACTCAAAGTAACGTCCATCTAAATATATAATAAATAATTCTTAGTGTTTCTTTCAATTATATGTACACTTATATGATACCATTTGTAATGTTATTCTTGGTAGATGTAACAGATGGTTTGTTTGCAGAAATTATTCGGTATTGTAATCACTATCAATGTTTATATGAAAAGCAACAATTGCATTCAAGAGAAATGTATACACTGTAAATTGTATTCTGGAAACAAAAATGATTATTCCTACCTTCACTCCGAATAGAACTGCCCCAAGAAAGTATTAACAAAGTGACAATTAATATAAATGTTAGCCATCTTGCGTTCATTACCCCCGCCATAGCTGCAAGGTGGACTTTCTTTGACAGACCAGAATAGAGTAGTTCTTACCACTGTTGTGAATACATGGATTACGCTTATAATTACAAAATCAACTGTTACGCTCGGTCAGTCAAATTGACAGTATTATTAATTGCGTCAAAATACCCTAGTTACCTTCTGGGACAGAACTGAAATAAAAACAAAAAACAATGAAAGGATATGTGAGGCAAAGATGCAGTTTAATTAATACGCCAGTGCCCACAATTACATACCCAAAGTCCCCCTTTTCGATCTGCGCCAGGAGAGGTTATGAATTTTGTGATTGCAAGAACCAGGCCGGAGGTTGGTAGATTACTGACAAGCGCAGACGGAATAAAATGCTGTAAAATTATCAGTCATGGGGTTAAAACTGCATATTTCTGCCTTTGAAGAGAGGTTATTTTTTAATTATTGCTCAGTGCCAAAGCCTGTGAAAGACAAATGGGTGTAACCAGAAAGACATCGTACTGACATCGTGTTAAGAAAGAAAAAAAAAACACTGTGGGGTTTAAAATACATCATGAGTGAATAGAAGAAGAACTGTGCCTACAGCAGAGTATTAGTAGAATAGGTGGGGGATCGTGGGCTAGAGTACTGGAGCTCTGAGCATGGAAGAGCAGGAGCCAGCCATCAAAGCAAATGTTATTGGAGCGAAAACAGGGCAGAGCGGAACTTATGCAGAATGTGCGGTCAGATAGTAGGTCAGGAAAAGGAAGGTGTAAACTACATTATTAGTGAATGTATTAAATTTCCCTTAAAAGGTATGCAAGAGATGACAGGGTTTGGCTGAAAACGGGCCACGACCCTACCCGTCTCGATCCTGAACAGAAATAGGAAACATTTGAGCCCACGATTAATACATCCTGCGGGGAATTTTACCATGGAATCGCAAAAACGACCAAAATGAACAACCCCTTTAAATTGAGAAATACAGTCAACTCTCTCTCTAAGTCAAACACTTTACTTACCCGGCCCTACTTGTCCGTCTTAGGGAGGTGTCCGGCTTATATACAGAGAGTCGAGGTAACGTGACACCGGTAATTTTAAAACTGGACCTATTCGCAATAAATATAGACCAAGTGTGGTCGTCCTTAGACTTCTGTTTAACTTGTACGAAACAGCTAACGCTGACGTGGAAATGGAATTATTTTCTCATTGTGCAATCAAACGTTCCTAAAGGAAACGTGCACGGCTTCGTGGTCTAAATACGTACGAGTATACACTCTCTCAACTGGAACAAGACCACAACATATCAAACATTTTTCAATTTACTGTCATGTAAAGCAACTACATTTTCGTTTTGAGGTATTCTTCACTACATAAAGCACCTTCTAAGTGTGTGTTTTCCGTCTTAGATAGGTGTCCGTTTATCAGGGCCTGCGGAGCAGGAGCAGTTTTCAAAGTGCGGGGGCCGATCCACCTCTTTTGAAGTGTAGTTGAGGGGGAGGTGGGGGTGGGGGGTGTTTTTGGACTTAAAAGATGATTTACCTGGTGCCGAATGAATACTTTGTAATACAGTTACAACTTATCAATCATTTTTTAATAGTTTAACAAACGAGAAAGGAGTTAGTAACAAAAAAATTGTAACCATGCACAGCAGTATCATAATTTTCGCGTTTGATTCACTTCAAATATTGTCCGTTCTCTCCTTACGGATGTTTAGAACCTTTCTTTAGTCATTGTTGAACGGAGCAATGTTTTTAACCTTCGAGCTGCCGAAAAGGACCTTTTCCTGCTGCGATGGCTGCAGGATTTACCAGCGAAAGTTTGCAGATCGGGACAATTGGCAATTTTATATAATTTTATCATGCTCTGCTGAGGTAATTACTGAAACTTCTTCATGTTGTCTACAATGTCATCGAGTTCAATTTGTTGTAAAAAATCGTACCACCATGGAGATTTGTTGTTGGAATGACTAACGCCCTTTTTATCGCCATTATTCCTTCTGTACAGTATTTTGGTCAGCGTACAGCTTTTATTTAAGCGTAAATATCGTCGTGTTGTACCAATTGAATTTGAAGCGTGAGGTCTCCCGGTCGGATAAACAGTTCAAGATTGCGATTATTTCTCGCCGATGATCCGAAGAAGAAAGCCTGCTCCAGGCCTTCCACTATCTGAACGCCTGGAACAGGCTACAGAGAAGAAAGGAATGGATTTGTGAAAGCAGATGTCAAGTACGTGATTGTTTATATTTTTTTGCAGAATATTTTGACTTAAACTCGTACCCTTCCGTGACTACAGTTTATGCTTGGTCTGCATTTTTTACCAGGCCTGCGTTTTATTCTCAGTCTGCAGTCTGGCGTTTTACACTCAGTCTGCATTTACCCCCTGATCCGCAGTCCGTAGTCCATAGTCCGCAGTCCGCAGTCCACAGTCCACAGTCCACAGTCCGCAGTCCGCAGTCCGCAGTCCGCAGTCCGCAGTCCACAGTCCGCAGTCCACAGTCCACAGTCCACAGTCCACAGTCTAGCATTACACTGACCGATTTAGTACCTAGTCTCTAACTCGGTAAGCAAGTAACAAGGCGGTAAGATTTTTCGATCGGAAGGGACGAGAAGAAGCGTGAATCTTTCGACCTCTTTGCTGCGAAGTTTGAAAGCAGAGCGATGCGATTTTCTGGGGGGAAATCGCTCCGGCGCTGGAACCCTTTCAAAACACAGATTCCGCCCTTGTTCTTCTGTAATT